CCGGCTTCTGGCGGCTGTTTGCGAAAGCAGATAGAGCTGTTGGTTTTGTTAACCTCGGATAGATGGCGCCACTAAAACTCCGTATAATAAAAGTTTTCTCGATGATACCAGGTTTTTGACGCATTTCTATTTATGTTGGAACGACAAGATTAATAGAACAATTACTTTTTATCGAGCAGGTATTTGTCCAACTTCCTATCTTTTTACAAGTCCCCCATTGACGTCACATCGCGGGGTTCTAATGGCCACCACTCGCGGCTGCAGGTCGGAAAATATTTTAATGTTTTCCTCGCAATTACGCGGCAGAATCGCAATATTTCGAAAGAAGGAGATGTATTTTGTGTCCTTTGTGACAAGGTAAACAATGTCAAAAGTAGAAAATGCAAATTCTTTCAACGTTAAAATGGTTGCCCAGCTCCTTTAAAGGGTAGCTGCAAAGAAAAAAAAAGTATTTTTTTAAACAGCCTAATTGAGACAAGCATGTCACAAAACAAATGTTCCGCCAAAAAAATATTTCAAAATGTGGAAGTTTCCAGATGCGTACCGTGAGTAAAAAGCTGCGGGCGTTTTCAACAAAATTATGTCGTTTTAATAAAACAATGGACTCCGAATTGTTGCCCTAAATCTGCCGTTTTTATGCTTCGTGTTGGACTGTGTTTGCACAGCGACGTGTTGCATCGTGCGGTGTGAATAAATTTGGGCACGATTTCGTACCTGCCTACAGATGCATGAACTGAGACCACTTTTTACGTAGTGAACATAGTGCTTTTTTATTTTGTCTCTAGTCGCGGACGTTAGGTGCACACGGGGCGAATCTCGACGGCCCCCAGAGCGATATGACGAGAACGTAACTAAACACGTTTGTCGCTACGCGAACGCCCGTTTGCCTCCAGCCAATAGCATTCCTTTCGGGGCGAAATGGCTGCTGGAAGGCTTGCTGTCGGGATCACTCATCTGACATCTCCGAAAAGCCGGTATTTGTACGCGCAAGCAAACAAACAAACAAACAAAAAAACACGCTAAGCCAGCAAAGAGGAAAACGAAAGAACTGCGCTATGAAAGTCAAAACCCCGCGTCGCTTCCTATCACTAACACCTGCGACAGCTGCTAAACACACACAATACTTCACTTCAAGGAGTCTCACTCAAGCACCTGGGTCAGCACGAAACACTTATCATTTCGGCGAAACGATTAGTCGAGGTAGGCGAGACAGGCGGGAGCAGAGACTTCGGCGGCCATGAAAGAATGGCGAAGCTTTTGTTTGTTATGGTATGAATCCAAACGGAAGTGCCCGTCTTGTGAACATTTTGTAAAGATTAATAACTCTCATCACATGGGTTCTTCTTTAAACGTAAAAATATGCCTTTCAAAAGAAAATTGCAACATATAACAAAGGTTTAACAACCAAGATCTAAACTGTCAATCAAACTCTTAGCCAATGAGAAGTATAACAGCCGATTGGTATTCAACGTCACAGAATACCAACTTCGTGGCGAGCGATTCAAAACGGACGAAATAGCAGCAAACTAAAATCGGTCTCACGCAATAAATATTGCTGTAAAATTTCTTTTTCTCGCGGAAAAAATGTTTTTTGACATGCTTGACCCAATTAGGCTGCTTAAAAAAAACTTTTTTTTCTTTGCAGTTACCCTTTAAGAAAATGTGAGATCAACACGGTGTCATCTTCATTAAAATAAATTAGGTCATCAGAAGCCGTGCTGCAGAAATGAGGACAGCAAAACAAATATGGGCTTAATTTCGTTTTGTGATCTTGAATTTTGAATGCAAACACCGTTCAATGAAAATTATGTGGTTATACTGGCACTTGGAAACAGTACCAAAGTAGGGTACTCACTTGTGAGGTCGATCAGCCAGCACACACAGTGACACCGTGATGGTAAGCACGCACCATACTCACAAACTAGCCACAAAAAACAATTTAGTCAAAGTTTTTAGACAGCAGGAGTTTAGTCTGCCAGAGTATGACAACATTGTTACCCACTGTAGATGAGAAATTTATCCGGTGCAGTACGACTGCTAGCGTGGGGTCTTTAATGGATATTGCGCAGTAGTGATACACGACCACACACCGGCACGATGCTCATCCAGATCTAAACTGCACCCATACCGCACGCCCGAACGAGTTGCTCGTACGACTGAGTTGAAGAGGAGAAAGACAGCAAAGGCCTGTCGAGAGGTGACTAAAACAAAAGAGGACAAAAACTACAATGGGCGACTTGCTGTTTCTAGAGAACGCACACACACACTCACTCACACTCACACACACGCAGAAACACTAAAAAAAATTGCTTCAAGCAGCGTCACAGGGTTCTGGGCAACTGGCGTTCCGGCGACCGGCGCCACAGTGACGTACTCGTCACGGCTTCGTCTCTTTGTGCCTCCAGATTTCACCACCGTGGAACAAACGTGCCGACAGCTGTAAACTTTTTGTTTTTATTTTCATGTTTATGTTTGCTTTACCCTTCGTTGAGGAATATTGCTTAGAAGCAAGAAAAGAACGTACACGTTCGCGCACAAAGAATAGCTCTTTAGTCTCGGCATATTCAGTAATACTCAGTTTCACTTTGCGACGTACCGCGATGGACGCTACAAGCTACACGAGCCAATTCGTAGTTCCTAGCTTGTCTCGTGACTTCGCGCTCCCCGCAGCGCTCCGCCCAACTGGAAGGACACGTGACACCCTCCGAACTATAAATTGGTTCCTGGGGCTTGTAGCGTCCTTTGCGTTCCATTGGAAGGTAAAACAAAGTATACAGGTGTACGCCTCCACGTTGACTTGCCGAAACCAATTCGTACTGTACATAGGCGTGAAATATATTTATTTGTTGCATTATTATTGAGCTGTATCCATGTCGTCGCTGCCGTTTGTTTTGTCAAAACTGAGCCACTAACGCCACCGTCGCAAATATTTAATTGACTTCACGCTGCCACCCACAAGAAGGCGCGGCTCACATTTCATTACGGTGAACCTTTTCCAGTGAATCGGTAATCACCACATGAGATTACGATTCCGTACCAGTTGGGTAAATATCAAATGTTTGATTTCGGTTAGAGTTTTGTCTCGGTTCAGTTAAAAATAACGGTTTTACTCAGGTTTTTCGTTTGCATCGACATTCTGGTTAAAAGCTACATGCTAATTGCACATGATTACAAGCCCCTCTGCCTTGTGGCACTAGGAGCAGCCAGTTTTGGCTGCTTCACTGAGGACGTGCCACTTTCATCCTCGAAGGAGCGTAAGCTAGTGATACATTGAAGGCATCAGTCACCTCCAGTGCAATGATACTGTTTCAAGAGCGCACTTACCATGCGCTAATGAATTGCGCCATCAGCCCGTAGGCCCTAGATTGAAATCGACGCAGCTCGCATAAGAACAGTGCCCATTCCATTCCCACTCCATTCCGGGCAAAAGGAACCTAATTACATTCCTATTCCATTGTCCCCGGCGCTGCCGCCATTCCATTCCCATTCCATTCAGGGGTCACAAAAGTGTGGAATCATTTTGGAATCATTTCAGTTCTGGGGTGGCAATTCCGCAACACTGCACCATGCTAAAAAAAAAAAAAGCTACATTCACGCTGCTGGTGTGAATGTAGTTTTTTTGTGTGCGGTGGTAGTCTTCCTTTGGCTGGCTCATTGTAAGCAGTGAACCGACTAGCTCGGCTTAAACCTGTGTACAAAGAGCTAGGCTCGATGCACAGATCAACTCTCATTGTTCCCATAGCGTATGCCATGAAAGCACTGTACCTGTGCGACCTTGCGCTTGCCCAAGTCCTACACTGACGCCCAGGGGAGAGAGACAAGCGTATGCCCGGTGCGTCATTTTTTATAACTGATCGGTGAGGAAGCTTCTTCCAGCCATTGCCAGGGGGCGCAGAAGCACCATCTAGTGGTCAAAGGGGCAAATGGGGGTCAAGGCTCAGGAGGTGACTTCGCTCTCCTGCATCGCCCCGCGAGCACGAAGGCGGGAGGTAGGGGACTGGCACCTCGTGAAACCAAGGGGTGCCAGTTTAGACATGAGGAAGATACATAGAAAGGGCCCCCTTTCTATGTATCTTCCTCATGTCTAATTACCGTTGCCAACACGCTCGTTTTGTACTTAAGTGCCAGTTTCATTCGGAACGTAACATTCGGGACAGGAGGACCATGGTTGATCCGTCGATCGTACATCACCAAGAGTACTCGTGCAATTCTTGTTGGCATTACCAAGCGCAAAACTTTCAAAGCGCAGGAACCTGGTGGCTTTGGCACTTTCGCAACGTCGGTGGAACATCACATTCTTTTGGAAACGTCAGAAATCCAGCCAAGTCTTTCCATTTAATTGTGCTTGTCTGGCAAGCTTGCTCGTCTACTGCGTTTCGAAAACGAGGGTCGAGTCTGGTTAATATCTTGTTTGTGGGCTTGCATATCACTTTTGTTCTTCTGAGAACTTTTCGCAACTAGACTTTTTCAAAGAACCTCCGGGGCAAGGGCGAGTATAATGCAGAAATCTTTTGCAGGAATCTTTTGCTTCGTTGCCGTTGTAAGTTGTCCCTGAGTATGGAGAGGCGGCAAACAATGTCAGATGTCTGTGCCGGTGTGACTGAGGTAGTCCCATTATTCGCTCGTGTTCGCTTGTAAACATGCTCGCTAATGCCTGCTGTAGGAGGAGCCCTGTGTTCTTCCAGTTTTCTTGCATTTTTGTATTTTGTTCTGCTCGCAACACACACAGATTCTTTCACTTAGTATTAGTTCAATATAAAACATCCTTTCCGATCGCTCTTCATTGTGGAAGAACAAATAAAGACACTACCAGTGGTTTACTTTTTTTACGAAATACTGCGTCTCACTCACTCTATCAACTCGCGCCGAGCACATTGAATAGGCTTCATGAACTTGGATGAACGAAAAGTGTTACACATGAAACTTCCATAAGTTGTTACACTTCAGGTTTCTGCAACATTCCTTTTAAAAGATGTAAACCAGACATGTACCCTTTTCAGAAACAAACGAAGCAGCACCTGCTCAAAGCCCTGTCGTCACTCCCGGCACCCAAAAACGACTACGAGATTGTGGTTCCCGAGGACGACCCGAGCCTGTTGGAGTCTGCGTCACAAGAGCACATGGTCGAAGACCAGGCTGACATGGACTCGGCCAAGGAGCACGAGAGGCTGGAGAAACGTGAGTCGGCTTGTTGCCCTCTCTTTGTGGGCCGTTTGCAAGTGTCGAGTTGTGAGATGTGACAGAGAGCGCCAGCCTCTTGTTGCAGCAGAGGGAGAGTGTGTCATTATGAGTGTTAATTTGGTCAGGTAATGATGTTGTCAAATAAAATTAGCGTAATGCAGTAGTATGAACCATGTGCCATGTGCAGCCGCAGCTTCCTTAGTCATAGCTTTTTGCAATAATGATAGCCCTGTGCCTGCAAATTTATTTATTTATTTTTACCGCTAGCCCTGTAAAAAAGGAGAGGAAACGAACGAGGAACACTCCCCCTTTACACTATTTGACTTCAAAGCTGCGTATCATTCGATTCGCAGATTATTATGACTATACTTTAAAGATAAATTAAAAGCAAATGTTGCATCCTGAATACCGTCTCATTACACAAAAAAAAAAAAAAAAAATCAAAAAGTAACAAAATTGTTTACTCGCAAAAATGAATGACGACACAGACCAGATCGAACCAGCTACAGTCGATGCCACAAATACTGTTGCAATAGGCTGTACATTGTGCCTCGCTGGTCAACCCTAAAGCGTTGAGGCACTCATAAGACGACGACGACGGCGGTTCCAGTGGAGGCGGAGCGCAAGCTACAGTCGCTGGCGGTGCAGCGGGACCTCCCACGGCCCCTGGACGTGAACGCTTCGGTGCTGCGGCCGGCCCACACGGAGCCCCCGCTGACGGACCTGCAGAGGGCGGAGGAGCTCATCAAGCAGGAGATGCTGGTGATGCAGCACTACGACGCACTGCACCACCCGACCGCCCACCAGCGCCCTGGGGGAGGGCCCAGGAAGGGGGCCCCCATGGACGAGGCCCAGCACCTGGCCTACCTGGACAGGCACCCCTACCGCAAGTACTCTCGAGAGGACCTGCAGGCCGTGAGTGTGTGGGGACGGCGCAGAAGGCCTGCGGCGGATTTAGAATGCGTAGCATTTATTAAGCTGGCACTCGTTTTCTTTTTTTTACGTGCATGGATGTGGCCTTGATTACTTCATCTCGGTTGTGCTCTAAGGGCGTAGCATTTGCATGTCCCCGTGATGTCACGTGACACCATGATGTCGTGGTGCCATGTGACACCGAAAACTCATAAATTCTTACCATTTACGAGACCTCTTTGCGTTTTCCAAACATACGAAGCAGTAAACGGTTAGTGCAAACGTGGCCAAAGGGCCGTGCTACAAAGTTGACTCAATCTCGCGCTAGAGCGAGGGTTCGGTACCTTGGTGTTCGAAAACCCACTTGCGCAGCCAACGTCCGTCGTTGGAACCGCTAATACAGTCAAACCTCGATGTAACAAACTTCTATGTAATGAAGCCCCCGATGTAACGAAGTACATAACTTTTTCTAACCGCAAGTGTATACACGCCATGTACTTTTTACCTCTATGTAACGAAGTCCCGTTTGCCGAAATTTCGATGTAATGAAATTTCATGGAGAATTCGGCACAAATTTTTGGGTCCCAAAGGAGATTTTGGGAAGCACACGCGCTGAAACAAGCCCCCGTTAAAGCGCAGAGGGTGAAATGGGCCGCCTAATTGGCCCATCTGGCCCAATGCACTCAATGCTTTGGGGGGAGGGCGTCTAATCTGGCGAGTGGTGTACAGAACGGCCACTAGAGGACACTAGAGTTAGGGTGGCGATGTGGGTTAGTTGGTTCATACTGCCGAAAAGGCAAACAGCGCACAGTAAACGGGGACTATAGGAAGTGCAAACAGGACAAGCGCTGACTCTCAACTGAACTTTAATCACATGAAAACAAAACAAAGAAAACAGCAACCCCGCCCACGTCACATGATACATTCACCACGTGTCCAAAAAAACAATCTCTTTACTACTCAAGCCCAGTGACATTTGGCTTACGCAGTTCGCGCCTGCATTGATAATTGCATGCGCCTCTAAAATTTCTCTATTCACTCTGTCCCTTCCATTGCCAATGATACCAGTCTTGTTGAAGATAGGTTTGCACCCACATCCATGACAATGCAATGGCAGATGCCCCCTACAGCTCCCACCACTGATTGCAACGACAAGTCATGCTCCCGCACTCTGTGATTAACACATCTGCCCGTCTGACCAACGTAGGCTTTTCCACACTTAGTGGAATCGTGTACACAACTCCCACTTTGCAAACAACATATTGATTCTCATGCTTCACCGAGCAAGCGGGGCCTTTGTCCTTCTTATCGCCAACTCTCGCGCATAGTTGCGCCAGCTTACACGGAGCGGAAAACATCAATGGCACGTCGTACCTCAAGGCAACTTTTTTCAAGTTGTGTGAAATCTTATGGAGATACAGTATTACGAGCGGTCTCTTATTTGGCCTTTCCCTCCGGGGACGGGGTTCCCCCTTGAGTTTCTTTAACAAACCCTCCGCAACACTCAATAAAACCGAAGTTGGGAAACCTGCCACTGTCAGTCTCTCAACAGTGGCAGGTTTCCCAACTTCGGTTTTATTGAGTGTTGCGGAGGGTTTGTTAAAGAAACTCAAGGGGGAACCCCATCCCCGGAGGAAAAGGCCAAATAAGAGACCGCTCGTAATACCGTATCTCCATAAGATTTCACACAACTTGAAAAAAGTTGCCTTGAGGTATGATGCGCCATTGGTGTTTTCGGCTCCGTGTAAGCTGGCGCAACTATGCGCGAGAGTTGGCGATAAGAAGGACAAAGGCCCCGCTTGCTCGGTGAAGCATGAGAATCAATATGTTGTTTGCAAGGTGGGAGTTGTGTACACGATTCCACTAACGTGTGGAAAAGCCTACGTTGGCCAGATGGCCAGATGTGTTAATCACAGACTGCGGGAACATGACTTGTCGTTGCAATCAGTGGTGGGAGCTGTAGGGGGGCATCTTCCATTGCATTGTGATGGATGTGGGCGCAAACCTATCTTCAGTAAGACTGGTATTATTGGCAATGGAAGGGACAGAGTGAATAGAGAAATTTTAGAGGCGCATGCAATAACCAAGGCAGGCACCAACTGCGTAAGCCAAACGTCACTGGGCTTGAGTAGTAAATAGATTGTTTTTTTTGGACACGTGGTGAATGTATCATGTGACGTGGGCGGGGTTGCTGTTTTCTTTGTTTTGTTTTCATGTGATTAAAGTTCAGTTGAGAGTCAGCGCTTGTCCTATTTGCACTTCCTTTAGTCCCCGTTTACTGTGCGCTGTTTGCCTTTTCGTCAGGACACTAGAGCCGTCGGTGTTTCATCCATCCGCTTCGTTCGTGCAGCGTGGTTAGTTAGTTTCGAGGCCTAACTAAAAACTTGCGTTTCTCATTGTCCTGGGCCATGGAGCCTTCAAGGCATTGGAGCCGTCCCTGACAACGCCGACCTCGTCGACTTTCTGTACGCCAACTCTGCTGTCATTGCGAAGGAGGAGGTGACCGACGAGGCGATAGCTAGCGATGTTCATGCGAACTCGCAAGACGGAGACGACAGCGAGCCTGATGAGCAAGACACCTGCAATGCGCCCAGTAACCGTGAATTGGTGGATCAATTGATGTCTTGATGCAGTTCGTGAGCACACAGCAAGATGAAGACGCGATGGAAACCGTCTGGCTATGCGAACGTCGAGTGTTGCCAGTAATAATGTCAAGAGTGGTCCAGAAAAAGTTGAAGGACTACTTTCAACCGAAATAAAGGCGTCCTCAGTGAGTTTTGTGCACCCGGGAAACATTTGCGGAAACTCTTTAACGTTAGCCCCAAATTTCTATGCAGCGAAATTTCAATGTAACGATGTAAATTCCGAATTTTACCGACTTCGTTACATCGAGGCTTGACTGTAGTGGGGTGAAATGTGCTCTTCCCGGGTGACGGCGTGGCACAATTAGGCATTCGTCCGTGCTTTCCTCGAGCACATTGTGAGATGGTACCAATGTCGAGCTTGTGCCGACCGTTCTATATGGCATACGGATTCTGGGTAACTGCTCTCTGTTTTATAGATTAATTTCATTGATGCTCGGTTTGTTGACCTTATGGTAAAAGGAAAGTGAAAGCCTTCCAAGCAGTGTTTCTTTTTAAATGTTTTTGTTTTTGTTAGAAATTTGGCAATAACCTCCTTTCCATTTCAAGGTAGCATTTTTGCTCAGAGCCTGTTGGCATGTAGTGAAACTGTATGTTGTTTAGTGAGGAAGGCAGTAAAGTAAGCGACCAGTGAACGGGTAGGGGACGTTTCTGTATCGAGCAGCAATGTAAAAAACTCAACGAGAGGCAGTCAAGCGACATGTTATGCGTGAAGCTACGGTAATCTTGCACAAAGAGATTCTGCAGGGTATGCTGTTTGACGGGAAGCTAGTCACTGCCACCTAAATAGAGTAAATAAATAGTGCAGATTTATTTACAGAGTGATGGCTAGTATATCTCGTTGACGAGTGGCATCTTTCATCAAATCTCTCGGTGCAGGACTTGTTTCTTGCATTTCGACTCACATCACTCTCTCTCGTCGTCTTCTTGTAGCTGCTCAGTACAGATGTGTTGTCTTACCACTAAATGGTACCATTTTTTTTCCCCTCCACAGCCCATTTCCTCACCTTCTAAACAATTTTATCGGGCTTCAAATCAACTTGGTGTGAGAAGCAAAACTAATTAGTAATAGTGACCTTTTTGCCATTATGTGCGGCCCATTTTTTATTTTAGCGATTCCTTTTACAAATTATTTATCCGTGGCAAGCCTCGTTTGAAATTTGGCGGTTTTGTCACGTACGGTTTTCAGAAGAGTAGACCAGTGCACCCGCAAACTAACCGAAGTTCAGCAATGTTTTGCCGCAACTCGTCGTAAAGGCACTGTTCAAACATTCCGCACCGCGCCTTCTGATCGCGTCCCTGTTGCTCCCATTAGGCGGAGGAAGTGCTGAAGGCAGAGATGGAGGTGGTGCGCCGGGGCATGGGCCACGGGGACCTGAGCCTGGAGGCGTACAGCCAAGTGTGGGACGAGTGCCTGGCACAGGTGCTCTTTCTGCCCGCTCAGAACCGCTACACCCGGGCCAACCTGGCCTCCAAGAAGGACCGCATTGAGTCCCTCGACAAACGCCTGGAGGTGAGCCGCCTGTCTCCTCCGACCAGTGTTGGGAAGTACTTTAAGTACATTGTAGTACCTAAAGTACTACTTCAAGTAGGTTTAGATAACTTTTACTTTATTTGAAGTACATTCTCTAAGCATGTACTTGTACTTTACTTAAAGTACTTTTTCCGGTACTTTTCGAGGAAAGTACAACTCTTGGCTTCAAGGTACAATTTCCCATTTTGGTCTAGTTAAAATTTTATCACAAAAAGATGCTTTCTCAGCTCTGAAGAAATACTGGGAGGGATTCTACTCTCACCAGAAACGCGAGCAGACGACAGATTGCTCCGTTTGTTCTGGGGCGGCTTTCCCGTAGCTTTGCGAACTGTCGCTATCTCTTGCTCGGTCAGCGCAAGCAAAGAGGCTAAATTATCAGGAGGGGACAATTAATCATAATGTAACTTCTGAGACCATGGTGCGGAGAAATGAAGAAACTTTTAAGTCAAAGAAAAAGATGACGGACCAGATTGTCTTAATCTTTTAAAATATTCTCATCTGTTGTCTTTTCCTTTGACTTGAAAGTTTCTTCATTTTTCTGCACCACAGTCTCAGGTGTCATATTACGATTAATTATCACCAGCTCATCTGTGCATTCATTCTGTTTTTTTTCGTTAAGGAGAGGACACTCCTCTACAAGAGAATTGCTTGCAGAAGCTACAGGGCTGACATTGTTGTTTCTCCTACAATGCTTAAAGTACATGCAGCGCCAAATTCAGAAGTCAGAGGGACTTTTGAACTTAGCGCCATTTCTGAAAATAAGTGCTTTGTGGCCACTTCACTTTATTCAATGTCCGCCGCCATTTTGGAAAGTAAGTGATGCACCCCCGATTACCCGTGGGGCAATGCATGTCAGTTAAAAAGGCACTGTACAGTCAGTCGCCAACCCATCTTTTGGACTCGGAGGGGACCCCGAAATTGTCAAAATAATCTTGCAGTCCGAAAAATTGATTTAAGCCCAAATACTAAATTTCCGCGCATATTCCGCTGCGTATCGGCCACTTTCCACTTCCTTGATGTCAATTTTAGGTTCTCGTGCAACTTCCGCTTTATATTGTTCACTTTTCACTTGTTTGTTGATCTATGATCACGGTGCTGCACTTTGTCGGCACCTTCGTTGGCACAAACAGCGAAGTTGAAGTTGGCGCCATTTGGCACTATTTGTAGACAATGTTGAGTCCACCAAGCTCGCTTCAATACTATAGTCAGATGCAACCTAAGAACAATTTTTTAGCTCCACCCACAAACGCATTGCGCCCATCTGAAGTGCCTCCGCCGTCGAGAAAGTAGTTCGCTAGCAACGTTGCTTTTTCTTCCTCCAGGAAGCGTGTTTTAAACTACTACAATATTTATTTAATTCATTCAGGACATTTAAATAAGTTAGAACACATTTTTTTGTCAACGAAATAGCTGTTTAGTAAAGAAAGAAAGTCATGTTCAATGTACCGTCTTCCCAATTCATTTTCTGTCCAAGATACTGTCTAACATATCGTCTAACATACCTCTCAGCAGTGCTAAGCCTTGCGCCCGCTTCGAAATTTTCGTTGGCGATAGCGTCGCTGGATTCTCACGTTGTCGCGCAAAAACTGCTGCAAACGCAAGCCGATACCATTAAGATTTCGTGGCGTAACCTCGGACACCTAAAACACGGTGCAAAAAACCAGAATATTTGTCACAAGAAACTAGCGTCGCATTGCTAAGGCCAGCAGCCATGTTGAGATTTTTTTTTTTTTTCAAAAGGATCGCGATTGGTCCACGGATTTGTGACGTCATGAAAACGATTGGCTGGCGTTTCTCGGCGTAGGATTACATTTTCCTCTGAGAGGCATTTCCGGTTTTTTCTTAGCTTGCAACCGACTATGAGCCTATCGGCAAACATTTTCGCGCTCAAAGACCACAAGAACGGAAGATGGCTGCTGTTCTCGCGGTTGCACTCGAAAAACACGGACCATAAGAAGGACTGGAAGGGCCATAAGAATGGGCAGACAGCAGCCCTGTTGGCTATAGCGGAACCGGAAAACCTGACTATAGCCTCAACCCAGCTTGTTAGGACATGGTATCGAGGCTGCAGGGCTAAATCAAAACAACCAAAGTGGCGGTGACTAAGGTCGTGGCGCTATCGCGGCGGCTGTTTTGTGGCTGTAAACTGAGGAAATCAAGCAAATTATGTCTGAAATATCGAGCAATAAGCTTTATGGCATCCCAAAATTCCAGTCAATGATATACATTAACTCTATGGGGTGAGTGACAGTTCGGCGAAATCCGAATAATTGGATGTGTCCAAGAAATCGGTCTGCGACTGTATAGGGAAATGAAAGGGCATCAGCAAAACACCTTTAAACTCTAAAAAAAAAAATCTTTTTTTGTTTTAAGTGTATGTATATGGGAAAACAAACTTTGCCCCCGAAAAAGCTTATTCGTTATCTCAAGACGCATTTGAGTGATGTCGTAAAGTGCTTCCGTTTCGTTTCGGAGTCGACACGTTGAAAAACAAGCACGTTTCTAAATTGCTGCTAACTTAAAATGCTAATCGCAATGTAAATGTTGCACTAAAAATGTTTTTTTTTTGGCGGAAAGATTTTTTTTTTTTACATCACTACGTGTTTTATATAGGCATCTGAAAAAAAGTATTTTGGGCTTTCAGTGTCTCCTTAAAAGGCCTCTAAAAAGAAAGAAAATGCTTATTTTTAAACAGTCTCGTTGGGCCACGCATGTCAAAAAATTAATTTTACCCGAAAATTTTTTTTAGGAATATTGACTGCTTGAAACGCAGTTCAGTATGTAGTCACCTCCTTTGCACTTGTATTGTCGGTATTTCGGCCGCATGGAGGAGAGAAGCTGTGGCAATGAACAATTGTGGCCATCGCGTTGAGGTGGAGAGAGTGTATGACCATTCCGTGACGTCGTGGACTTCATGCGCATAATTCGAAACAAATCTCACTGCATCAATTTTGCACCATTTTTTTTTTCGTGTTAAATTAATTTTTTTACTTGGATATCTCAACTAGGTTGTTTAAAAAAAAACATAATTTTTCTTTTCAGTGGTTCTTAAAGGGGCCCTGCAAGGACTTTTTACTGTTTTTTAATTTGCGCCGAACCTGAACGCACTGAACGTAGTAACTTAGTGAAACTTTTCTTTTCGCGAAATTCGCTTTATTTTAAAAGTTATAGGCAATTTAGAATTACAAAAACAAGCAATAAATAACCTCCTTCATGACGTCGTAGGTCCTGGCTTGAGTGGCCGTGAACTAGAGAAGGAATAGTGAGCCCATCGAGCGCTCACGGCCGCCGCACTCCGTGTCAACGGCGCGAGAGGGCGCCACTAAAGCATGTTCTGGATAGGCTGTATGCAGCGGGCAGCCAAAGCGGCTTTAATTGCATTTTCTGCGTGATTAAACACTAATTCGGCATGACACTTCATTGGCCACGAACGACAGCAAACACGGGGTAAAGATCAGTTCAGAATGGGAGCCACTTCGCGCTGCCATACCGCAAAACGGCCAAACCGCAAGACAAAGCCTCTCGCCGAAGGCCTTCGGAACGCTCGGAGCCGGTCGGATCCTCCTGTCCATATGACTGCAGCGCCACCGCATACATTCGGGATTTTTCCGTGTCGGCGCCTTATCCCACTACTCCTTTCTAGTATGCGCCGCCTTTTCCACCGCTTGGCGGCGGGTATGTCGACAAGTCATTTCTTGTTTCCGTACTTCATAAACTGCATCTCTTTCTTTTTTTTCATCTATAATAATGAACAAAAAGTACTTTTATAAATAATTGAAACTGTTCGTGCCACTTATGTTTTGTATTTCGACCGAAAAGAAGTTTTTAGCGGCTCTGACCAGTAGTAAGCCCAGGACCAAAGACGTCACATTTTGTGCGCTTTCGGTACTGCGGGTCGCCCTCGTCGGTGGAGGAGGTTTCCGTGTCGTCCGGTTAAAATATGGCGCACTGATATTTAGCTACTCTTTCCGTGCCCGCTGGCTTGCCCGAACCCCAAGAGACGTGGAAACCGCATAAAAGGTAGACCCTTAAATATGATTGCAGGGCCCCTTTAAGTAAGTAAACGGAATTCCTCTGAGTGTGTGTAGGGGTGTTATCGGGGAAACCGGTCCCAATGGTCTCCATAATGGTCTCGCGGCTGTTGTGGATTTGTCCACCTGGCCGTTTCTTGTTTGTTTGGTTTAGTCGGAAACAGCAGTGTCAGCTATACGTGTTATATGCGAAGCGTATTAAAGAAATTTATGCGCAATATCTTAGTTCCAGAAAATTAATAGCCTCACCGAATGTCCCGAACGGGGAATGTCCCGATCTGAAAAATCAATGAGGGGGACTGGAAAGTACTGTTAGTACTCCTCGATCTAACGTCACCCAACTGTGGTGCTGCCAGTTGCTATAGTCCATTCTCCCGTAAGCTGGCAGGGCTGCGAAAGCTACAGGCACAAGATTGTGGCTTTGAAATACGCTTTCGTGAAACGAGTGCTCGCGCTAGAAAGGCACACTTGAAAGCATAAAGCATGTGATAGCTCGAGCTTTGGCGTCTTCGCTACCCTGTCCACCTGGGGGTGAATGGAGTGTACCACGCTCCGCTAAACTAGACCATGCAACTACGACATTGATGAGGTACTTGGGAGATTCGTTTTCTTATTAAAAAAATAGGCACATTACAAAAAATAGCCATGTATTTCCCAGAGAGTGCACGATCACTCCTAACTTAAATTTATTCTAGTTCATCTTTTATTTTCTTTTTATTTTACCTTGGAAAGAGCTAAAAAGAATGCAAAAGAGTAACATGCATGCTGTTGGGTTGTTTAGTTGCTAAGAGTTTTGACCTTATCGTTTTGTTAATTTTAGCTCGAAATTCCATATGACCTATGCACAATTTTTTTTTTTTTTTTCGTATTGTTTGCCAAGCTTAGACAAGTCTTCCTCGGTGGTTCTTGGGTTACGTCCACTTGTTTGTTGCGGCTGTTTCTGTGAAGCAGTAAGGAATCTGAATGTGCGACACTCTTTTGCAGCAAAACCGAGGCCACATGACTCGGGAAGCCAAGAAGGCAGCCAAAGTGGAGAAGAAGCTCCGAGTGCTGCTTGGTGGATACCAGGCAAGTGCTCAACAGGGATGTTACTCCCCCTGTAGACCATTTCTCAAGATATACATTTATTGTCTCTTTCTCTCTCTTTGTGTGTGCATGCAAGTGTGTGCAGTTGTTTGTGTGTGTGTGTGTCTGTGCACTTGCCCATGTGCTTACCACTGCCAACCTAATAGTCGTGCAAGATCAAACTGACTGCAGACGATTTTGGACGAGAAAAGGATTTTATTTGAGCTAGAACTCTCCTTGTATAGAAGGGAATAGTACTTCCATGCTTGTATATAAGGGGTATCATTGTCTAGTTTATGGATTCTTGAACTGGGCTCCAAGGAACACAGTCCCCAGAGTACCCTTATGGGTACCCTGGGGACTGTGTTCCTTGGAGTTCAGTCCCCACAATTTCCTTGCACATCCTTAGGATGTGTTCAAAATTTCCTTGGCCGTCCTTGCTCCTAAGTAAGGTGCTGTTGCAGTTTAATCACTCTTTGAGCAGGTCTGAGCCATCCATTAATGCGTAGCTATGAACCAAACGCTCGCTAGTGCGTGCATTATTGTTTCCAAGGCCTGTAGGCTCCTGCACTGCTTCATTACATGAATGCCGAAACGGGGAGGGGTTTCTTGGCTATCTGTCTAGACAAATAACCATTCCTTGGGATTGGTAAGTTTGAGAAACCCTTGTCTATAGTCCGTTGCAACCTAAGAACGAAGAGCGAGGGTAAGACGGGCCGGGGAGAAGGAAGCAGACGGAACGCTAAAGAGAGAAGGTGGTTTCCCCCTCTCTTCTCCAGCATTTGTCTGCTTCCTTCTCCCCGGCCCGTCTTACCCTCGCCCTTCGTTCTTAGGTTGCAACGGACTATAGTCTAGTTTATGCTAGCCATCAGTGGCATCGGAAGTGTACTGGAGATGGGGGCTATGGAAGAGAGAAGTGAACCCTTCCCCTTCCCCCCCCTCCTCTTTGTTGTGATGCCACTGTTATCCATATTTAAAATCTCATTCATTTGAAGTTCATTTGGTAAAAGCGCTGAAAAACAATGGACAATTAAAAGAGACGAACAACACAGAGCACTTGAGCGCTCTTTTGTTCATCTCTTTCACTTGCGCTTTCTTTTTTAGTGCTTTTACCCTCTGAACTATGAATCACCAACTAGCCCAAGTGCATACCCTTCTGAAGTCCTTTAGTTTTCAACTGTAACTTTCAACTGTAATCAAATCAAATCTCTCTTCTTTTTTTCAGTCGAGGGGCCAGGCCCTGATTAAGCAGATCCAGGAGTTGGCAGAGCAGATAGAGCAGACACACTTGGAGCTGAAGACATTCCAGGCCCTACAGGAACACGAGTCTCTGGCTATTCCGAAGAGGGTGGAGGTGAGTGCAGGAGCAACCAGTTTTTAAGGTTGGGCCTGAACATCTTCAGCGACGTCAGTTCAGCGTTTTGCATATTCATTGTTTCTTTTCATGAGCCATAGTGCTGCAGGCCTCTATTGTGTGGGCTTTTCTCTTTTCTGCACCGTTTCTGCTCCCCTGAGCTGAGCGTGGTTAACCGTGACTATGTCGTCTCGTGCAGGCTTTGACGGAAGATGTCAACAGGCAAGTGGAGCGAGAGAAGGCTCTCCAGAAGAGATACAACGACCTTCTGCAGCAAAAGGAATTGGTCGAAGAGGCCCTCGTGGATGTGCAATCCTAGAGACTGAGGTGGCCTGTTGTGAAAAGGGAGAAGTGCCCTCGGGACATCCTATATTTACCAAAAGTCACGATTACATGTCTGCTCATTTGTTACGGGAATCTGTTTTTTTTTTTTTTTTGCACCATCAACCTTTTATTGTGAAACACTTTTGCTTTTGGTAGTGTACACTTAAGAGCTGCAGAATGTCATTAAGATGGCATAGGCAAATAAAAAAAATTCCACTCTGTCCTGTCATGTATTTGTGTTAGGTAGCAGTATGTAGCATTCTGAGTATGAGCGGTTTGGAACCTCTCGGAGAGAAAAAAAAGGCTCCATCGTATCAAAACTGATGCTGTAGCAGAATAAATGGACCTTTTCCAAGAAGAATTACATACATCTGTGGTTTCTCCCATTTAGCGGCAGAGGCTTGCATGTGCTTTTGGGGGTATGGGGAAAAAAGAATTGCAGCGAACCCATTTTTGTTGTTTCGCTCGTACATAAATGTGTTTAGCAAGCAAGCCACAATATTGCATGCCTTAATATTGCATGCCTTTTGAGCAGTCTGAATCTGTGTAGGTCAGAAAACGACCCGTTGTATATTGTAAGACCGTTCCTACTTCTGTAGAATGCTGGCTTTCAGCATATGCCACAAATGACCGCTGCTCTCATTTTCACTGGATCAGGCCAGTTGTCTCATCACTTCCACTCTTCCCACACAGATTGGCACCTATTGTTGAATCACTATCCTTTTTGTTTGATTGTTTGATTTTGCTTGTTTGATTTTCCCTGCTCCTCCTGCACTGTGCAGAAAAGTGTAGGGCAGTGTACTTATATACCGGAAGTACACTGCCTTACAGTTTTCTACACTGGTGCAGGAAGTGCAGTTAAATCAAACAATCCTACTGACTGCATTGCCATGGCAAGAACATGGTGCAGTGTGTTAACATAAGGACACCTTTAACAATAGTTGTCAAAGCATGGGGAAGAGGGAAGTCTGCAGAAGTTCTCCTATTGAGTTGATCTAGTAACATTGCCTGCTGTCCAAGCCAACGTTGGTCCAAGCTGGTGCAACAGCTGACTGGGAGAGCCAGTGGGGAGAGCAGCCTTCAAAGTAAGTATATGACTGCCTCTAAGAGCCATTTTTGTGCTGAAAAGGTTGAAATGTGCCATTACTATCTTGAATTAGGTACTATCAATGAAAAAAAAAAAGTTTCTGCCACTTGATTCTTTAGAGCACTTTTAAATTATGTATCATGATTCACTATTGCTATAGTTTGTTTCAGCTTCGGTCCGAGCGCGGCCGATGTTATGAGCCGAAGGGCCAATCAAACAGCGAAAGAGGCACAACGTCATGGCGTGCTCTCTGCAGTTGATAGGACCAGCGTGCTCTCTCTGCGTGCTCCTTCGCCGGCTAGTCCTATCAAGCGCAGAGCGCGCGCCATGACGTTGCGCTCTTTACGCTGTTTGATTGGCCCTTTTGCTCGTAACATCTGCCGCGCTCGGACGGAAGCTGAAACAAAGTATAGTGCTGGTTTTGGACAGTTACAGAGGTCTTTGTTTCCAAAATAGCTTTGTGCTCAATTGGGCTATTTAGATGTTAACACAGCAGCTTGGGCTAGTTAGTTTTCCATCCACGACTTCACAGCGCATAAACATCTCGCGAAAGGCATTCGGACAATTGCAGACAAAAATCAGCCTTTCCACTCTGGTGAAGAAGGAAGACCAGTGGAGCTTTACTATGGTTGGACGACCTCAAGGATGATTTCTTGGACGACCTCTAGGACAACCCCAAGGATGACTTCTAAGGCAATCTCAAGGAAGACATCTAGGACGACTTCACTTCAAGGACGACGTCCAGAACGACCTCAAGGACGACTTTTAGGGTGACCCCAAGGACGACACCTAGAGGACGTCGTCCTCTTGGCATCATCCTCGAAAAAGACGCCTAGAGAAATTCAGCCTTTCCACTCTGGTGAAAGTGAAAAGTCTGGAAAGGGTTGCCACCTATGAGCGACAATGGCAATCAGACAACCGGCAAGCCGGTTGTCTGGTTACTGCCGTCACTCATTGATGGTGCTAGCTGTCCAGAGTTTTGTGTCGAGATTTATTTGTCCATGAACACGAAACTTGAGAAACTAGTTAACAGCTCTGCTGTAAAAACACAGCACTGAACTCTGTATTTTGTCTTAGTTTGCTTTGCATATTGTTGAAACAAAATATGTAAATTTTTAAATTGTCTTTTTCTTTTCCGCCTATTTCCGCGTAAATGGTCTGCGATTAACACTGATACTGCCGTGTTTTGTGTGCGTGTTCGCCACGCATGGCAAACACGACGTTTAGCCCAAGCAACGGCAGGCTGATGCAACTGACGTCAGCGGGGGAGAGCGAGCTATGGGGAGAAGAATGTGACTCCTGGGAAAGAACAGACTGGGTGCAGTCGCAGATTAAACAAGACGCTTCTCAACCGATTGTAACCTGACAGTTAAATAAATATATCCTGCATTATCCCAAATTAACCGGTACATCACAGACACCCCCCCCCCCCCCCCCCCCATACTTTATTTTTATTTTTTGCCAGGTGATTCAATATGGTGTCAAGAAGACTACCCAATCAATATTTTGCTGCAGCGTCGCATATATTTTGAATAAAGTAAAAGAAGTGCAACTGCTTGAAACTGGACTGGGGAGGAAAAATAAATATAGAGGAGGAGACTTGCCGGAAGTCACCTAGGTGTGGAAATTTTTTCTTTCAAATCAACGTATTTGGAGTTTTTTTAGAAGCCACAAAAAAATGGTATCATTTCTCTTCTATTTTTAATATTGTGTGTGTGCCTTCGATGACCCGCAGCTTTGATTATATTTGGTGGCTGCGTCTAGACCATACTCGATCGGTGGTCTTCGGGCGGGAAGGAAACCAGCTCTAATATGTCATGTACAAATAAAAAAATTGCAGTGGCTTAGCACAGCTATGCCAGGATATACGTAGCGTGAGCTTAGGTTCAGCTGGTTATTCTTAGCTTTCCTGGTTGTCTAGGATTGGCTTGATTATCATGCTTACTGCTGATTCAATGACACACACACGGTATACGCATTATGTGACACATGTACAATTTCACTCTCCTTCTCCATGGCCATACCACACTGGCAAACACCCGCTATATGTATACCACCACTGATACCTCTGCGCATGCGCACAAAATGAGAGGCGCTATCAAGCGGCTCCGGTGCAGCGTCAGACTTTGCTACTGCGGAACGGAGGCGCACAGCTGGGCACGCGGCGGCGCTAGGGCGTCTGCCGCGGCTATGACGTCACTCCTCTGGAATACGCAGACCGGCGAGGCGCGCGCGGCGGCGGCGGCTCCGGCGCGCCAGCTGTGCGCCGTGTGACGTCACTGCTCCTCGCGCATGCGCAGCACGGCTCTCCAGGAGCCACGCGAAACTGCTCAACCTCGGCCAGTGTAGCTCACGCTACAAAAACCTTGGCGAGCATAAATACCCTGTCAGTGTCTGTTTGAGGCGAGGGATGGGCTGCTCACGCATCCATCGTCAAGCCTGGCAATACGCTTCTGTCTTGCACGGTGCTGGCACGGTGCAACTACGTGCAAGACCTTGTCATGCGGCCGATTTGAGTCGCTCTCACTCTGTTCTCCGTGCTCACGCGCAGTTTTCTATGGTTTAGACACAACCACCCGTGAGCTATCGAAGGCACGCAATCAATACTAAAAACAAACAAAACAGTATGATACCCATTTTTTGTGGTTTCAAAAAAACTTCAAATACGTTGATTAAAAAAAAGTTATGAGTTTTGGTAATTATTTTCTTTAAATTTCTTCTTCCTCCCCAGTCAAGTTTCGGTTTCGGTTTCGAGCAGTTGCGTTATTTTTTATTTTATTAAAAATATACGTGACGCTGTAGCAAAATATTGATTGGGTAATCTTTTGACAATCATAATAAATCGCCTAACCAAAAAAAAAAAAAAAATGCAACGATTTAGCAAGGCTAGATTTTATCCTCATCTGACCATGTATTTTAAACACATTGGCAACATTGGTATGTTCGCGCCATCTAGTGACAGACACGAAAACGTGCAGAGTTGCGTGAATCGCATGGTGGTGGCATCACAATTTTCACAGTGAAACGTGGATTTATTGAGGTCATGAAGCAAAATACCTTATTTTTTGAGAAGGTAAGTGCCTCGCGTACTAAGGTTTATATTCGCTAACTGTACAAGCGTTGGTTTACGACGAACAACACTCGGCGTCAAACATAGGATCAACCGCAAAGCGATCACATAAGATCCCAGGAACTGTCAAGAGGTCCTTCTCACCGGCGAATTCTTACAGACTTTGTCATATACAAATGAAAACGATGTCAAGTGGCTAATCAGTTAAAGATCCGAGAATCGCATTTGTGGGTGATGATCAACCTCTCTTGTGGGGTCTGCGGCATCTGCTTGACGGTATGGCATAAGTGACAACCTAAAGCTACAACCACGATCCTTGGCACCGCACTTGCTCCGTAGAATTAAGTATTTTGATCCCAGTAATACAGCATACCTTAAGTTGTCCTTGCAGGGAAGGCGAGAGGAGGTTTTAATTGTGTCATTCACACGATTGTTTCTCCAAATCTATTTGTAGCTTCGAACTACGTATTCCAGAACTATGCATTTGCTTCAAGCGATTTTCAGATATAGCTGACTAGATCTCAGAACAAGCTCTTCAAGTTCATTAAGCATGTAACGGGATTCAGGGTAGGTTTATTTATCGGATGATTATACGATATTTGATATGATTTTCCTTTGCAAAAACTGGGATGGAACACAAATTAATTTTCTCTCTCTTAAAGCCTGACGACCAGACTCAAGATTCTGCAAGGCAGAAGACCATCCTCACCATGGGGGAGGAAGAAACAGGCAACAGTGGACAGTCTAGGAGGGGGAAAGGAAGAAGCGAGGGAAAAGTGGAAAGCGCGACCTGGTCATCGGTCTTTAACTACTTTTAAGTTTTCATTCGCATTCACTGGTTCATTGTGGATACTCGGAGATATTACACTTCCTGAAGGTCTACAGGGCTCCAGTTGTAAACAGGCAATGCATAAGAGGAACCACTAATACAGTGAGATGACATCATTGCCAGTTCATGTATACCGTTAAAGGGACACAGAGAGTATTTATGCTCGCTGAGGTTTATATTTGAGGAGGACCTATAAAGTATGAGTAAAGCTATACACACTACGTCGTGCAACCTGGACCAGAAATGGCTTTACGCACGACGCAAAACTCATATAAAACTAATGGTTACAATGAGTTTTCGAAGCGGTGGCGTAGCTTAGTGGTAAAGTGTCTGCTTCATGCGCAGCGAACCCCTGTTCGATTCCCAGTGTAAGCTTACTTTTGTTTTTCTAGAACATTTTTTTTTGTTGAGCATTTGGCAATATATACAACATTTCTTTTTTATGATTAACACTGAAGAAAAAAAAAAAAAAGAGAGAATGTTGTCGACGAAACTTTGCTGGACTAAATGGTATGGGACTCCCTTTAGGTTGCCAGCTGGACGCCGTGAAGCGGTGTGTACGGGGGGCCAAGTGGGTTAATAGTTTTGCAATTAGCAGCCACACACTGTCGCCGCGAAGCGGCGTGAACGCAGGCTTGGGACGGGACGGGACGGGACGGGACGGGACGGGACGGGACGGGACGGGACGGGACGGGACGGGACGGGACGGGACGGGACGGGACGGGACGGGACGGGACGGGACGGGACGGGACGGGACGGGACGGGACGGGACGGGACGGGACGGGACGGGACGGGACGGGACGGGACGGGACGGGACGGGACGGGACGGGACGGGACGGGACGGGACGGGACGGGACGGGATATGGGGGATATGGGGGATATGTGCCGTCCGAAAAGGGTGACCCGAAGGCCCTGAGCTCTCCGCGTCGTGCGGTGACCCGATTCGCTGTCACTCAGTCACTAGTGTGACAAATCAAACTGCATGAAAGCGACGGGAGCAAGCGACCAAGGCAATGAGCGACGCGATGAGCGACAGTGACAAGTCCCCGTCACTCATCGCTGACTCTTCGCTGTCGCCGTTTCCTGTTTCGTCACTCGCTAAATTACATACATACGTTTCAGCCTTAAGAGCTCAACTACCCAGAACACAATTTACGGCTCCAAAATAATTTTTGTTCCGCCCGAAAACAGCCGGTCGAGAATTTGCCGGTTTCAGCTGAGCTCACTCTTTTTCATGGTCACGTGGCGTTCAGACTATGTGTACCTGATATATTCAAAGTTGTAGGTCATCAAAGCGCAGATTCATGATTAAAAATAAAGAAGAATATGAACCCCATTTTTGTGGCCTCTAATAATCTGCTAATACGTTGATTGACGAAAAAAAAAAATGTTGCACAGATCACAGGAAGTACATGTACACGTCATTTTCAATGTGGCAACGTACGGAGGGCTGGAAGACGCGATGGCAGTGCGCAACGGATTAACGTTGCAACAAACGTGATGTTGCTACTTTGGAACTGTCGTTCCTAGTACTGGCCAGTCGATCTTCAAGTGCAGAACATTGAGTGGAAGAGATACAAGTGCAAAACGATCACACGGCAAACGGTGCACGCAACTTTGTTATTGTCGTCGTCTTCTTCACACGCCAAAGAAGCAGAGAGGAAAAAAAAAAAGAAACGGTTGGGAGTAGCCACGTAACTTCTGGCCATGAGCTTTCAGGTTTCGGTTTAGGGTAGTTGAGTTTTCTGGCTTTATTAAAAATGTACATGACTGTAACAAAATATTGATTGGGTAATCTCCTGACTCAATATTAAATCACCTGGCAAAAAAAAAAAAAAATTAGTGGGTGTCGGTGTTTTTTTTAAGTTTTCTATTTCCCCGTTTAGTGGCGGTGATGCAGTTCATGTTTCTGTATATGAAGTGATTGCGTAAACATGATGCAGGTATGAGTCAGCTGGTGCAACCGCACTTCTCGGAGACACTTCGGACATTCTCTGGAGTTGCCGCAGACGAACAATGCTTTGACGAACCTGCCGATGCCATTCTCCAGAAGAAGGAGGTCCAGAATGAAAGGCGCTTGAAGTGAGGCTTTTTAACACTATTGTTTCTTCCACTTTATGTGTGAGTTCAGCTGAAGTGGCAAACACAAGCGTGTTGCCCTGAACAATGCTTGCACTTCTTGAGTGTGCAAGCTTGGAAGGGGCATTGAAAGCACAGTGCTCACTTTTCTAGCTTCCGCTACGCTCGCAATTTAAGTAAAACGGGGCATGGCTCCTTCTGCTAGAGAGCTCTGGCTGAGATTGATTTTAATAAAATTTTTCACATGTTTCAGAAAGAGCAGTGCATCTTGGAACTTTGTCAAGCAGACCATCTTGTCTGTGAGGGACAAGTCAGATACTGAGGTTATTGTTGCCTTACGGGAGCTGCTTCACTATGCTCAAGAGTTTGGTGAGTAATGAATCTATCCTCTTGGAGACCCGAGGATGAATTTCCACGAAAGTATAAAAATGGCAATTTGCATTTTGTTGCAACAGTACTTTACCAAGGGACCTCACTTCCAGTGAAATTTGGAGGGGTTTGGTTTCTTGTCGGAATATTTTTTCCCACTAGGCTTTCCCTGGTATCCCTTCTCGAATGCTCCATTTCAGCTTTAGAGGTTCTTCTTTGATACTTCTAGCTGAAGCCGTCCTACGATCGAGGAAGAGATTGTTAACGTTGTCCGAACACGTCTATATTATTTTGTTGAACAGCATCTGTGGAAAACATTTTGAGCGATGTCTTGGTGGAGATTTTTTTTGAAAATTGGTGCACTTTTGAAGGACTTGCAGTTTTGTAGATTTTTTTAATTACTTCGAGTAGGCTAAAAATGTCATTTTGAAACCATAAAACATACTCTGAGCACCTTTTCATTGACATAGCTGGCAACAAAATACCCTATTACTTGATGAAATAACATATTTGGGAAATATAATTTTCAAAATGACTGTTAATAAGTAGAAACTAGCAGCTTTGCCACGACCCGGTTTCAGAACTTGTCGACGCAAAATGATGCATAGGAATTGTGGCCTGTGGGGATTGAAAGGGGGCGTTACAAAAGTAGAAATAATTGGAAAAGAAATAAAATTTTTCATGTGGTTATGCTGTGAAAAATTGGGCTTCCCCAATATGGTATATTTACAAAACGGCACATTCACAATACGGCATGTTAGCAGAAGTAAGGCACGCGTAAAATAAATCTTAGATACATCAGTTCCTGGAGGCGGGGTCAAAATTTCACACCAGTTGTATCGTCGTGACAAGATTGTCATAATAAAATGTCAAGTCGGTATCACTTATATCAAGTGTTTGTAGCAAATAAGGATGAGTAGTGTTTGTAGCAAATAAGGATGAGTAGTGTTTGTAGCAAATAAGGAAAGTATAGAACAATTCTGTTGATTTTGTTGTGTTGGAAGGTTATTTTTGTGTAAAGCTGTTTCTAGGCAGGGTGTTATGATATTATAACTTTGTAACTCCTTTCTAATGCATCGGAAGAAAAATATATTGTTAACTGGATTTAATCATCATTAACTCTCAAAATATTCTTACGAGCTGGCGTTTTTCTGTAGCGCACGAGTTGAAATATAATTGTTAACATATTTTTCGTCTGTCAATGTTCCACTCGGATCCTTTCACACTTCAGCCGGAGGCGACTGCTTGGAGGAGGTCATTCAGTCCGCGGCACTCCTGCTGCTGGACACGTTCCAGGAGTCTGAAGACAATGGCCTCGTCAGCGACAGGCAGAGGCAGCTCCTCCGCACAACCTTCGGCAGCTTCCCTCCCGACCTGCCCAACAGAGCGCACAGCCTCGTGCGCAAGATCTTCTCCTGGCTTCCCCCGGAGACGCGGGACCTTCTGCTGGAGCAGAAGAACAGCATCGAGGACCAGTTCCCGGAGTCGGCCGAGTTCACCCGGAAGCTCAAGGTCGGCGGGTTTGTGCCCTTCGTGGACGATGAGATCGAGGTGTGTTCGGAGGATGAGCTGTTTGTCAAGGACCAAGCGCGGCTGGACATGAGCTACAAGACCCCCGTGCTTCAGAACGGGGTTTCCAGGAAGCCCAAGAACCGCTACAACTCTAGTTGGTTGAGGGAACAGGTGCAGACTGTGTTGGCCGACAACAGTGCCCTAGGTCTGTCGGTGGAGGAGATTGTGAACGTCGTCACGCCCATGCTGGACTCCCATCGCACCGACAAGGAGCTCGAGGGAGAGGTGGGTGTGGCCACAAGCAGCTCCCGTCGTCGGAGGGTGTCTGCGGTTGCGATTATGTTATACTTTAACGCGGAATGTGCTTTATCGGCCGAATTTTGTGGGACAAATGTCGCGAAGAATCGCCACGGGTCGTGATACTGCATGATATTGCGACGTTACATAACATTGTGACATCACATGACCCCATAATATCGTCAGAGACTTTTTTCACAAAGGTTAATTTGCAAAATCGTTTTTTCGCCTGTCGTAAAGCCCGTTCCCGGCGTCCTTTGCACTCTTCACTTCCATTTGCCCGAAAGGCAAGCAGGAAGAAAGAGCTATACTTCGATCCCTAAGCTGACAGGGTGGCGGGAGCTACGCGCTTGCTGGACCAGTCGACAGCCTGTCTCCCATCACCTTATCATTCTCTGCGTGTGGGTATGTGTTGGGAGTGTGATCATGTGCCAAAAGGTCCACAATTGACTGGTCCGGTGAGCGTGTAGCTTCCACCACAATTCTTGGCTTGCCAGTGAACAAACCATAGGGCTTGCAGAAAGGAGAAGGGCGACCGCCCATCCAGTGAAGCGGCTCTATTCTATTTATTTGTGTGATGTCACCAACCATAGTCCTTGCTCTATTACCTCCACTTCTTTCTATCCTATGCAAAGAATGCATGGAGCTATGCAGGGCTCAGTTGCAAAATGAGAACAAGGGAGGCAGTGGGGTGAGTGCACAGCATGGGGTGTAGTGCTGGCTGGTTATGATCAGTTGTCAAGTTACCTTGTTCACATTTTGTAATATTTAGTATCTTCAGAATTGTAAAACTTGTGTTTAAGTAGCTTATGAATATTTTATGTCAAGATTCTAACTTTCTAATTTTCATGTCATGACCCCTTAATCTGTCACAACAACCAAGGCAAAAGGCATTGAAAGCTCTTGGACGTGGCAAGTGGTTATTCGCAGAACACATTACTACAGAATGTTGCTGTACGTTAAAGGGGTTGTGAAACATTTTTCAGATATCCTGAGCTATATATCTATTTCGAATCCTTGTCCTTTATTACATAGCCCACATCCATTCGTTTAATCATCCACACCCGTTTACTAGCAAAAAAAAAAAAAAATTCGGTTTCCCGGGGAGTTTTTTTTTCAGTTCCGCAAATATGTTACGATAGGCAACCAATGGGGCATTTTTGTTTTCTGTGCAAGGTGGTGACATAGGCCGGACTCTATGGGGAGAATACAGAGCATTGGGTAAATTGCTCCAACGGCAGCGTCATAATGATGTCAGGCACACAATACACAAGTAAACGAATGACATCTGACGTCTGATATTATGCTTGGATAATTGTAAGACAAGCGACCTCGTTGACCGCTAGCCGCTCCAGCGTCGCCTATTACGTGGCGGTTGGCTTTTAGGTTCAGAGCCGTACGCCGACACTGCTTTGCTACTGTATGTCATGCTACAGAGGAGAGTTTTTGAGGGAATGGTTTTCAACTTGGATTTGTCAAGCCGCGTCACGATACGATTGTCAACTAACAAACCGTGAACACATTCTCGCTTCGACAAGAAAAGTGCCGATCCGCTCACAAGAAAAAGACGAGAAGGCTGGAAATATAAGCAAAACGAATTGCCTTTGCATACTTGAGAATCAGTATTTCAAGTTACTCCCAAGAAAAATCGTAAAGGAAATTTGATGGAAAACTCTCGACCGCCGGTCAGGGGAAATACCGAAATACTATGTCCTAGAGTTAGCCCCCAAAAACAAACGGCCTGAGAATGTACATGCTGATAGTCGAGAGGTCATGCATGCGCATCCATCCTTCCTACTAATTTTGCAAAGTTCAAGTTTGAATCCCCTTTTGGTTATAACTTTTTTATTGCTCAACTTTATGTTTTATTATAATTGTAATCCACAATCAAGTTCCACAACTGCATTCCACAATGAATGCGAGCTGCGGCAGGATGAGCAGCATAGTTACAATGGTTATCAAATGACAGAAGACCCGGATCTGTTTGAAACCGAAACAGTACCATGATCACGTGATGTGGTGACATACAATTTATACAAGAATGCCTATAAATAACCCAATGTTTTCATCACTACAAACTTATTATTTGTAGATTATATAAAGTTGAATATCTGTTCAACCTTTTTACGTAGCTACCATGACATTTTGTTGCTCATGCTGCCGAGGGGTGTGGCATGGTCGTTTCACATAGGCCATGCAACGCAATTTTGAAACGCGGTTTATAAAATGAGGATGGCAATATTTCGCCGTAATGCTTTATATTCAACGTCTTTGTGGTTTAATGAATATAAGAAGGGGATTTGTAGCCAAGTGGGCTAGCGCACACCAGCTCAAAGCACAAGGAGCGAAAGCTCGCACTGCAGAACCCAGGGACCCTGGGATCAATACCCACTCCTACCCGTTTTGATCTGGATGAGCATCATACCGGGGTGTGGTTGTGTATCACTACTTCGTGGTGCTTGTTAAAGACCCCGGGCTAGCGGTTCTACTGCGCTGGCTAAATTTCTTATCTACAGCTGAGAGACAAGTCGCCCGTTGAGTCGCCCGTCAGGCTGTATAAACATGCACATGCCAAAATATATTTTTTTTTAATGTAAAAAAGATTTGGCAGATACTTTTTTCTTTTTATGACCCCTTTAACAATGGTTTACTGGTGAGAGTTAAATTGCAGTGATATATTCTGCACATTTTTTTCATTCATGAAAAATGTGGCATGTGCCACATCAAAGCACGCTTCTCTATAGTTTTTATCATAATATTGTTACGATTATTGTGAGCTCATCAGTGCAAGTGAAAAGCACTATAATATTTCTCTACGCTCCAAAGAACTTACACTGAGCAGCTACTCCAATCAATATAAATTTAGGCCCTTTACTGATTACCTCAAGGTCACAATGTACACAGCTTTTTTTTTTTTAAAGAATTCTCATATCCTACAGCAGACATTCAGTACGACTCCAGTGCTGCTTCAGGTCAATGTACTGCTCTCATATGGGCTCTCTAATAAGTTAAGGAAAATAATTGTTCTTCTGAAAGACGTAAAGTTCAGAATAGCCATTCTATGAGTTATATTTTGTCAAATAACTATGAGCGTCTTTCAGTAGTAAAGCTGGAGCTAAGTTAGGTGCTGTTTAAGAAAAGAACATTTGGATATTCTTTGAATCTTTTGGGAGGAGAGACAGGATGGGATTGCAAACATATATTGCACTGACAAAACCAAGATGTATTGATATCTGAGAGGAATGATACAGAATACACTATACTGCTTCATTCCTAGGGAGTGATATAGTGCTCTTCAAAACACTTTCTAGGTAGTTGACACAGAACTTCACCAGTGTGTCCCTTGCGTGACATAGAGTCACTTGCAGTCCTGCTACTGCTGAATTAATTGATCTCTTCACATTGGTATAAGGTTCATCATGACCAAAGGTTTATGCATGGCACTTCATCTTAACAGGACATTAAGGGAAATTTTAAGTGTCCCGTTACATGCTGTTAAATACTTTTCCTACTCTGAATCAGCAAGATTGATACTTTGCCTGCTTTTCTTCCCATCAGAATATTGGTACTGGAACATGCTGACTATTTTGGCAAACTTTCTAGCAGTAAGACACACAAATTAGATTTTTCTTCACAGAGCACTTCTCAAAGCTATACAATCATGACGGAGCATTTTGCAGCATTCAGGTTATTGGGCGTATAGCTTTTCTTAAAGGGCAGCTCCGGTCAATATTTTCGAATTTGGGATTACGACTGTTTGCAGCAGAGTCATTGCTTCTGAATAGCAAGGTATACTTTTTTTCTATATTGTTTGTAGTTTTATAAATATCACGGCTTAGTTTTGTTTCGGGGGTCTACAACAAAACCAAAACTATCTGTTAGAAAGAGATAGCAACACTGGTATCAGCTGTACGGCTGCGACGTGACGTCATGGTGGTGCTGCGGTATGTGTCGCCTAGTGTTGGTTGACCAAGAGCTAACTTGCTTGGCCACCTGCTAAAGAGCAGCTGGTTGCATCTTTAAAATCGGTTTTAGTGGAGTATGCGGCTTCACATTGACATAATATTACGGCTGTGATCATATTTCGTGCCACTAAAGCAACACAGGTCATTTATTTTGGGTTTCGTTTTCGACCGTAGATGCCCTTCAAATTCCGGTCAATTGTGTCATTGTGACAGAGTCTTCATAACAATCACACTTTTCATCGAAATATGCTGAATGCTTATTTTGCTGCACACTTTATAATTAAACTTTATTTCTAGTTACAGCCAAGCACAGATGACACCACACTCACCTTGTCTCTACTGATATCTTAGTTTAAGTCTGTTCAGAAGGCTTAAATTCTGGGTGCATGAACTTAATTGTTCAGGGTGTGCTTAAAGAATGAGACCTTTGTTGCGATTTGTTCTCAGGGTGCCTTTGTTTCATGTGGCATGCATTGGGGATTCCAGATGTTTGAATTTTTTGGTGCCGAGTTTCTGGGCGTGATTCACAATATCCTGGACCACCGGAAAGAGCTGGTGAAGGCCATCAATGCAGAAGCTTTGAGCACAGGAGATGCTTTCCCTGATGTACCAGCCTTAAAGAACCAGCCCACAAAGCCTACCTATGGCTGCCAAGTCACTGTACAGGTAAGGTAACATGTGCAGGTCCCTAGACTGCCTAAATAACAATTGTGTGTTTTTTGTTTTAATCATTAGCCACATGTTTCTTTCAAAAAGGCATCAATGGAGGGAAAAAAGAATGCTGAAGGTTCTTCAGTGTTTTTCTTTTTCATAGGGTTCCTTTTAAAGTCAAAACGGCTATAAAAATATTTTTCTGTTAACCCATTATAAGTGGCTGGTGCAGCAGCCACCCCTACTACCTCTTGCATACCCCAGGGGTCAGCCCTGGGGCTCTTGTTCTTTGAAATACATTAATGATGTTACTAGCCAGCTGACTTCATGCATTAGGCCCTATACTGAGTATGATGTAGTGATAGAGAGAAATTAGGACTTAATGTAAATCGGAAAATCACTTTAAGTGCACATGGTCTGTGAGGCAAGTTTCTCAGGGGTTTTCTCTGCTGCTCCAAAGAAAAACTGCAGATGCTTTTTGTTTTGTTTTTTATTTGAAGAAAAAAAAACAAAGTTTGAATGTATGCACCCTAAAACGTGTGTGTAAAGCTCCTCTTAAATTGATAGGAACAACGTAATCACCAAAAAATATTTTGCTGTTGCTCTGACCGCTGCTGCGCATCAATCCCAGGAAAGGACACGAGCAGAGAGGAAAGCTAATGAAAGCGACATACTCTTTCTCGTCTCTTAGCTGAGAGGCTCGCCTGCATGCCCGGCGGCAGTCACTGCACATTTTTTCGAAAATAATAGGGGTTTACATTTACGTCTGCCAAATTCCTGTGGGATAATCGAATGCAAGAAACTATAGAAGGCTGTTCCTAACTCAGTTTTGTTTTTAAAGAAAGCTTCAGCTTCTCTTTTTTTGTTTGAGTGATGCATTTCATGTACCCTCATTTCACTCTCTTGTAATGATCGGTATTTTCCTGGTGCAATCTGTTTGAATATGTTCTTTCTCTGTTGCTCATTCATTCAGTCCAGTTGACAAAGGTCTGCAATTTTGCTTTCTTTCAGTATCCTTTATTTGTTATACAGGGCACATTTTTTAGGCTTTACTGATTTGTTTTAAAAAAGCAGTGAAAGCTGCTTCAATGCATTCGATGCAGGTGATTCATACAGCCAAGGGGACATAATATAGGGGTTATTTGTCATGATAAGTGGGATAAATAATTAGAATGTGTTTATTTACTTTTTAATTAGTCAAAATTCACATGGTTTCAATTAGAAACTAGTTGAGCATCACTGAAAACCCCTAAATTAACAAATTCAAGATATGTGGGGGGCATGGTGGTGTGCGAAAGTGACCACACGTGCAACGGGCACAGTGCTGGCGGCATGAAAACGTGGATGACAAGAGACCGAAAAACCGTGCGGTTGCATTTTTGCAAGACTAGCCTTGCGCCCATTGCTCAAGTGGTAACTGTAGTGCACCATTGCACTTCTCACGTGCCACAGATATTTATAAAATTTACTTGTGTGGTGGTTTCCAGTTATGCTCAGCAAGCTTATGATTGGTATCATATCTTTATCTTCAATCATTATAAAGTTAATTATCAAATTTTAGTGAATAACCAACTTAATCTGACCAGCCATATAACTCGCCTGCACGGACTGCATTGGCCTAGATTTAATGGCTTTTTATTAAAACCGATCCTTGGAGCCTTATAAAAAAACAACTGTATTTTTGTTTTGTGGCTGTGTACACAATGCGGCACTGTTAGCACGAACAAGGGATTGTCGGTTATTTCCATTTTCCTCTTGTAATCAAAAGCCTGCCATATAGTCTATTAATGTGGTGGGAACTGCTCTTGCAGCGTACTAACTTAAGCGGTAAAATTTGCTGCCCGCCAATACCCTTTCAAAGTTAAATAAAAAAAAGTGCTATGTCGTGTTTGCACTAACACTTGCGCAGTATACATTGTGCGACACTGTTAGCATGAACACTACATGGGCTATTTTTTTTGTATTTTACTCGGATGAAATATTGACAGGCACCAAACTGTATCGCTTGGGCTACTTCCCCGAATCAGGACTGTGCACCTCACTAAGATTTTTCGTAGCGGCTGTTAAATTAAAAAAAAACAAAAGAAAACAGGAGATCACTTGTTCATGCTAATAATGTCACACTGTATATGTATAAATATAAATAGATAAACAAGATTTTTTTAAACCAATTTTGCATGAAAGGTGTTAACACAGTGATATTTGGTGTCCTTTAGCCACGTGGCATGACTAAACGAGCCGATCGAATTTATTGGTCATATCTAGGGTTCCATGTTTTTGGAGTTTATTTCTCATGAAATTTGGAGGGTGTTTTCCGGAGTTCATTTTTTGTGCTGAGTTTATCATAGGTTCTTATGGTAGATTTTTAAGTCTCCCAAATTGAGAGCTTAATTTCGCCCTGTGCCAAATTTTTCAAAATTCAATATAAAAACAGATATCCGAACACAAAACCTGCCCTAAATTCATAAGAACTCACCTGTATTGAATAATATTTTTTCAGCTTGATTGGGCATTTGTACCCTTGCCATTGGTAATAGGAGTGTTTGGAAGTACTTTAAGTACATTGTGCTTAAACTTTAAGTAGTACTTTAAGCACAACATACTTAAAGTACTACTTCAAGGAGGTTTAGAATACTTGTACTTTACTTGGTACATTCTGTGAATATGTGCTTGGTACTTGAAGTAAAGGTTTTTTTTCTGGTACTTTTTGAGGGAAGTACAACTCCCGACTTCAAAGTACATCCCCAATTTTAGTCTCGGTGAAATTCAACTCTTTCAAGGATAACACACTCGTGTCTTTGGCTTTCCCAGTGGGGTTGAGTCCAACCTCTAACACGAAAAAAAGCCTTATTGTCATGTGAGAACAAGCTATTGACTTTCGAGACGTCATCTGGTCATTTCTTTGAGTGAAGTAATGGTGGCTATAAAACCGATACAAATACCCAGTGCATTAAAAGTTGATTGTGTTAAATATTTAGTCAGCAAGAGTAAAACAACTACTTTGTGGCCACTTCAGTTTATCCAATATTCACTGCCATTTCCAAAAATAACTGATGCACCCCCGATACCCCAGGGGGAATGCATACCAGTTAAAAACAATTGGTCGTTGCATACATGTACTATGCTGCATAGATTTCCATGGAACTATGTGTGGGTGGCACTGAAGTCACTAAATCTTTGGAAAGTAGTGCCACTGCCTTCCCTGCCTGCTGGGACACAAACAGATACAGACGACCGGAAGCTCGCAAGGTGATTGACTGGTCAATGTCCGTTGCCATGGTGATTGCCATTTCAGCCCCTTCATATCTTCGAACCGCCAAGAGGGTCGTTCTAAACCAGTCGCAGAAAGATCGCCATGGAGCATCATCGTACTGAAGGCGTTTCTCGCAAAATAAGCATCTTTGGCACTGTTTGTGCAATTAACTTATCAATCACGCCCATCTCCACGAATCTCTTACAATGATATTGTTCTTCTTGCATATTGGAAGACAAGAAAATGATTTCTCAGTGCCTTCAAGCACTGACACCACATGTGGTGGCGGTACGAAGATCTTTGCTTGTTTCGCCGGTGTGTGGATAGCCAAATCTCGGTATACAAGAAACGTCTCTATAAAGCTACCCATCACCAGCAAATTTAGATTGGCTCACCAAGAACGGAGAGGTCGAAGAGAAACTGCTCATTTCTTGAGCCAAAATGGCAAACATACAGGGAGCTTAGCGCTACTTTCCCGGTGTCCAGTGACTTTAGATGGCACAAAAAATGAGAGGATGTTCAACTCTTCGCCGAGTCGCTCGAGTGAGTCACGTGAACTGCCCGTGCCGCAGAGCACGCGAGCTCGGCCGCTGTCCAGAGTGATGAGCAAAGATTGTGGAATCACGGCTGCCGGAGCGGCGTCTATTGCCGTTTCGATCAGACAGGAGCATGTTGCGTCGAAGTGAGCGAACGAGCAAGCCAGCAGATAAGAAAGGATGCATGTGCGCACTGCGCGGTCCTCTTCGGTGTTACCTGTGTGACGTCACTTATGTGACCAAGTTCTTGTGACATCGACCTCCCAGTTTTGGACCCCCTCAAAATGTAAAAAAAAAAAGTAGTTTTATGTCAAAGAAAAGGGCACTTGTACTTTAATTTGAAAATACATCATATGTATAGTATTTTACTCATAGTACATTGCGCTCAGTGCACCTACAACTTCACTTTAAGTACATAACTGCTAAATTAATTTGTAATTACTTCAGGTACTTCTTAGATGTACTTACCCAACACTGGATAATACTAGCCGTCCCAAAACAAAACTTGCAAACGAGTGTTGCTTTAATAAATGCCAATACTTCAAAATCGCTGGACTATTTGACGTAGTCTCTGAAAAGCTAGTTTTCTTCTCATCCCATTCCACCATTTTCCCTCCATGGGGTGGAGAGATAGAACCTTTAGCTACCCCTCTCCCTCCTATGATCATAGCTTTCACTGTCGTAAAAACAGAACACCAACTCCTTCTAACAAGTCTAAATTGAAAACTAGAACAGTGGCTTTTGTCTTGGTCTAAAATTCCAATGACTCGTTGTCTTGAACAAAGCTTGATGAGATAAGCTATGAACCCCTTTTTGTCAATAGTTCGAGATTTGAAAGGAAACTGAAGAGACCTCTCCTCAGGACCGCTGACCTTGTGCTTTGACCAAGCTCATTTGTAAAATACCGTGGATGTTTACCTTTTTTTCTTAACGTTGTGACATTGGAATTTGGAGTTTCTAGGGTAAATCCAAACTGTCAAAAACTTTAGCGGCCAGTGTTTTGTAGATTTGATCGGATTTATCCGAAAAAACGGAACCCTAGCCATATCAAAGCATATTTTTAAAATAGTGTTTTTTCTTTCTTTTTCCCTGTGCTGAATTTTTTTTTATTTTTCATGCATGAAAAATTTTTGATGCATTTGTCAAAAGTCACATGAGGTTATGGATGTGCAGAAATGCTCTAGCAAGTTTTGGGTGTTGGAAGTTCTGTGGAGTTTCAATGCAGCTTGCCTTCGAGTTGCAAATATTCCAAGAGAAAACGTTTTCAACGTTACATTTTTAAACCTTTCTTTCTAGTCTGAACAAGAGAAAGCCCTTATGAAGAAAATTCAGAAAGAGGAGAAGAGGATTGGGCGTGATCGCATGAAAAACACGAAGGATCAAGAGGACGAGGTTCAACTAAACGTGGAATTTCTGCGAAGGCAAAAGTATGGGTTGTGTGTTTGTTTGTGTGTTGCCTATAACCCTTCACTTAGTGTTGTCTGCACCTGACGTTTGTTCTTTCCTGTGCAGTGCGAGGCTAGTTAGTCATTAGCCCGCCTTATAAGAGCTATAAAAAAATAACATAGTACAGAATCTCAAATTCCTGAAACTTAAGAGTTTTTCTTTGAAACCTTGTATCTTTAGCTCTTTGAGCGAGCAGCAGACCGTAAAATCTCGGTAAGGGCACCCTCCCCCGAGAGATCACCCATCCTGTTTTTCTGGCTAAGTATCCATAACAAAAAAAGTTCAGAAACACCGCCCACCAACAGATTTCGATCCGACGCGATGCGATGCAATGCGATGTCCGACGGAAATCACAAGTACTGCCCGATTTGCGGTACCAGTCTGCGTGTGACAAACGAATTACCAGCGCGTTTCCACGTTTTTGTCCACAATCTGCGCAACCAATATCGGTTCCCATAGCACGTAACTTTGTAGCCGGTTTCCGCACGTTTATCGCACTGTAATGCACGAATCTGCTGCATCTACAGTTCGTGGTATTCGTTCCCGTGACACAGAAGTTTGAAGCAAATTTTCACGTGTTTATTGTGTTGGAAAACACGAATTTGCCGCGTCCGCAATTTGTGGTATCAGTGCCCGTGTCACGTGGTTTGTAGTGGGTGCCCCAGTGTTTATCATTAATTTTTGATAAAGGTTTGCTGTCTCATTCTCAAAGTTAGCCCAGCTCATGTTTTGCACTATTTATCTCTTCATTTTGGGTGGGTGCCTTTAAAGGACACATGCAAAGGAAAAATACTTTTTTTTAAGCAGCCTGGTTGGGAAAGAGAAGTCTCATAAAACTGATTTACAATGAAAATTAAAAATTTTTAGAGCATTATTTACGGCGCTATACGAATTTGTAGTTGGCACCCGCGGGTGCCACGGAAAAGTGGCCGCCATTTGTATTGTGACCGGCTGCTATTTGTCACGTGGTACTTGCGCTCTTTGGAAAGCTTCCTATGGTATCTAAAAGTTACTTATTCATCTTTGTTTTAAGTGCAACAAAGAACGAAGATTGATAAGTAACTTTTAGAGCCCAAAAGAAGCTCCTGAAAAAACGCAAGCAGACGTGATAGACCTGCGCGATTGGCGGCAGCGTGGAGAAACGCGTTGAAATGGTGGCGCACCACGCTCAGCGTGCAGCGGTGGTGTGACTTTGAGGCGGCGGCGCACAAGACCTGCAATGGCTCCCGCGGGTGCCAACTACAAATTCATTTTGCGTCGTAAATATAGCTCTAAAAATCTTTTTTCTTCGTTGTAAATTCGTTTTATAACATTTTTTTCCATCTAGGCTGTTCAAAAATTTCTTTTTTTTTTTTTCATTTGCATGTGTTTTTTTAGGGGATTTTACGATACTTTCTACATGAACCTTGCAAAGTGGTGCACAGAGACAGAATGTAGTAAGCGAAGTGCTATCTTATTAAGGTCTATCTAATCGTGACAACTTCGCGTGTCATAAGGTGCCAATGAAGTCTTTGTGCATTATTTACCATAATCATGATTCTATCTACAGGCACGCAGAACTAAATGCAGAACTAAAAACGGTCAAGGAAGCTCCACTGTTGCCCCGGAGGCCACAGGTTTACGTGGAGCGGTACCCCAATGTGTATGACTCTTTCGCAGAAGCCAAAAAGAGTGCTGCTTTCATAGCAGGCACCAAGGTATGCCTCTGAAGTCCGCTTTGCTTCAGTTTTTTTATTAAATAGATGACATGCAAAATGCACAGTGCTATCTAATAGAGCGCCGAGAACTACGTCCGCCACTTTGGTAGTGGCGAGAAAACAAAACCGGCGACCGGACTGGCAAAGAAGACAAGTAAAGCGGCCGTGCTTCGTGTGACAGATGCAATGCCGATGCAGTGTTGTGTTCCGCTTTGTAAACAGCAAGGGACCATCAATCCCTACGGGAACAAGGTACACACATAAATCAGGCTTAGGCGTTTTAAACACAGAATGTGTTTTTGGCAGCATTTTCTACGAGAAAATTGTTATGAACCTTTGGGATTATGTATAAGGTTTATGTATAAAGCTTGAGCCCCCAGCAAGGCTCAAACCTGCTGGGGAAACGGTGGCAGTCGGATGCCTAAGTCACTGAGCTAGTAAAGTTGCCGTGAATTGGTCAGTGCTTTTTAACACAGAATTCATTTTATCAGCTGATTTTTATGGAGTTCTGTAACGTTTGGGGGTAACGGCCGGCTGTTACTGCGAGAAGCGTTACGCCTATAGGGAACCATATAAAAAGGCTTCCAGTCTCCAGACGGGATTTGAACTCGCTACTTTAAGATTGTGATCCAAGGGCTTTGTCGACTGAGATATCCAGGGTCTGTAGTACAAACCATGAAAACCAAGTTTATTTTTGGGGTCTGTGAATGATCTTATGTGCTTCGTGGCCTTTCCTGTCATGCAGCACCATCTCACAGCGTGTGTCAGAAATGAAAGCCAATTTTCAGTAGGCGGTGCCATTCAGACTTCTTTCTCTTCTTCCCTGGAAGGCCTATCACGCATTGTGGACTTACCAGTGTTTGTCAGCATGATCAAGCTTGTAGAAATTTATTTGAATGGAAAAATGCAGGCGACAGTGGCAGGTTTTGAATGAAAATAATACATCAATTAAATCAGGCAATCAATAAATAAGAAATAAAAAACAATAAAGTAAAAATAATAGAAAAAAAATGATAATGAAAAAGATTTAAAAAAAATGTTTCACGAACGACACACGGAGTGTGGTTGGTGCAGGACACATTTTGTGCTCCCTGGTCTTTTTCATCATGATAGAGCCTGTATTTTATTTTTTTAAACCATAAAATGCTTCCCCCCACCTTTCCCCAAATTTCAAGAAGTTTGTCCATCTGTCGATATGTTCATTTTTCTGGTAAATTTAGTGGGGCAAATGATGTCATCTTATTCATTGAATCAAGCTAAGCTTTGCAGGAAATTTGACATCAAGTGACCCATACACCAATTCAGTTTCTCTTCTAAATTTAGCGGGCAAATTGATTTGTATAAGTCAGGTGACACCGCTTACATCTCCTCGCCCCTTCCCCCTCTGACATCCCTCTCTTCCTCCTCCCTCCCCACCTACCTTCCCTTCCTTCCTCTCCCTTCCCCACCTCATTCCATCCTCCCATCCCGCCTCCTCCCTCCTCACCTACTTCCTTTTTCTCTCTTTTCTCATCCCTCTCTCATGTTTCGTTCCGTCATGTTTTGCAAGACATATACCGAAGCGTACTCTCTCTGTCAGGGTTGGACAAATCCTGAATTACCGGCGCAACGTCCGTCATCTGTGCTTTACTGAGTTCGGAGCTATCTCAAACCGATTTTAGCTCTTTGCAACGCCTGCAAAATAATACTAGAATTGCAGTAACCTTGAGTTGCATGTTTTAGTGTGGAGATAATGGTTGGCGATATGCTTTTACTGCTAAACAATACAGCTTTGTGTGCCCTCTTGTTATAAAAAAGAACTGAAAGTCTCCTCAGAAATGAAAGACACAACGGCCTAGACCTAAGTTCACGCCTAGGGATGGGAATTAAAAAAAAACCATTACTATGTTCCTGTATCAAAACTACTGGCCCTGAAATACCGAGAAACTGAAACTTAAGAAATCAGACCTCCAAGCAGTTTTGCAAATCGTCTATGGCACAGATTTTCAAATTCTCTATTCCCTGTAATGGTTAGAGCCATGTAGCCAAAACAAATGTGCTGTTTTATAGTTAGATTATGGCAGTCAAGGGAATTGAGCTGACATGACATTTTGTTGTTGGGAACCAGCATGTTAAGGAAATTCATGGACACATTGTGTCTCTGAAATAGATGTTACTTTTCATTACCAGAATGTTTATTTAAGTAATAGTATACCTTAATAGCTATCATGTAGAGTTAGCTGCACTTCAAGCTCTAAAAAATGCAATTTCAGGATGCTTGTAGTGCATTCAGGGCCTTTAGAATATACAGGTAGTGCCATTTCTCACTTCGTGGCAATGACTATTCCTCAATAAAGACAATTGCATGTTTCCTTCCATATTAGCCAGACAGTGCCACACCTTAACTTCTGTAGAATGTGGATAAATGTTGGACGGTCGGCAGCGATCCCTAAATCTAGTTTGTGTGTGTGACTGACTTACATTTTCCTTTTCTCGGCAGTTAGCACTTCCGACAGACTGCAAAGTTAAGAGCACTGGAAAGTATGAAGAGGTCTCAATACCCCTGAGCAAGCCTCCCCCTCCAAACGTTGGTAACAAGCTGGTGAAGGTTGCCGATTTGGACGAGGTTTGTTTGAAAGGGCATTTGCCTATTCTTGATCATGTTGCATTAATTTTGGCCTGTGTGAGAGTTTTTCTCACTGCTTATCATCATGCTTTGCCAACCTGTTTGCTCATTTAGCTTCTACGCATATTTCAAATACTTTTTTGGTGTTTCCTTATGCTATTTTAAGTAGTAACTCAAGTAGTAACTCAAAATCGAGAACATGAGAGCGCATTTGTAACACGTTGTTTGAGTTTTTTTTTTTTTTATATCATTATAGGTCATCAAGTTTTGGGATGGCTTGTCTTTTCACTGTGACAAGGGGAGGCTTACAGTGCTGCCGTAGGGTTGACTGTAGGGCATGCAGCTTGTGAAACAAAGCATGAAGTGATCTCGTTACAGTTTCATGTTCTGTAATTAATATACTAAATAATCAATGTTGATTTGGTGTCTAATAATCCTAGTAAATTCATTTAATTGCATCTTGAAATTTTTGAAACTTGGAGCAACCTGCTCCAACTCGATGACCATTAGCCACACAGCTTCTCCCAGGACCACACAGCAGCAGTGTGCCACACAAAACTGAAAATAGACGATTCACTCATATTTCTTGATGGTGTCAGTGTGAGGCAAGGAATTTTTATGTTCTATGGACATCCTGAAGTTTACACTTTTCACAGTTAAAGCAAATCTGGACAGGCGATCCTCAACTGATGATGGTTAACTTGTGTATTTTTGACTTGCTCTATACATTCCGGCTTGTTCTAACACCCTTCAACAGGTGTGCCGGATCGGCTTCAAAGGTGTGGAGACCCTGAACAGGATCCAGTCTATCGTGTTCGACACTGTGTACAACACCAACGAGAACCTGCTCATCTGTGCTCCGACCGGAGCAGGCAAGACCAACGTGGCCATGCTCGCCATCCTGCACGAAGTAAAGCAGCACGTGGACGGGAAGGGGCTCGGGAGCAACTTTAAGGTATAGCAACCAGTCATGCACATTGCGACTTTATTTTGCGGACAATTGCTCCTAACATGGTCACTCGCGTTTGAAGAAAAAGTTCACAGCACCGTCACATTACTCTACTTTTATATTTTCAGTGCAAGGTCCTGCTTGAGCTTGACCTACCTCAATATGTGTTCCACATCTGGGGAGATGATTTTGACAACCATGTTTCTGCCGTTCCAGGTCGTTTATGTGGCCCCAATGAAAGCGCTGGCAGCTGAGATGGTGCGCAATTTCGGGAAGAAGCTGGAGCCTCTGGGTGTGGTGGTCCGTGAGCTCACTGGTGACATGCAGCTCAGCAAAGCAGAGATCATGAAGACTCACGTGAATGCTTTGTGACTCCTTGTGTCTCATCCTTTGTGCTTGAAAATGATTAGATCGTTAAGTGCGCCACTCCTTTCACCAGTGGCATTACTATGTTGGAATATCTCTAGCCTGTTTGTTACGTTGCGTCTGTTTATGATTGCCCTTTGAACTTTGGCTTGCTTTGCCTTTTTATGCGGAGTGGAGCCCAAGTTCATGTAGAAGCTGCTGGCTTTCAGAAAAGACATTGCAGCTAGAAATGAAAATTCCTGTGCTTATGAATTGATCTTACTATTTTAGGGTCATTCACAAAATTTCATCTCAATATCTTGCGCATAAAGTGCATACATTGAAGGATTTCTTTCCTTACATAAACTCGACAAGACTGTTTAAGTGCTCATATTAATGAAAATAAAATAAATGCAAAATCTGTGGCTTGCCTGAGAGCTACCGGTGTCGTAACAACTAGTCGATAATCAAATAAAATTGTGATTAGGGAAAGTGAAAATCTAGTGCCATAATTGAAGTTATGCAAACTTGCTCGATTTGTTAACACCATGACATGCATTCATTATAATTGATTCCTACTGCCCTGGCAGAGGGAAAGATAATGTGGCCCTCAGTATGTAAAAAGTAATGAGAGTAGCCTGAAAAAGAAGTGAAGTATATAGGCGGTATATCTCTTGAGGTTGAAAGACATTGCTTGGTAGAAGGCTATTGGATCACCAATAAAGAATCATAATAATAATTGCACTGTTCCGAAAACGCTTTTGGGTAAAGACAAAAGAACAGGCTCTAAAACTAATATAGATACATTTTGTCACGCCCTGTACAATCCTCTCGACACTCGTCACGTTTAAAGCATTTATATGCTAAAGTTAGGTTTGTGCCCGCCCTACTTCTAGATGCTGGTGACCACGCCCGAGAAATGGGACGTAGTGACGCGCAAGTCCACCGGGGACATTGCGCTGAACCAGATTGTGAAGCTGCTCATCCTGGACGAAGTACACCTGCTGCACGGAGACAGGGGCCCCGTGCTGGAGGCTCTTGTTGCCAGGACCCTGAGACAGGTCTGTTCCACTCAGCGAGATAATTTGCTTCAGTGGGATTTACGTAAAATACCAAGCAGGTGCTCATGTCGCAATGCGCACCCACTACACCTGATTTTCAAAACATCTGGAATGTAAGCAAAAACTATGTCAAGTTCCTACTTCAGTAAACTTCTGAGCCCGCCAAACTAACCAAAATGTCCCTCTGTGTCAGCTGCTTCTTTGAGAAGCCGGTGCAAAGCTGTAAAGCTGTACGCATGTGCACCTGTGCGAAGTGGTTAAGCTTGCTTGATGTGAGAATGCCGGCGCAAAAGCAGGCGTGACGAGAGTGTAAAAATTAAGGGTTCTGCCAGACCCCTGTACTGCTCCTATACCTTTCTGTCGGATCAAATGAGGGCCTACCCTTTCACAGGCTGCTTTTGCGTTTCTGCTCTCAAGCCTAACAAGCGCCCATTCCCATTCTTCCGTGATTATGTCTCCAACTTTTGCGTAGGTGCTTGCTCTGTATTTTATGGTAGAATTGCCCGACCTCACTTAAAAGGATGCTTGCAACCATCATTAATCAAAAAAACAATTTAAGCTTGAAGAGCACCTCTTTTAGTGAGAAATAAGATTCTGCTTCAAGACAGAGATGACTAAGGGGGTTTAGGAATCCTCAGAGTTGTACCCATAAACTTATAAAAACGCGCGGACCTAATTGAAGCCCGGACCAGGGCACCCCTAGCGGCAAATGAGTCCTTTTCATCCGGAAGCTCGAAAGCTTCTGCCACGTAACTACACTTGACCGCATTTTCTTTTTTCTTTTTTTCCTTTTTTTTTTTCGCCTGTGCGAAGCAGACGAAACACGTGCACGTTGCATGTTGCATTACAAACGCAGAAGCCAAGCACTTTGTGCTTGACGTTTGCACACTTTCCAAGCTGTTACCAAATGGTGTTCGTAAGGCAAGCAATGTCTTAGCCAGGAGAAGGGGCAACATCTTAGCAATGTCTTGGTGGTTTGGTGGTCAGGCGTTTCGTAAGGAATAGATTCTAATTATTTTGATCAATAAAAGATTTCTCATTCAAAGCTGGACAGATTTGCCGGTACCGCGAACAACAGTTCTGAAGTAAAGGTCCCATGCCCGTCTTCTGTTGCCATCGCTTAGTCTGCTTCGTTCAGCTGTCCAGCTCGCGACCCCCGCGATACGACGCCGTGCTGAGAATTATGCAGAGAATGCACAGGGTGTTTCTGGTTCTTTGTGCAACTTTTGTTTTTTTAATCAACATATTTGCACCTTTTAAAAAACCACAAAAATTTGCTTCATTTTTTTTTTTTTTTTTTAATTTTCAGTGTGTGTTTTTGGTGACCCACGACTTTGATTATATTTTGTGTGTGTGTGTCTGTGCCATAGAGGACGGCACATGACCACAGAGAAGAGAGTGAGCGCGACTCAAACCGGCCAGTTCTGGATCGGCGGTTTTCGGGCAGGAAGAAAGCGAATTTCGAGCCGCAAATTGTGTTCTGGGTAGTCGGGCTATCATATAAAAACCTTGGCGCGCATAAATACCCTGTCAGTGTCTCTTTAAAGGCCAACTGGCAGTTTTTGACTCGGTACGATCGCGTTGCACGAGTTGGTTAGGACATCCGGTCACTGTGACCTCCCTCTCCTCCCACCCCTGCCAGGTGGAGTCCTCCCAGCGGATGATCCGAATCGTGGGGCTGTCGGCCACGCTGCCGAACTATGAGGACGTGGCCCACTTCCTGCGGGTGAACCCGCGGATGGGGCTGTTCTACTTTGACAACCGCTTCCGCCCAGTGCCCCTGGGCCAGACCTTCATCGGGGTCAAGGCCACCTCCAACCTCCAGCAGATGACTGACATGGACGAGGTCTGCTTCGACAGGGTCTTCAGCGTCGTCCAGAAGGGCTTCCAGGTTGGCCTGTCAGCATTCTTGCTCTATTTATTTTCCAAACTGGGTTCCTGGGAACCCAGAGGTTTCCCAGGGTACCCTCATGGGTTCCCCAAGCTACCATATTTCTTTGACTGTCCCTAACCGAAGGAAAGTGTTTTCCCGAGTCATCCATTAACCCTTTCATGGTCACATTTTTTGTCCAAAAACGCGCCCCCGTGGTCGGGTTTTTTTGCTCGATGCGGTAGCAAAGAGTATACACTAGTTTATTGTTGCATAAAAAAATGTAAGACTTAAAATAAATACTACACACGCTTCAAAACATCTACGGCACACTCGCTGGAGGCTGAACGAAACCAAAAGGACTAAAACTTTGATGCGCCCGCTTCTGAGACGGTCTAGCAGACGGTGCGGCTGTGTGTCAGACTTCGGACTCCAAACCGAGCTAGTTTCCAGTTTTTCATGGGATATCGAGCTGTCATCCTGCTCAAAGTCCGAGGTTTCAAAGTCTAAACCCGAAGAGCCATCGCTCCAATGTCCACTACACTACCCCCGAGCAGCCGGCACGGGCGACCATCTCAAAAGTATCACTTGCACAGAGCGTCCAGTTTCGCAATTTAAAAAACCGCGCCAAAACAAACGCGACCGGAGTTATACAGTCGTAGTTCCCTACAAACCCACCAGATGGCAGCACGTCCCCGCGAATGCGCCCGTTCAAGCAGAGGCGCGAATTTTTGAATGAGCAGTCGCAGACGTACCGGTACATCAGCAACCATGCGGGACGCTCCCGCGCTGACGTACAGGTACGTCAGTGACCATGAAAGGGTTGAAGGGGTACTTCAACACAATTTGAAATATTCCCGTCGTGTTCAAAAATAAGTTGAATATGATCCACAATATCCGTAAATGACAATCGCACGTTTGTACTTTGAGCCTGGTGGCTGTATTTTTCGTTATAAACGGCCCACTCTGGCAAGTGCTCGGAGAAAGCCCAGCGGAGACCACGTGACATCCAACGCAATCGTGACGTAGGTCGTCTCAGGATGAGCAAAGCTATGGCGAAGCTGACGTCAAGAGGATGGCCTAGTCGTTCCAGCCACCGAAGTGGCTGCTTTTGTACAAATTTTGAGTGACGGGTTAATCTTCTGTAATCTTGTAGGGGTACAGTAGCGACTTCTGCGACACACAAAACGCATTCTCGGGAAGAGGGGAGTTCCTCCTGCCCGTCTTCTCTCGTCGTGGCCGGAGGCGAGACAACCTCCGTCACTAGCTGTAAAGGTGCCTAGACGGGCATTGCAAGCGAGGCGTTAGCGACATCCACCAGGTGCTCTTTGCTAATCGTTTAATTCGTTTTAAAATTCCTTTTCGTGACTTTTTTAACAAGATATTCGTATGTTCAATGTGATGCTGCTTCATTGAACACATATAAACCAAAAAATGAGCGCCGAAATTTCGTTGTAGTATCCCTTTAATGCGTAATCATGAGCCAGACACTCCTTAGTGTGGGCATCGTTGTTTACAAGGTCTGTTAGCTTCTGCACTGCTTTATTGGATCAATGCCAAGCTCGTAAGGGGTTCCTCGGCTGCCATTCGAAGCATATAGGGGTTTCTCGACTTTAACGAATTTGAGAACCCCTCATTTAGAGATCGCTTGCAAGGAAACCTGACTTTCGTAAGGATTAATTGTAATTGGGAAGGCATGTTGCTCCAGGTTGTGCATCACACAACCAATTTGTTGTGCCTAGCCTAATGTAACAAATTAGGCTTAAAGAAACAATCAAATGGTTCAGAAATGAAACTAATAATTCTTGTAACGAAGGTGCGCTAACTAGTTCAAGGTCGAACTAGTTTATGTCGCATTACCCGGTAGTCTGCTCATAAAGCCAACTGCCGTAATATTCATTCGTTGTACTGTTTTATAAATGGAGGTTTTCATGGCCAGCTGGTGGCGTACGATTTGTGCGCTTCAACAATGGACAGGAGCAATGTCAATCAATCGGCAGTTGGTTGCACTGATCTCTATTGTAGTAGGCTGGATCGAGGATCGAGGCTTGTCTTGCTGGGGTCGAGTAGCACCACTGGCGGCCATCAATTGACACTAGCTAATGCATGGGACTCTATGGGAAAAACTTGGAGGACGCTTAATGGGGCACTGACACCCCATAGGTTTTTTTTTTTTTGTTTTTGTCTAAAACAATGCAAGTTGTTATAAATACACAAAAATACCACAACGCAAAAAAACAACAAAAAAAACCTACACGTGCACGTGTTTTTTCATTTTTGTTGTTTTTCTCATCCTCTTTTCACCTCTTTGCTTCTTTTTATTTGTGACGTCAAAAATTACGAAGTTTAGAAGCTTTCTAAGCGAACTTTCTATAATATTTAATAACGGCATTCGTAAAACATGTTTTTTTAACGCAATTGCGAATACACTATGGCCCTTCGTTTTGAAATACCGAAAATCGGGGTTCAGAGTGATGTCACTTCCTGGCTTTTTACTCTCCCTTGGAAAATGTGGTGGCGCTGGCGGTGCTGGGCACATGTATTGCTGAGGATGATCGGTGAGTCAAGGGAATCGGACAACCTCTCAGACTTCAAAAAGGAAATCGTCAAGTGGTCAGAACAACTGGGTTTGGTGTCCGTGTATCGTAGTTTGGGTTGTGACTCCGCCGGGGCGGCCTTTCACGCAGAACCGGCACGACGTGGCCCCTCACATCGCTCACAAAAGTCCGCTGCACATTCTCTTCAACCTCGCACCGTTTTAAAGAATTTGAGATCACTGAAAGGGCCCTAAAGGACTTCGAACTCGAAAGTGAAGCGTCGTCCGCTCACAGCGATAAGCGGCAGGCACGGAGAAGAGCGTTTGATTGCGGGATGCAGACGGACACGACACTTCAGGTCTGGATGGCTCGGAGGTGTGAGAGAAGCTCGAGTTGCAGGACGTCTGTATCTTTGACGTCACTGCACTGGCACGGATCGCGCGGGGAACTTCAAATTTGGCTTTGGGAAATTTTTTTTTACTTCACGGATATTGAGTTCTCAAGTTCTGCATTTTGAGGGTAATGTCCTCCAGGCATCGTTTTCAATCGTTTTGGAAAATAAAAAGAAATATGATTTTGACCTGTCACTGCCCCTTTAAGGATCGCCTTTAACAGTGAAACGCGATAGCGCTATTGGGTTCCGTTTGCACCGCCTTCTCATTCGCTTCTCATGACCTTCTTGCCAGTGAGTGCAAGTGCAGTGGACATGGCGTAGTCAGTAGGGTGTCTGCATCGAAACCGAAGGGTCGTGAATTTGAATCCCATCTAAAATTCTTAAAATTTTTTTTAAGGCAGATGAATTACTTTATAAAATGAAATCATTTGATACATGCATCGACCTTTAATTCGCTTTACATGTAATGTTTTTTAATCACTTTCATTCCGCGCGTGACTTCATGTGAGCGTTGTGGGTTGTTTGAAATTCCCGCGCGAGGTCCTGTGGTGACGTCATGACCCTATCGCCCAATCAGGATTTTTTCGTCTCAACACCACCGACACCGACGCCAGCTTTTCTGTGACATGAGCTCCTGAGCTCCTTAACGCTATGCATTAAAACAAGAAAAAGTGCCATTTTCCCCATTTTTAAGTTGTTGGCACTGGATCTTTTTGACTGCTTTTCGGGAAGCCTGTCAAATAGCTTGTGCACAAACATTAGAACTGACAGACCTTACAGTTCTTATAAATAAATGTTTTCTGGTCAAGAGTGACTCCTCTGGGCAAAAGACGTAGTGCAGCTCAGTGAGACTAGAGTTACTGCAGAGTCGATGGCAGTTTCAATGAGTTCAGTTTAGCAGACGACAAGCTTGAAGGCTTTGCTACGCGAAATTCACTCACTCCCAGAAAGCCACTATCAAGATGGAACTTTTTCGACCTTCATCAACTTCTATGCTTCCCCAAGGACGGTCTTATTGACCAGGCAATACTCGGAAGTCTATGGAAGAACCACACAAAAGTAGGAATACTGAAGCTTGTACGATGTGCTCGAAGGCAAGTTCTTTTGTTTACTGCACTACGAGAGCAAGCTTGCCAGTTTAACCGTTGGTGCTCCAGCACTTTTGATTTTTTTAATCTGTGTTTGAATGCTTGATAAATAGCGATTCAGTCTCCAAATATCCAATATAATGATCGCAGCACATCATAAAATACTTGCCTTCGAGCACATCGTACAAGCTTCAGTATTCCTACTTTTGTGTGGTTCTTCCATAGACTTGCGTGTATTGCCTGGTGTCAAGTAATGGCTGCCAGTGGCGCCACTGTCCACCTCCCGATCCGCGGTTCAGCTTACTACAATAGAGATCAGTGGTTGGTTGATCGTCACTTCGGTTGCTCAAACTGTCAATGTGAACATTGGACCACTGAAAGGGTGACTAGCTCTTTGCTTGTGGTGCTAAAGACCAAATGCATATCGACAAACACTAGAGTAAGGCAGGCCTTAAAGGGGCACTGAAGTTGATTGTGAGATCGTCTATTTACTATCATAACCCAGCCTATGGACTCTAAGCATCCTAAAAAGCCCTGAATTACATTCAAGGGTGGCCGTTTTCTTATTCAAAATCCAATCAAAGATAGTGCCACACCCCCTTCCTGCACCGTGTTGCAGAACACCAGGGGGTGCCACCAGACGGAAAGGCAGCAGGGGAGGGCATGCGACAGCCAATCACGGCTGACGGCTTCCTGGCAGACTAAATTTTCGAATATGCGCGCCTTCGAAACATTAGTTCTCTGGGAAGCCGCCACTTGTGATCATACCTCGGCAAACCTCACTCATGAGGGCCCTCACTCACCCTCATCTTTAGAGGTGAGGTGAGGGTGAGTGAGTTTCTGAATCAGGAAAATTAATGTGTGAGAGTGCGTGAGGGCCGTGAGGGCAGTGAGTGCGTGAGAGCCATGAGTGCGTGAGGGCCGTGAGGGCGGTGAGTACGTGAGAGTGGTGAGTGCATGAGGGCCATGAGTGCGTGGGGGCCGTTTGGGGCGTGAGGGCCATTAGTGCATGAGGGCAGTGAGTGGCTTGAGGGCCGTGAGGGCCATGAGTGCATGAGGGCCATGATGTTCAGTGGGGTTGAGTGAAGGGTCGAAGGTGAGTGTGACTGAGGATGAGGGTGAGAGAAGGGCTGAAGGTGAGTGTAGCTGTGAGGTTGAGAGTGAGTGAGGGGCTTAGGTGGTTGTGGCTGTCAGGGTAAGGGTGAGTGAGGGCGACCTAAAATACTGACCTCGGCTCGTGATTTGCTGTCGCATGCCCTTCCCTGCTGCCTTCCTGTCCGATGGCGCCCCCTGGTGTTCTGCGCCACAACGCAGAAAGAGGGGCGCGGCACAATCTTTGATTGGACTTTTAATAAGGAAATAGGCTGCCCTTGAATGTGATTTTGGGTTTTTTAGGATGCTTAGATACCGAAGATTGAGTTATGACAATAAATGGACGATCTCAAAATCCACTTGAGTGCCCCTTTAATGACAAAAGCCAACGTCATGCGTTAGTAGATAGGGTATGTGCTACCCTGAACTAGAGTGGCTAAATGGCGGGGACAGACTATCGCATTCCTTTTCCTTTTGCCGCCAATTCCTCATTGGTGGAGAAGGGGTCATGTGCACCAAATTTGATTGTTTGGGCTTGCGGGGAAGACGCCTTGCGGAGCGCCAGGTTTGGGGCGGAATGTATGTTTTGCCTTGCGCTCGTGAAATGTAGACCTTGCACCGAAGTATTACAGGCTGGAAGCTTCTTGAACCCTTATACATTGTGTGTGCCTCATAGATGCATGTAATTGCATTATTTTTATACCGCAAGCCGAGCGCAGTTTTAAAGTGACCGTGAGCAAGCAGACGGCTGAGTCCGCGCTACCTACGCTCACGCGCTTCTGAGAGATGTGGGAGATATAAGACGGCGCATGTGCGGTGCCTGCAATACTTCAATTGAAACATTCAAGACCGTTGCGATACTCCGCTCCCCAAGCGAAGCATACACATTTACTCTACACCGAACTAGAGCACCTTGTACCTCTCTGATATCGCCGAGAACATAGAATGGGATGGGGCTCTGTGCAGGTTATGGTGTTTGTGCACTCGCGCAACTCTACCGTGAAGACCGCACGAGCCCTGAGGGAGTTGGCCCAGCAGCAGGGGAAGTTGCCCAAGTTCCAGGTGGTTCAGAGCGTCCAGTATGTGAATGCCGAGAAGCAGGTGAGAACTATATGCTGTGGCTGCATCTTACTGAATTGGTTTCAAATAAAGCTAGAAACTGTTTTGATGGGATAGCAGGTGCTATAGCCACTATACTCTGTTCATCCCTTAACCAACAGTGTGGTGGGAGCTGCGTGCTCGCAGGACCAATGGGCATTCACCCTGTCATCACCTGGCTCCGCTGTCTGCATATGCAGGGGCGGATCCAGGGGGGGGGGGGGGTCCTGGGATCCGGACCCCCCCCCCCCCCCTTTTTTTTTTTTTTTTTAGCCAGCCAGCTAAGCTTTTTGGACACCACTGAAAAAGACGACGGTCCGTTCCTCAGCTTACGCGACCGCAACTATGGTTTCTTACCCAAGGGTCGTGCAAGCACGCTTGCACGACCCTTGGGTAAACAAAACCACGCGACACCGCCGTCCGCCGTTACGAAGTTTCAAATTTGGGCGAGGGGAGCAGCGGTGCCTTCCAAGGCCCAGGGCGCCGGCGAGGCGAGCGGGTCAGTTTAGAGTTTTGGTTTCAGACCGTCAGCTAATAATAATTGGATGCACGCTTCCCATTTCAAGCGCCGAGGCAGAGCGGAGTTTTTCTGCTCTACGAAGAGTCAAGTCCTACACGCGAAGCACAATGACAGAAGAACGTTTCACTGGACTTGCTCTAATGCATGTCCATCAAGACATTCCGATAGACACCAAAGCGATTTGTCTGGCGTTCATCAGAAAGCATCAGCGTCGGATGTTTAGTGCATGCGTGATGTACGACTGAAGTACGACAGCAGTACCATAACAGAACTGTACATTGTTTCCATTAATCCCGTCATGTTTCTAATAAAACGCAAATATTCATTGTTCCTCTCTCAAGAAAGGCAAAGGTTTGATACAATTTATCACAACATAATTGCGGTCAATCTGTGTCGGCGCCTGTAGCACTTTCCCCAGCCAATAAGCATTTAATGGGTGAGGGAAGTAGGAGGAGAGGGGGGGGAAGAGAGAGAGCAGGGAGTGATGCCCGGCTTCCGCGGTCGAATGATGGGTCTATCCCCCCCCCCCCCCCCCCTTTCCCGGGTCCTTGCTGGACCCCCCCCTTAAACAAAACCTGAATCCGCCCCTGATATGGGTATAGCCGGGAGCATGGTGGCGTGGCAAAAGAGGGTCTTGTGATTGGTCCAACGAGCACGTAGCCTCCACCGCACCGTCAGCTGAGGGGGGAATAGAGTATACTGGTGACTGTAATGGCAGCATTGTTTGGGGAAAAGGCTAAAAACTCTTTTTTGGGAGCTTGTTATTTGTTCTACTCAGGGACGCTTCTGGTGCGACATTGGTATCCCTGTTCAGACGTACCAAATACGTGCAGGTACATTTTAATGTTTTCATCTTTTTTCTTCAAGCTTAATAGTTCTTTTTTTTTTAATCTGAAAACTATTTTTTTTTTCTTTTGAGTCCGCATACACATGAAAGTTTACTGTAATATATTGAGAAATGGCTCACCTAAAAGCGGGAGCGAATCAAGTGAAAATGGGGAGTGCGCTAACTTACAGTGTGCAATGAAGAAAAGGTTTTAAGATGCTATTTCTGTATTCTGTGACCTGACAAACTTGTTTTCAATTCGAGGGTCAAAAGAGCGTAGACAACCGTGCTTCCCAGTCATCAATGTTTGCTTTTCTCCCGTCGTAGCTTACTAATCCTATTTTGGCCGAGGTCACCGTTTTACCAGGGCACTGCCATTACTAGAAGTAGGCGATCTTTTTGTGGTTTTGGAAAAAAAATAGCAAATGACATCAAAAATAGGAGTGGGTTATCTTTCGGGGGTGATGCATTTTTCGGGATATTGCGGTATGTTTATTTTTCAGTGATATGTGCAGTATTTCTGTTCATCTCAGGACCGCATGATCTTCGTTTCTTTTTTTTTTTTTTTTTTTTTATTGTAGCATTGGTCAGATATTATAGCCAAATTAACAGATGGTTGTGTTTTTTGGACAGTGTTGTCACAAGTAGTGACACCACTACCCTAAACTCTACCAGATAAATTGCTGGGTTTGAAAGGTAAGAAGATAAATTCAAGAAAGAGCATATTTATTTGTCAAGGTAACACATACAGCAAAAAAAGAAAAAGAAACGAGCACAGACTACAAGAGATGAGGAAGATGTCAACAGGCTTTACCCAGCTGTAAGACAACAAGTTCCAAGAGTTCCACTGGTCATCTTGATCGTAATTGCCTTTTTTGATTGTGATAAATGCATGTGTATGTTCTGAAGTTTTCAGTAATGCGTACCACTGTTTATACAACACTCAGGTTTGGAAAGGGTCCTCTCAGCTTTTACACTCGAGACTGGCATGCTGGTGAATTTAAAGGCTACTGAGGCACTTCACCTTGGACACCTATCGGCTCACTACCTGTGCCATATTTCTTTAACCCTATTTCTTTAAGATTTTAGTTTAAAGCTAAATTTTGAGGTATGAATTTGGCATACTTTTATTGTTGTTGGTTTTTCTAAGTGAAAACGCTGAACCCTACAGATAGCTCCCACAAACTCATGCCACTCAAACCAGAGTGTGAGTGGCACAGGTAGATTAGGGCTCTTACATACAAGTTTAATTGGATGAGCTGTCTTCTGTAATAGAAACAATGGGGATAGGATTGAGTGAAAATCTTTTAGAATAGAGCCTCGAATATTCTTATGTCTGGTGATCCCGGATTTAAGTTTGTAATGCCGTTTCAAGGCCAACAATTTCAAGACTAAACAAGATTCTAGCCAAAGTGTGGTTGCATGTGAAGATTGAAGAAAGCATTAGCTAGTATATAAGAGAACCAACAAATACGGATGTCTTTTCCAAACCCCCTCTTTCGGTCTTAATTACGTCTTGAATTTTCAGAAAGTGGAAAACCTCTGTTCTAGGTTTCCATACTTCTACAGTTTTGTGCCACAATAAATCGCCCCTTCATCTGTCCTCCCCTTGGTGTTGCAAGCCTTAGATTCTCACCTGTGCGCCTGCATCCTCTGTCTTTTACCCAGATGATGCATTCACGGAACAGCGCCATCAAGGATCTGTTCCCATACGGCTTCTCGATCCACCATGCGGGGATGCTGCGCTGCGATCGTAACCTCGTGGAGAAGTTGTTCAGCGAGGGCATGATCAATGTCCTCGTGTGTACCTCCACCCTGGCCTGGGGGGTGAACCTGCCTGCTCATGCAGTCATCATCAAGGCATGCACTTTGCTTTTCAAGCTCATTTTCCTATTCTTTTGCTGTCAGCGTCTTTCCGCCTTGCGTCTTGCCGCCTCGCGTTTCGCCGCCTTGCGTCTCGCCGCCTCGCATCTCGCCGCCTCGCGTCTCGCTGCCTCGCGTCTTGCTGCCTCGTGTCGTCTGTTTTTTCTTGTGCTTTGTCAGCTCCACTTCGCTTTTCGCCATCTTTACAATCATTTACAGCCCTTTGTTCGCATACTTTGCCCGTGCTTTTCGTGGCCGCAAGAGATGTGGGAAATGTAATGTTCTGACTTACCATCTTGCCTACACTGTAGGCAACATGGTGGGCCGGGGCTTGGAAAACAGTATAACGTCGAACGGAAATGCCTAAAACCCAAATACCCGAAATGCCCCGCATTACATATGCAGCTGTGCACGTCACGTGTACTGCAGAGAAGGCAAACTTGTTGAGCAGCGCAAGTTCCGCCTTCATTTGGACAAGTGTGGCGGGCGCACTAGCTGTGTAATCAATATGCGGCTGTTTGTTTCTGTGCTTAGTTTTTAGAAATATATTGTAAATATCTTTTTCTGCATTTAATGTGAGTACTTTTTTGTGTTTTTCTTTCCGTTATACCCGTGGCGGGCCTCCCAGGATCTTTTGTTAAAAGCAGGCTCTTATCGCATTGCAGGTATACAAACAATAATGGGCAATCGAAATTTGTTTGTTACATCCGTTATTTTGCTATTTTTGGGTTCGTTATAAGCGGGCTGTACTGTACTGTCGAGACCGGTTATAACAAAGCCAACCAAAATTGGAAATCACTTCGCTATATCCGCTATTTCATTATAACCAACTTTGGTTAATGAAGTGCGAAAGGGAGGGGGAAATCGTGATCGCTTTGCTGTAGCCACTATTTTGTTATAATCGACTTTGTTATAACTGGTCTCGACAATAGGAGGGTTCTAATATAGTGAGATATCCTATATATTGAACTAATATGCATGTCCGACGGGATTCACCACGTACAAACTGTAGGAGCGAGAAAGTAAAACTTGTTTGACTGTTTCTGGAAATGCAACATATAAACTTGCTGAACTTACTTGGTACTTCATCCAGACTCTCCATAGTGGAGGGTAATATGAGTCATGCGCAGTGTTGTATCACACTTTGATGTAGATAAGGTATGTGCATCTCGCATTAAGTGTGCTTGCCCCTCTGTTTCAGGGCACGGACATCTATGACTCGAAGCACGGGTCCTTTGTGGACCTGGACATCCTGGACGTGATGCAAATCTTTGGCCGGGCAGGCAGGCCCCAGTTCGACAAGGAGGGCCACGGCACCATCATCACCACCCACGCCAAGCTCAACAAGTACCTGTCCCTCCTCACCTGCCAGTTCCCCATTGAAAGCAACTTCCACCAGAACCTCATGGACAACCTCAATGCCGAGGTGAGAGGGAGCTGTCTGCCAGTCAACATGTGGACGAGGTGCGAAAGGAGAGCTGTAGTGGCACTTTTTGGCAGTGGTGTTACTGTATTGGGCCACTTCTCTTTTATAGACTAACACGCGTCCCTGACGTCACGCAGCTGCGGTGGCGCTGTCGACGGCACTGCGCATGCGCAGAAGCTTCAGTTCACTTGAATTCGGTTTCTGCGCATGTGCAGTGCCCACTCCTGGTGTGGGCAAACGCGGGCTTGTTTGTAAACAGCGTGTCGGTATGCAATAGCAATTCTTTCGATGCCTGCCACACCTCCCTCCCATCCCAGGAAAGTTCTGCTCTGTTACATGAAATGAATGCTCATGCGTAGGAGAGCAGTAAGTAGATAAATTGAGAACACGGAACTCGGAAAGTCCCCAAGGGAAATTGAACCCAAGACCCTGTATTGTATCTTGCGCAGCGCCACGCATCAGCAATGTTTCGTTATCTGTTCCTCGGGGTGAGGGGATTCACTCCCTCTTTTGCACTTGAGTATAAATGACTGTCGATAAGCTCGGCAACCCACTTTTCACCTCCCACCCAGCTTGTTGTGTCTTATTGGTAGCAACAGACGATCCATGGTGCCAGAAGTCGCCAGCTAAACTACGCATGCCTTCAAAATATGACTGTCGCCGGGTCCCCTCAGCACTACAGAGGAAATAATCAAGAAGTGGCAGATGTTCATACAAAAGTTTGAACTTATCCTAGCCACGTCGAGACAAGCCTTGGCCGTAGTCATCAAAAGCGGCGCTCCTTCAAAGTATTGCGGGTGAAGAAGCAATTGAGATGTTCAACACGTTTCGGTTCATGGAAGATGAGAGCAACAGTGGCTATGCCATTGTCGTCCTGAAGTTTGAAACATGCTACTCAGCTCAGCACAACAAAGTACATGAGCGCTACATGTTTTGGAAAAGAGTACAGTCCCTGGGTGACTTTTTCGGACATTTCTTGAGAGACCCAAAAAAGTAGGCAAGAGCGTGCCTGTCTCAGGGGCCCACTCATCCACCTCAATCTAGGAGACACCATCCTGGTCAAGAAGGGAGCATATGCAATGAAAGCGCAGGTTCTGAAGTCTTCCGGTCATCCTAGATCATATACCATCATCACATCCGACAGCAAACTACTGCGACAGAATCGACAATGCTTGCAGCTGACCAAAGAAGCATTTCACTGTGGCACTCCTGGTTATGGCGAGAATGACGCGCTCGAAAGTGAAGCCTCGGCCTCAAGTGACACACCGGGACCATGTGATCAACCGCAAACGGTGACTGGTGTCCCCAGAAGTGCGTCACCACCCCGGCTCTCAAAAAGCCGTTGAGGCAGTTTAAACCCCTGCAGTAATTGGCATATGGTCGGAGCTGTGTTCAAGTGCCTCAAACTTCTTGCCGCAACGACTGTCCTGCTTTGTCCTCCAAGTCTAAACTATGGCTTTCTGGTTCTTTTTAGGAGTGCTATGTTAATGTTCTTTATAAGTGTTGTGTTTAGTTGTCATTCTAAACGTTGTCATTCTAAACGAAGGGTGATTTATTGTATATCTTGCACAGTGGCACGTGTCACTAATATTTCACCATTTGTTTCTCGTGGTGAGGGAATTCACTTCCTCTCACACAGTTGCGTTTAAATGACGGTCAGTAAACTTGGCGATCCACTTTTAGCCCACACCCGACTTGTTGCGCCTTATCGGTCGCAACAGCCGACACAGACTCGAAGATCGTGAGCCCAACGCTCGACCCTTACGTCAACGGGGAGGTTTGTGAAGCGGTAGTTATTTAAGGGAAGACACAAATCGAAAAATCAAATTTATTTTTGAAGTTACCGATTTTTTTGTTGTTTTATTACCCATTGGACATCCTGATTTTATGAGTAAAAAAAAATACCAAAACAATCTTCAGTTGGGAAGTTAGAGAAAAAATATGTCCTCCGACTGACTCGCAGTGGCTCGAAAAATCGAGAGTTTATGCGAATATTGGCAGCCACCTTCAAGAGGATGTCGCTTGAGACAGCAGCGTTTTCTATGTTTCTCCGATTCAATTTGTGATGGACAACGCTAAAACAGGCGATTTTTACGTTCTGAGCTGCACAAGCACGCGCGAGTTTCAAGAGCGTGGCGCAAACTCAAGCAAAGGACACCAGTGGAGGAACGTTCACCACAACTGCTAAGCCTAGCCACGGTAACGGCGACCATTCTGACACAATTGTTGCTCTGTTCACGTTTGTCAGTGCCACAAAAAAAAAAAAAAAAAAAAAAAAAGATTGGGTTCTTTGAGAAGATGTACAGAACGTGTGGCCATGGATCTGTGAGTTCCGGGATGTGTGACACCGGCGCACCGACGACAGTTGTGAGTGATGCGATCTGCCCCGTTTGCCGTGACGAGTGCAGATTCTCTACACGTCCGGGAGTAGATAGGGAAACACAAAGTATTTTAATGGTCCCTCAAACTACACCGAAAAGAGCAAGTGCCCTGTGGGTTCTTTCTTTTGACGTTTTCTTCAAAATGTGCCATATGAGACATACTTGTGCAAAGTGAAGCTACGGCATCGGGAGCTTGCACTAATTTTGCCGTCAAAGTGAAAGCCGTGAGCTTTGGCGCTTTTGCGCAATTATCGACCTGCTAGCACTGATGCACCACGAGGCGTTCACTAGCAAGAAGTTCATGCCGCTGCCTCAAAAACTGCCAACTGAAACCTCGTGACAACTGAAATGCTGATGGGGAAGAGGAAACAGCTAATGTAGTTAATGACTGATGGCACATAGTGCAAGAGGGACTGTTAAAGTCGCAGCATACAGTATGGAACGGTTTTATCGGCTCCAGATGTTTCCTGAACACCCTACTTAATTGTCTCGCCATATTTCATGTACAGTGGAATCTCATTAATTTGAACCCGAGGGGGACCAGAACTTTCTTCGAATAATGCAAAGTTTGAATTACCAGGAGTTTCCTTCCAAGAAACACATAGGGCGGGACCTGCATGTTAGTTTGAATTATCTGCGAGTTTGAATTAAGAGGGTTTGAATTAACGAGATTCCACTCTAATTGCAGCCAATATTTGAGGAGTACACGTCTTTTGAACGTTCAAATGCATTTTTCCATTTTTTCTTACCTCTGGGTTGTCTTTGCAGTTTGTGCACTCAGTTTTTGCTACTTGCAATCTTCCGATCATAATAAAAAAATTGATGTAATATTTTGTGGAGATGTAGAGTGCCGATATCTCTTTGAAATTGCAATATCTTAATTATGTTTTTGCAAACTTAAACTAACTTCTAAAGGGCTAAAAGGAAGGGTGTATGACGTCTTTATTTTTATTTTCTAAATTAAAAAATTGTATTCGGTTTTGACTGGATACTGGCAATCTCCACTTCACAGGGAGTAAAATGAGCTATTGCTCCATGCTCCTTACAAAAAAAATGAGTGTGCCTATACTTGTTTTCATCTCAAGAACCTTGGCAAAAAAAAAAAAAAAAAAAGTCCTGCTCCTCGCAAACATTACTACTTTCCCCCTTTATATGGAGAACTAAAATATATGTAAGTGCATTCTAGATTAGATATATGTTACCTTATCAAGACTTATACATTTAAAGTGCCAAAAGCATAGCTTCTTCCTTCGATCTGCTGGGCACGGATCGGACAATATGATTGCATCGGTTTCAGCTCAAACTTGACTCGAAGCCGAGTGCTGACGCGGCACTCGTTTCCAATCTGTGTTCAGTGTTGGCCTTCTCTGATTAAGCCATCTCATTCAGCACTATGGCTTTGTTATCGAGGAGGTGTTGCACGGCACCTCCTCTCTGGCTCTTTGACGAGAACGAAAGGGCTCGTTTTGACGAAAACCCGGCGGTGTCTGTCAGTTTGTCAGTGCTGGGGAGAGAGGGAGAGGTTGACGCGTGCTCACAACAGTGCTTTGGACCAATGGGAGCGTTGCATGCAACAACTGACAAACCGAAAATACCGCCATTTTTTCGTAAAAAAAAAATTGTCCTAATGCTAACAAATTAAAGAAAAAAGGTGCCTCTGGCTCGCTTCTCCCCTTTACACGAAATGTTCTATAAGTCTGGGTTTTACGAGAAAAGCTAGAGGCACTCTATGTATTCTCTGGGTGCCTTAGGGCACTCCTGGAAGTCCCTGGGTTCTCAGGACTCAAGCTTGAAAGCCCGTGCAGTAAGCCAAAGCAATTTGCAACAAGCAGAGAGCACCCTTCAGGTTGATTTCTGTATGTGAGTGGTGCGTGTTTTGTTGCTTGCTTCTGCAGATTTCTCTGGGAACTGTCTCGACTGTGAGTGAAGCAGTGGAGTGGCTGAGCTACACCTACCTCTTTGTGAGGATGCGGAGGAACCCTCTGGTCTACGGCATCAAGTGCACATCGCTTCTGGTAAGGATTTTTTTTCCCTGTACTTCTCATGATTGCCTTTTTATGTCTGAGACAGCGTAGAAGCAATTTCAGCACAGTCTTCCGGAAGATGCTCGACTTTGCTTCATTACGCTTTAGGATTCATTGGTTGATCATTATGCAGTAGTGGAGTACAAGATACCATATAATTTTTTGGGACATTTCGAGCACAGCTTAGAAGAAGTGACTCAACTGCGGCGCTTTGAGTGGCCCTTTAATGTTTGCACATTCGCCGGATGCGCCGAGCACCAGTGTGAAATGTCAATTCTTAGTTTGGCCTATCGTGTCCATTTAACACACCTTTGTTCATTGTTGGTAGTTACCACTGCTTTGTCTGATCTGAGCTCATTGAGTCCTTGAGATTTCAAAAGTGTAGCATCTCCAAGTTTTTGCTGTTAATATGAAACAAACTCGGCTATGAAATCTGTGGCTGATGCCACCCGTACCGACGGATCTTCGCACATAATAACATCAAAATTTATTCTAAGGTAATTAAAAGCAGGGATCCGTGCTTTTTTTTTCTTTTTTTTTTTTTTGTATGTATACCAAGAAATTGTTAAAAGTAATTCCTATGTCGTTTTGGTAAAATTTGGAAAAAAATAAACTTGAATTGGAACTGTCCTTGATTAAGAAAAACCTTAGCGGAAAGAAATCTTTATCCACATCTTTATTTTGTGCTGATTTGGAATGCAGCCATCACTGAACTGCCCTTGAGGCTCCTCCTTTCACTGGGAAGCTCTCGTCTCATCCTCTTCTCTTATCGGTATGGGGACGTTTTTCAAGTATTTGGGCTACTCACATTTCCTGGAGCTTGGGGAATCCTATGGCTGTGCCTCGGTTCCTACAACACAATGTCCCGATGAAGGCAGGTTTTTATCCCACACCAGATACGTGGGAAAAAATTAACCCTAGAAAAACATCTGAATTCGAGGAAAAATAAACTCATAAAACATGGAACCTTAATTATAGATTATAGGCGGGTTTTGAGTTTTCAGGGTTTAGTATCTTTCCTTGAATTCAGGGGTGTTCTTTAAGGGGGGACATAAGCCTAAATTTTTTTTTTTATTTTTTTTTAATTTTTATGTTTTGAGTTTTAGAAACTAATTATACACCCTTAAACTAAATTTGATAACCCTATGCCAAATATTTACGTTGATATAAAATATTTTCTACACATTGTGAGGCAGTAACAAAGTTAAGGAGTTCAATGTTTGAATGCATTTTTCTCAGTTCCACTTTTTGCTGCAAATTTCATACGAAGGAATCTTTTGTTCGAAGGAGAGAGTATTCTGATACCACAATCAACATGTTTCTGAACTGAAATTTACTGGGGAATTGGGCTATCTACATTATTTTGTTTTATATTAAAGTCCTCATTGAGAAAAAAACATATTTTCAAAAATTGACATAGGACAGATATGCATCTCATATTTTGAGGTAATAACTTTTCCTCAAATAGTTACATTGAAGTTATTAAAACTAGATAGCCCAAGGTCCTATATTCCCCACTTTATATTCAAGCAGTCAAAACAGTGTTTAATAGCCTCATTTGCATATCATAGATTTCTTAATGAAAAGTGACACATCATCTTATGCAGGCATGTAAATCTGTCCTAGAGAGCTGAAAGTTTGCACAGTACACCTACATCTGAAGCTACATCTTCACTGCAAATTTTATTCCGATCACTTGAGTAGTTCAGAAGTTCAACCTCTAGCCAGTGCCCCCCTTAAGGGCTTATTTTTTTTTTTTTTAAATTCTGTGTTTTCCGGTATCAATCTTTGAGGTCAAGCAAAACATCGGGGTTTATCGGGACTTTAGTCGAAGACAATAGGACGCACGCTTAGAGTTTGTCATACTCTGGAAAACACAAGCAAGGCCCGAACGCTCGGAAAATGTTCCCATATCGATAAGGGATGTAAACAAAATAAATAGTCTGGTTCCGAAAAAGAGAGAGCAGCTTGGCGGACAGTTTGTTGGGAGCTGTGTTCCGGGTCAAACCAAAATAAAGCTATAGACATAGGTTTTTTCCCCATGAAGCTTGGGTTTCTGTCCTTCAAGGGAAGCTCCCATTCGGGGTTTTTCGCTTTTTCCCTGGTTTTCATGTTGGGGTATTATCGGCATTTACCAAAATCACGGGACCCTACTCGTAAGGTCTCGGTGCCCTTGGGGTTCGACGTCTTAGAGACTCGTGTGCCCTGGAACGTGCAGGAGGATCCGACGCTGTGCCAATACCGACGGGACCTGGTGATCTCAGCGGCCAAGACCCTGGACAAGGCCAGGATGATTCGCTTTGACGCCAAATCGGAGAGCCTGGACTCGACCAACCTGGGACGCACGGCCAGCCACTTCTACATCAAGCACGCCACCGTGGAGCACTTCAACGACCTCCTCGAGCGCAAGTGCCTCACCGAGGGCGACATCCTGGCCGCGGTCTCCAAGGCGCAGGAGTTCGACCAGCTGCAGGTGGGGAGGATTTTTAATTTGTTGCATCTGTGGGATGTGTGTTGTCAGAGCAGGAAACATACGCGGAAGAAGCCAGAGCCAGGCGAAGTCTCTGTCCTTCCTCTTTTTGCCAAGAAGACAAACAACAAGCTTTTTTCTCGCTTGGCATTTGCAGTTGATGATTTGGACTCTGGTTCCATGGCAAACCTTTTGTTATAAGCACTCTCCCATTGTACATTATTGTCCTTCAATCCTTTATGAAGCAATTACTTTAGTATTGGCGTTAGTCTGAGAGTGCTTTCTTTTAGCTCTAGGCTGTGGTTTCTCAAACTGAGTTTTTAGGAACCCAGAAATTGCCCCGAGCACTTTCATGAACTCCTCGAGCTTTCAAATTTCCAAAAACTATCCCTGCTCCTAGGTAATGTGTGCTTCCAGGTCAAGCACAATTTTGGCAGATCGGATTGAGCCATCCATTGATGCATAACTGCGAGCCATCCGCTCCCTATCTCTTGTTTTACCTTATGATAGACTGCAGCAGACGCTACGAGCCAACAGAGCTATTCGATGCTGTCTGACCGTTATGTGACCTTCGGCAAGTTTGCAGCGAGACGGGGAGGCTTGTGGTCACGCGATACATTCACAGCAGACTGCATGATGGCTTGTAGAGTGCTGTGGTCTATCCAATGTTGGGAAATATTTTAAGTACATTGTACCTAGAGTACTACTTCAAGTAGGTTTAGAAAACTTGTACTTAAAGTATTTTTTCTGGTACTTTCCGACGAAAGTACAACTCTTGACTTCTGAGGGCATTCTTTGAATTTGGCCTTGTTAAATTTTTATCACAAAATGATGCTTTGTCAACTCTGAAGAAATACTGGGAGCGATATTCGACTCTCCCCAAAAGCTCAAGCAGACGACGCATTGCTCCATTTGTGCTGGGGGAAGCTTTTCTGCCGCACATCAAACTCTCGCTACTTGTCGCTCAATCAGCGCAAGCGAGAAGGTGAAAAATATTAGGAGAGGCCATTCCTCCATGGGAGGACTGCTTGCAGAAGCTACAGGGCTGACGTCATGATCTCTCCTAGTATGTTTAACCTGCTTGGGTGCAAACCAGTGCAAGCGGCGCCAAATTCCGAAGTCGGAAGGACTTCTGATTTTGCCACGATTTTCGAAAATAGCTACTTTGTTGCCACTTGACTTTATTCAATATTTGCCACCATTTCAGAAAATAACTGATGCACCCTTGATTACCCTTCGGGCAATGCAAACCAGTTTAAACAAGAAAACGCTGTTTAGGAAAATGAAAGGGCATGATGAAGGATTGTGTTAAAAAGTACTTGTAGTTTACGTTGAAAGTACATTGTGTTTATAGTACTTTACTTCAAGCACATTGCACCTAGTGTACTGTCGAGACCATTCATAACAAACTCAACAAGAATCGGAAATCACTTCGCTATATCTTCTTCTTCGTTATATATAAACTTCATAAAAGTAACACGAAAAAAGAAAAAAAAAAGGATAACACGGGTTGTTACGAGCACATGTTTATCGTGCCTGCAAAAAGCGGCCGAGGCTTCCTTGCGTCCTCTCTCTGCTAGATCAAAGCTGCATCTCGCCAACTGTGAGAAGTTTTAATCGAGAGAAGATCCTTCGAGCTACGTACGGACCGTGTCGACAGCTGTGACGACCGACGTGGAGGATGTTGGCGGTGGATGTTAATCTTTACGTTCATGCGCGCTTCGTCGAGGATGGCACGCTTTAGTTTCGAGGAGATTGCCTCCGTCTTCCCCGTCGAGGTGCCAGCGGTGCTTAGAGTCTCTATCGTTGAGTGATGATAATTCGTCGAATCGGTGCTTGAGCGAAGGTACTTTTGTGCAGAGAGCGAACACGCCGACTAGCAACATTGACACGGATCACGAAGCAAACAAAGCAATGCGCACGGCACTGAGTTCGCACTCAAGTTAGTGTTTTGTCGGTATAGATTTAGGAGAAGAGGCAACTGCACGATCGGTGTCACGTGGTTTGTGAGCTGCATTTTCAAAACGATCTGCAGTCTGCAAGGAGTCAAAACTCAAAACCGTTCTCCATCTGCAAACGTGTCTGCCTCTCCGCCCGATTTCTTCGCCACGCTGGCCACGCGACAGCCAGATGCAGGCGTACTTGCGTCAACCTGCCCAGGAGGTGTCCGTCATTAAATTGCCAATGCTCTCCGTTGTTGGAGCTCCTCCCTCTCTTAAATCTAGGCTCTCTTTGTCATCTTTGTCGGTGCATTGTTGCTAGCGCTCCGAATGCCCCTTTCGACATGCCACGACGGCTCTCCAAGTGCGATGCTGAAAAGCTGCTTTCCAGAAGGAGCGGGGAGCAGACAACGATGCGGAGGCTGCCGTCGGCTGCCTTTTCAGCATTGCCTGCAGCCTGTCCTGGGTGGCTGCTCGGCCCCGGCTGCAAAGTGCGACGGTCTGCGACTTCGTAAACTTTCAGAATTTAATTATCTTTTAAATTATCACAAAATGTTTCTTCGCTACATCCGCGTGAGCCGCTCAATTTTCTTCGCACAAACACAAATACATTGAGAAGATGCTAATGGGAATAGGAAATCGTGATTGCTTCGTTGTAGCCGCTATCTCGTTATAGCCAGTCTCGACAGTACTTACTGCTTAACTCCAAGCACATAACCTCTCGTTTACTTTGTACTTTACTTCAAGTACATTTCAGATGTGCTGTCGTGATTGAATAGTGGCTTTAGTGAAGTGATCTTGATCTCCCATTTTGGTTTGCACTTTTTTAATGTATTTGTGTCTGTTTTTACTGAAGGAAATTAGCTGCTCATGCGAATACAGTGAAGAGAAATTTTGTTATAATTTAAAAAAAATCAAGTCTGGAAGGTTTATTAAGTCGCAGACCACCGCACCTTGCTGCCGCCCTTATCTGGGAAGCTGCTTTTCCAACACCGCACGTGGAGAAGCCGTCGTGGCATGCCGATAAGAGCGTTCGGAGCGCTAGCAACAACGTATCGACAAAGCGAAGGATGTGACGGATAGAGCCTAGATTTATGAGAAGGGGCTACTTTAACCATGGAGAGCATTATCAATTTAATGGCTGACTCCTGGGCAGATTGGTAGAGGTGCGCCACTTTTTGGCTGTCACATGGCCAGCTTGGCGAGGAAACCGAGCGGAGATGTAGACACATTTGCAAACAACAAACGTTTTTGACCCCTTGCAGACAGAGCTTGTTTAAGAAATGTGGCCCACAAACCACATGACCCCGAAAGAGCTGTTCCCTCGTCTCTTAAATTTAGGCTTTCTATACGGACAAAACACAAACTTGAGTGCACACTCGGTGCTGTGTGCAATTCTTTCTTGGCTTCGTGTTCTGTGTCGCCATCGCTGGTTGGTGTGGTCGCTCTCTGCGCAAAGGTCTAGCCTTACTCAAGCACCGATTCGCTGAATCATTGCCACTCAACGATGGCAAGTCCTGGCACCGCCGGCACCCTGACGTGGAAGACGGACGCAATCTCCTTGAAACAAAAGAATGCTGCCATCCTCAACAAAGTGAACACAAACGTGAAGAATGATGTCCAGTGCCGGCCTCCTTTGCGGCAGCTGTCGACACAGTCCATACTTAGCTTGCAGGATCTTTTCTTGATCGAAGCTTCTCGCAGTTGGCAAGAAGCGGCCCTGGGGGGCTATGTTGCACGTTTTGGACTCCCAAGAGACTAGGGAGAAGGAAGTGACGTCAACAACGCTTTTTGGATGTTGATTAGTGGAGTCGCTGATGACGCGTTGCGTGGTGCTGCTAAGATAAGTTCATTCACAGCTACGTCACTTCCTTGTCCCTAGTCTCCTGGGATTCCAAAACGTGCAACATAGCCCCCCTGATCTAGCAGAGAGCACGCACAGGGAAGCCTTGACCGCTTTCTGCAGGCACAATAAACAAGTGCCCGTGACAGCCCGTGCTATCTTTTTTTTGCATGTTACTTTTATAGAGTCCAGATATAACGAAGAAGTGGATATAATGAAGTGATTTTCGATTTGTGTGGACTTCGTTATAATCAGTCTCGACAGTATTTCACCCAGCACTGAGTCTATCCTAAGGTAAAACAGAGTATAGTAGTATGTTATAGTTTGTAATGTTCGGAGGCTTCCTCACTGCTTTGTTGTATCGATGCTGAGATTGTGAGGGGTTCCTTGGTTGCTATTGAATGCAGGTAAAGCTTCCTTCAGATAGAAAAGTTTGAGAACCTCTGCTCTAGGTTAACTAAGGACCAGTTTTTTGAGTGGTCATAGGACTTGCAGGACTTGGAGCTTAAGAACAAGCTTTCAAACAATGAGAATGATGTGCACAAAAGACCACAGAAAGGAGGAGCCCATACGCAGTGCCGTGTATGTGCCCCTTTCTTCCATGGTCGTCTTTTGTGTGCGCTTTTCTCACCGTTTGAAAGCATGTTGCACCAGTTAAAAGGGCACTGACAGGTCAAAATCATGTTTTGTAGCGTAAGCTACACTGGCCGAGGTTGAGCAGTTTTGCGTGGCTCCTGGAGAGCCGTGCTGCGCATGCGCGAGGAGCAGTGACGTCACACGTGTCAGTCCCCGACGCACGCGCCGCACACAGGCACCCGCTGGAGGTCATGGCTCGCGCTGTCCGGTTGTTCTGGGCGGCAGTTTGGTTGCTTGATACATAACAACACGGCGCACAGCTTAACTCATCAGATCCCGAAGTAGTCACATAATGCGTATACCGTATTTACTCGCAAGATGAATGCAAAGTTGATGCAAATCGATGCAAAGTTGGGGGGTTCATTACGCGAAGTAAAATTTTTGCGTCCGTATTTACTCGCATAATGAACGGATCTTTTATCCTGAAAAATCGAAGTAACTTCTTATCTCTTTGCGCGCAGCGCCCGACCCCGACCCCGTAACCAAACTAAGTTGTGAAAAAAAAAAAAAAACTTTTTTTTTTTTTTTTACCGTTTTTTGCAAGCTGTTTTGTTTGCTTAGGCGTTGCTTAGGCGAGGGCTGCGCCTAAGCAACGCCTTTTTTGCGCAGCGCAGTTTGGTTAGGGGGGGTCGTGCGTTGCTTGCACGCGGCACGTGGCAACGTACGACCCCCCCTAACCAAACTGCGCTGCGCAAAAAAGAAAAAGAAGCTCCTCTTTGTTTTTGTTTTTTCTTAGTTCCGTGGCTTTTTTTTTTGCTGCCTTTCGCAAGCTGTTTTGTTGGCTTAGAGCGCTTCTCCGCTTCTCTTTCTTACTTCCTTGCGCGCGCGGCGCACGAAACCAAAGTCCTGACTGCGCTGTACAAAAAAAAAAAAAGCTCCTCTCCATGTTTTTTTTTTCTTGCTTCCGTTGCATCTTTTCGAATTTTTTTAACGCCTTTTGCAAGGTGTTCTGTTCGCCCACGCATTCGCGACCTTGCTGCACCAGGATAGAAAAGTGCGTTCATTTTGCGCCCGTGGGGGGAGGGGGTCAAAATTTCGAAGTCTGGGGGTGCGTTTATTACGCGAGTGAAAAAAAAAAAGTCGAAATTTTGAGGGCCGACTTGGGGGTGCGTTTATTATGCGAGTGCGTTCATTGTGCGAGTAAATATGGTACCGTGTGCGTGTCATTGAAGCAGCAGTAAGCATGATAATCAAGCTAATCCTAGACAACCAGGAAAGCTAAGAATAACCAGCTGAACCTAAGCTTACGCTACATATAACCTGGCGTAGCCGAGCTAAGCTACTGTTAGTTTTTTTTTTATTATCCGAAACGATTGAAAACAATGACTGGACATTACCCTCAGAATACGAAGCTTGAGAACTCGGTAGTTGTCAAGTAAAAAAACAAAATTCCCGAAACCCGTATTTGAAGTCCTCGCTATTCACGCCAGTGCAGTGACGTCAAAGATTGAGTCGTCTGGTAACTCGAGTTTCTCTAGTGCCTCCAAACTGCCCTGACTGCAAGTGTCAAGTTCGCCTGTGTTCCACATTAACCGTGTTTCTCCGTGCATGCCGCCTATCGCTGTGAGCAGACGACGCTTCACTTTCTATGTGACTGCCTAAAGCTGAGCTGGTTAGAATGAAGTTCTTTTAGGGCCCTTGCAGCAATCTCAAGTTCTTTGAAACGGTGTGAGGTCTAAGAGAATGTGCAGTGGACTTTTGTGCGCGACATGAGGGGCCATGTGGCACAGTTCTGCGTGGAAAGCTGCCCCGGTGGAGTGACAATTGAAACTATGATGCGCAGACACCAAACCCAGTTGTTTTGACTGTTTGACGATTTCCTTTTCTATGTCTGAGAGGTCGTTGGGCGCCAATAAGAGTATTTCGTACAATTCCCCCAACTTCCTGATCATCCTCAATGCTACATGTGCCAAGCGCCACCATGTTTTTCGAGGGAGGATAAAAGCCAGGAGGCAACATCACTTCCGGACTCCGATTTTCAGTATTTCAAAAACGGGGGCCGTAGTGCGTTCATAATTGCATTAAAAATCATGTTTTACGAATGCTATTAATAAATATTATACAAGTGTCTCTTACAAAGCTTCTAAATTTTATAATAAATTATGTCACGAATAAAAAGAAGCGAGAAGGTGAAAACTAGACGTCATAAAAATTACAGCTTCGCTGGTCTTCCATCTTCACAAAAAGTAAAAAGGCTCTGCAATTTTTTTTTTTTTTTATTGTGGATATGACTACAACTTGCATCATTTTAGACCAAAAAAAGTAAATAAGGCCTTTGGGGTGTGAGTGCCTTTTAAGAACAAGTTTGTCAGTAAAGCTACGGTACCCAAATATTTTTTCTTTTCGGGAGGTAATGAGACGAGGCTTCCTGAATGCCATGCCTTTTCTCATGCCCGTTCTTCAGGTGAGGGAGGACGAGCTGCCCGAGCTGGACCTATTGCTGGACGTAAGCTGCAAGCTGTCCGTGGCGGGAGGCAGCGAAAACTCCTTCGGGAAGGTCAACATCCTCCTGCAGAACTTCATCTCCCGTGGACCCGTCGAGTCCTTCTCTCTCATCTCTGACCAGGCCTACATTGTTCAGGTAGGGCGTCCTCTAGCACTTATCTTTTAGTGCAGAATGGGTTACAGGGCTGAGTTTCATGAGAAAAGCAACACGCTGCGCTTGACGGACACAGGTCAAGGTCATAAAAGGAAGGTAGCCTCATAGGGGCCATAGTGCTTTATATGACCCTGACATCAGGGTGCCAGGTGACACCCTAACCTGACACTGTGACCTCATGACGTTGTAGAGTCACGTCATCTCGTGACGTCGCACTTACACACAAGATGTGCCCAGCTCATTCCACAAGTCGGGAGTTTATTAGATATGATTGAGACTGGCTCGTTTGATTCCAGGAATATTACTGAACTGCTGACGATGGGCTGAGCCTGTCGTGCTGCCCCTCAGGTCGAGAGATTTTTAGTGCAGGGTGTATTTTAATGAAAGTGCAGTTAAAGGTGTACGACCAGAGTCAATATTCTGCAAGGCTTTCCTCCTCTTATCTCTTCGAGCGAGGGAAGCAAAGTATGGAAAGAAGGTACTAAGAAAGTTGGGCACGAGTCCGTTTGTGCCGCTCGGATAGTGGGGTGGTTCATTGTGCGAGCGCGTAACTAGAGATAGGCCCGCAAAAAGGGTACCCCCACAATGGACGCGTCACAATCTGTGCGCCTAGCGAAGGAACCTTCCAAAACCAGGAAACGAGAAAGGAGTTTGTCTCTCGCACTGCGGAGTATGTCTTTGCTGGGTTTTTGTTTGATTGCCGCAATTTTGAATCGGCGTGGATTGACATTTTTTCATAATATTTGTTGCACCCGGTTGAAAGCCTGGATCGGAATGCATTGGTATGAAAATGATGAAGGGAAAAGCAAATTATGATGTTTACAACACGAAACTGTGGCGAGAAAAAAAAAAGAAGGAAACTTTGAAGTCTAAGAAAAAAGGCACGAGGCAAAAGATGATCTGCAGATGAGCCACAGTGTGTACAAAGGATAAGGGGCGGGGGCCGAACTCGGTCACTTACAGATCACTGCATTTTGGAAGCAGGACATAACTCTTGTTTTCAGAAGGGCACGCAATCTCGTCTGTTCACAACTTTCGAACCGGCGTTTGCGTGGGGCTGCCCATGTAAAAAACATGTTTTACAAAATCCTAAATACCGTATTTACTCGCGTAATCCTCGCACTCGCGTAATCCTCGCACCCCTAATGTGGGCCACCAAAAATAGAATTTTTCTTTTCCTCGCGTAATCCTCGCACCCCCAAAACTGCAGCGGCGAAAGTCGCCTGCTCGTGAAACCCGCATATGGCGCACGCACTCTCCACCGCCCGCATTTTCCGGCACCGCGCCGCTCCGTATGGCCAGAGTGCTAGCAGTCCTAGCGCCATCTGTCAGACTCTAGTCATACTGTCGTTGAGCCGGTCTCGCGACCGCAACGGTAGACGGCGTTAGCGCAGCCCCCGGTCGTCGCGTGTCGCGTCGCAATCAGTTGTCGAACTGGTCGAACGTCGAACGCTTTGAGCCAACCTCTTTGTTCGGTGCTGGTTGCCACTTCGCCATGGGGCGATACGCCAACTACACGGCTGCTTTCAAGCTGAAAGCGATAAACTACGCTATTGAGCACGGCAACCGCGCCGCAAGCAGACACTTCGGCGTCAACGAGTTCAACGTGCGCTACTGGAGGCGGCAGCACGGGGAGCTGCAGGCGACCAACAGGACACGCCGGGCTTTCCGTGGTCCAAAGACTGGCAAGTTTCCCCGAATTGAGACGCTGCTCATGGACTACGTCAAGGCTCTACGCTCCGATGGGTGCGCCGTGTCCATTGAGCTTTTGTGCAACAAGGCGCGCGCAATTGCCAGAAAGGAAGGCGTCCCGGCACAAGACTTCCGCGCCAGTAACGGGTGGGCCACGCGTTTCATGCGGCGCAATGGTCTCTCTTTGAGGAGGCGTACAACGCTTTGCCAACGCCTGCCCGAAGCCTACGAGGATAAGATCGTGGACTTCCACCGGTTCGTCATTAGGATTCGGCAGCAGAACAATTTTTTGCTGTCGCAGATTGGGAACGCGGACCAAACGCCTATTAATTTCGACATGCCCAGCAGCACTACTTTGGAGCAGAAAGGCGCACGCACCGTCCACGTACGCACGTCTGGCGCAGAGAAGCAGCGATGCACGGTAATGCTAGCTGTGACGGCGGACGGTCGGAAGCTGCCACCGTACATCATCTTCAAACGAAAGACTCTCCCCAAAGGAAAGTTTCCCCCTGGTGTGCACGTACGGGTGCAAGAAAAAGGCTGGATGAGTGCTGCCCTCATGGTCGACTGGCTTAAGACTGTGTGGGGGCGGCGACCGGGAGCACTTCTTTTTCCGTCGCTCCTCGTTCTCGATAGCTTTCGGGGCCATCTTGTGGAACCGGTTCGCACAAAGTTGAAGGAACTGCGCACAGACCTGGCTGTCATTCCAGGTGGCCTAACGTCCGTGCTGCAGCCTTTGGACGTGTCTTTGAACAAACCATTCAAAGATAATGTTCGAAGGTTGTATGCAGAGTGGATGGCCGAAGGCCAACACGATCTGACGCCGGCCGGCAAGATAAAGAGACCATCGGTGGAGCAGCTGTGCAGCTGGATAGCGGAAGCGTGGGGGATGATCGGAGCAGACATCATCGTGAAGAGCTTCAAAAAGACTGGCATATCAAATGCCTTGGATGCTACTGAAGACCACTTGGTGTGGGAAGAAGACGAGGCGTCCGAAGCCGACGAGAAATCGGGAGGTGACGACGAGACAACGACCAGCGATGCTACCACTGATTCGGACTGAGGCTCGAGTGTTTCCAAATTAAATCTTACTTTGTCTTAAACCTGTGGTTTTATTGCTAAGGTAAGCCCTGTATTGCTACTTCTAAAAACTTTTAGGTAGCTGCCGGCGCGAAAACCCCAATTTGCTGGTGCTTCGGTTTTTTATTTTTATTTTTTTAGAGCTCTACGTTTTCGGGAAAAAATTTTCCCCGCGTAATTCTCGCACCCCCAGCTTTCCATCGATTTTCCGCAAAAAAAAGTGCGAGGATTATGCGAGTAAATACGGTATCGCCTTGATTAAAAAAAAAAAAGATAGAGCATTTAAAAACCAAGAATTGCTTCTAGTCATATGCAGCAACGTCGCTCCCCCCTCCCCCCAAAAATAAAAAAAGAAAGACTCCATGGGGAACATGTAAAGTAATACCAGTGCAGGGCGCCCTGACTAAAAGCCTGCAATGACATCAATGGCATTGTAACTCACGGACGCAAGGCAGTTTGTCAGTCATGTTAGGGTTGATCTTTTGTAACCTGACCTTCCTTTTTTTTCTAGTTGGAGTCTATGACTTAGCCACCATGGGCTTTGCAGAGCAGAGGATGAGGGGGTAAAGGGGGAGGGAAGGGGGGACGAGGAAATAGGCTATGGTAAAAACGGAGAAGAAAAAGCGAGGAAAAAGTGGAAAGGGCAAACTGGTCGTTGGCCTTTAAGGTTTTTGTGGCCGTAGCCGTAACATGCCGTCACCGGCTAAATTCTAAATTGAGCAGACTAACTTCCCACTAAATTGAACCACTGGGGTGCCACTTGGATCATGCGGTTGGTGTCACTTTGGGTCATGTGACATGCATCAAGTCGTACCAGGTCTCCGATGTCCCGGTGTCAAATTCTGGTGTCATGTGGCATCCTATGACCTGATGCCACACGACGTGATCATGTGACATGACATCACATTGCACCACAGCTTGGCACTCAGCGTTACTAGATCTAACGATACAGTAGACTCCCCTTAAGACGAACACGAAGAGACTCTGAAAATTTGTTTGACTTACCAGATGTTCGCCGTAACGGAAGTGCCCAAATGATCATGCTGGGCATGTCTAAATTGCTGTTGACCAATAAACACAGAATTAAAAGGCCTACAGTGAAGAGATTCTTAAAAAGGGACATTTATTTGGCTTACCATGTCAAAAGAAAAAAAAAAAATGTTTCACACATTACTTGTGGGGGAACCGATCCATTCGGTGTTTTTTGACTGCCTCCTCGCAAATCGGTGTCTAGCGATGAAAGACGACATGTGGCCCATGTTTCTGAGAATACATGGGCCACATGTCATAACTGAACCTTAATCACTCTCATCACGTCCATCAGACTGCTTGTCCGACGCCTCTTCCCAAAGGCTCTTCAGTGCCGTCGAGCGCATTTGAAATCCCGCGCTTCTTGAAAGAGCGAGCGACGGGCGTGCGCCAATGCAGTGAAAACCCGGCGTGGCGCACAAAGCGAGTAACCCAATGTCGGCTCGCCAAAGTTCTCATGCAGCAGCTCGATGTTTACGGCGAGGTGGTGTGTACGCTGCTCTTTTACCAAGTTACGGCGAGGTGCCGTTCACGTTGCTCTTTTACAAAGTCGCCGAGACTTTCCTCGACGTCGGTGAACATGCCATTCTTTGGGCTCCTAAAAAAACTTCTTCTCGTTCCATTGCACGCGAACAGAGCTTGCTTTTGTCGTCTCCATCCGCGAATGCTGCCCTCATTTACGGCGAATTGTCGTCCGGCAGCACTTTTACCGATGTCTTCTGCACTCAAAAGAACTTTTTTTTGTAGGCGACCGATGACTGTTTTTGCGCCAACGCCATTGCCGAGCCCGGCTGTGTACGAAGGGTGGCGCCTCGGACATTGCGATTTTAATGATGATGATAGCTGTTTTGAGTGCCATATTGCTTCGAAACAGAAACTACGTCAAACAGCGTTAGATTGCGCCTCATCGAAGCTGAAAATTTGAAAAAAAAAAAAAAATCCTAGTATTATATGCGGGTTTTTACGGTACATCTGACATACACCTCGGCCGGTGCAATGCTCGGCGTTGCCGTCGGTGCAGTGCCATCGGGAAGGGGACCTATGAAAGTTTGAGTTAACCAAAATGCGCACGCGAAGCGGTTCGTATTAAACAATTTTTTTTTGCATTGCGTCTATGGGAAACCAACTAAACGTTCTTACTTCGTTTGGCATATCTGAGAATTTCGTTTAAGCGAGTTCACCTTAATGGGAGTCTACTGTATTGTTGACAGTATGACAACACGTGACACCTCAACTTCGCACCGTAAGTCACATAACTTGTTATCCTTCTGTCACACTGTCCAGACCTATGTATATAAAACCCTAATTAATTCCGCATATGGGATGTCTAGGTGGTAGATCGAAAGAGCGCCATAGTTATTTTTCTCAGCTTTCTTCTTTCGATTCTCTTGCCTATTTCGGAGACGCCGTGTCCGTGTTGTGACACAATGAGTTGCTCTCTGTTGCCAGAATGCCACCCGCATCCTGCGTGCTTTGTTCGACATGGTGCTGAGGGCGGGTGGTGCCATCATGGCCGGCCGCATCCTGACCCTCTGCAAGGCGGTGGAGCGCCAAGTATGGAGCTTCGAGAGCCCCCTCAAGCAGTTTCCCGACATCGGCTACCACGTCCTCAAGCACATTGAGGAGAAGGACATCCGTGTGGACTACATCAAGGACATGGGGGCCAAGGACATTGGTGAGGACCTCACCCTGCTGGACCCTCTTGCATTCCAGTAACCGAGTAGAAAATATTAATGCCACAATTTCTCGATTTGACACCTACCACTTTGCTGCTTGAAATGCGTAAAAATGTTGGGATGCACACTGTTTTGCTGTCTTAATTACTAAAGCTTACGAAAAAGCTAGGAAACATTTTCGTTTTGCATGTATCCAACATGGCTGGGTACACTGATGAAAAAAAAACTTGAGTAATTTTATGCCTAAAGCACCTTTGTAACAAGGTTTTGCTGCTTCACAAATTAAGCCATCCTCCGTCACTTGCGCACACGTGATAAGAGTAGGAATTTTTTTTCATGCGCTTGTACAAGCAATAAGCAGCCATTTCGAGATTACTCAGTATAGCATCCCAAGCTGTTGTCCTATTAAAACATTCAGTTTAGTTAGAATCGAGGCTTTCAATAGTAATCATATTGATGCAAGACCTAGCTGGCTCACAAACGATCTGAACCTCTCAGCAAAACATATGCCACCATCCTGAAGTCTTCCAAAGGTTCCCTTCCTGTTCTAGCAGAATTGTAGGCGTGATCGAGCTTTTCTGGAATACAAGTCGTGATATTATTTTGATGCAGATAATTTGACTTTAGGAGAAGAAGGAGCAACAGCTTGGGTGGAGCAATAATGGGTCAGGATTGGGATGTGAAGATGCGATTTGTCTTGTCTGCAGGGAATGCCTCGGTGGCTCTGAGTCAAAGTGCCGGCCTACGGATTCCGAAGTGGCGGATTCGAATCCTGGCGGAAGCTTATTGTGAAGAAGGCACCGTGCGATTGAGACGTGTCGGAATATTCTTACGTGATCCGAATTAATCTTCAGTTCTCCGCTGGGGCGTGCCAGATGCCCATTGTTTGTTTGGCACCTAAAACCCCCGATTTTGTATTTGCCCCCAGGAATGATGGTGCACAACCCGAAGGTGGGCACGCAAGTGGAGCTGTGTGCTCGGCAGATTCCGCAGCTGGTGGTGGTGCCCCGCATCCAGCCCATCACCCGCACGGTCATCAAGGTTCAGCTGGACATCACAGCGGACTTCCGCTGGAGCGACCGGGTCCACAAAGGCGCAGAGGCCTTCTGGATCTGGGTCGAGGACCCCAACTCGGACGAGATCTACCACTATGAGTACTTTGTCCTCACCAAGATGCAGGTGTGCTCCCGCCCTTCACCGCCAGAATAAGCCTCCCCCACAACATGAAAAGAGCTGTTGCAGAGAAGACGCATCTTGTTGTCGATCCGATAACAGTCGGTGGGTCGGTAATTGTTGGGATGACCCTCAAACTGTTTTCAGGGCGATGGCAGAGCGCCTCAATTTTGTAGCAACTCTTTTCGTGAAAGCCCCCGTGACAAATTGTCATGAAGACTTTCAATTCTTGGGGTTTTCAAGAACTTCTAGAAAAGATTTATTTAGCGTAATAGTATCCTGAACGTGCGCCCACCTTTAAACTTTGGCCCACCCCCCTTTTATGTCAAAATATCTATATGAAAGAAAATCCTGATATGTCGCCCAACCTCCAGTAATAGCAATTCCAAAGAACTGGGGACACCTGGGCAGACCTATCTTTTTAGAAGTCTTTGGATGCACATATGTGTGCACCAAACAAGAAAGTTGCATAAGAGCCTGCTCCTTATGAATCACAAGGCGTCCGATTGGGCCCGATGCCAAAGTATTTGCCAACGCGATCTTGAGCTTTACCGCTTCCCCAGCATTGCTCTTCGTCGTTTTTTTAATGCGGAAGCATTAACTGTCTCATCGAGCGAAAGAGCCAAACGGCTCTTTCACACCCCTTCGATCCCATTGGCTAGCGCGCGTCCACAGCCAACGGCACCTTTTACATCGCTGCGATCCCATTGACTTGCCCGCGACGACCAGCTACCCGTTCGCCGGACATGCAGCGCCATGGGGTGGCCGGTCGTTGAAACTGATGCTGTGCGTCAGTTTCAACGACCGGCCACCTCATGGCGCTGCGTGTCCGTCAGCGCCAGTCAGCGTGCCAACAGCGAAAGCCAAAAGCCTGTCTTGTCTCTTTGTCTTCAATGTCCCTCTTTCCTTATCGTAAATTAGAAGCCAACACGCCCAACCATCTACAGCAAGATTGATGTGCATGGTTTCGCATTCACAACTCATAAGAAGTGCTTAGGTGTACCTCAATCTTTTTAGCCCAATCGCTGGGTGCACCTGGTTGGTTTTACAGCGAAGCTGTTATGCACTAGGATCTGTGAAAAAATGTGTCCGCTGATGTTGACAGAAAACTCCCCATTGGTTGTGGCAAGTATGAACAAATAAAAATTAAAATAAAGGGGCAACCTGGGTGAGTCAGCCTTCCTTGGCATTATTAGATAGTGAGGTCCTGATCCCTTGTTATCATCTCTTGGCATTGTCCTCGAAGTCGTCCTCGAGGTCGTCCTAGAGGTCGTCCTAGAAGTTGTCCTTGAGGTTGTCCTAGACGTTGCCCTCGAGGTCGTCCTACAAGTTGGGTTTGAGTCTGGCCTAGAAGTCGTCCTCTAGGCGTCGTTCTCGAGGTCGTCCTAGAAGTTGTGACGTTCCTCTTTCGACGTGAGAAAGTCACAACTCCCCAGATAAGATTTGTCACTGATTAGAGCAAGCCCAGCTGTAGACAGGTATGCATAAAGACTTTATACAAAGCAAGAGAAATAAATCAAACACAATCATAAACAACAAGGCACTCGCGGACAACAAAGGAAAAGTAAACAAGTGCAAGGGGGATGCTAACAGCTGAATAAAGTAAAGAAAGTTTGAAACGTCGAGGATGCTCACTTACAGTCCTTGTCCTTCAGTTACAGCCCTGGTCGAATCCCACAGTCCCTTCAGGCTAGCACACCCCACTTCCCGTAGCAGCGTCGAAGTCCCTTCTGGTCGACGCTGAAAGTCGCGTCCGAATGCTGAAGATGTCGCCTCCCCTCTCCCTCCCCTCGGAAGAACCAGTCCGCTTGGCCCTCCCCCCACAACCGTCCCGCTTGACTTCCTGATTTCGCCTATTAACCCCCTGGCTCCCCTTTGTACCCACCAGCCGCGAGTCCTGGAAGGTCATCTCCCGCCCGCACATACACCACTCTCCCAAAGCCGATTTCCCCCTCTTGCAGTGCTCACGGCTAATACTTCACACCCTTCACGCACACACATCACCGGTCCGGAGCCTGGGACATTGCCTTCCCGTTGCACTGCTTGCATCCAACTCGTACCAGTCACGCTCGCACATCCCTGTCCCGAAGCGGGACGAGGTTGCTTTTCTCTTGCACCGCTTGCGGCCAACGCTTCACATGAGTCATGGACGCACATTGCTCTCTGACCCGAGGGCGCTGTTCACGACGGGGTCATCCTTAAGTTCGTCCTAGACGTCGTCTCAAGGGGTCGTCGTAGAAGTCGTCCTCTAGGCATTGTTGGCAAGGTCGTCCTAGAAGTCGTCCTTGAGGTCATCCTCGAAGTTGTCCTTAAGGTCCTCCTAGACGGTGTCCTTTAGGTGTCGTCCTAGAAGTCGGCCTTGAGGTCGTCGTAGACGTTGTAAAAGTAACAGCCTCGCTGGTCCTCCATCTTCACGTGAAGTTGCAGGGCTCTACAATTTTTCTATTTTCTTGTTGTCTCTTTTTTTTTTCTTACGGCGAAGCTGTTATGTGCTAGGATCTAGGAAAAAATGCATCCGCGGATGTTGACAGAAAACTCCCCATTAATCGTGGCAAGTATGAATAAATAAAAATAAAATAAAGGGGCAACTAGAATGAGTCAGCCTTCCTTGGCATTATTAGTTAGTGAAGTTCCGATTTCTTGTTATCATCTCTAGGCATCGTCCTAGAGGTCGTCCTAGGCGTTGTACTCGAGGTCGTCCTGAAAGTTGTCCTTGAGGCTGTCCTATACTCTGGCAAGCTGTCAAAGTTACTGGCGCGAGCGCGTGGCTTTGTCTATGGTTTCGTTCACGTGAGCACGCGTGCAAATGAACATCGAGCTTTCTGTCCTTCGTGACAAGATAAACAATGTCAGAAGTAGAAGATGCAAATTCTTTCAACGTTCAAATCGTTGCCTCCTTTAAGTGTTTTTCATGTTTAACTACAATTTAAGCAGGTCTGAGCTTCCCATTGATGCTTAACTATAAAACAATAACTTCCTAGTATAGAAAATATTGTTTAAGATCCTGCACTTCGTTGTATCACTGCCAAGAACAAGATGGGTTTTTTGGCTGCGAATAAGAAAGATTCCTCGAAATGGAAAAGTTTGAGAGCCAATGTTTTAGCATTCTCTTCTCCCGTACCTCCAGGCTGTGAGGCAGGAGACTCAGAACCTGGTGTTCACCATCCCTGTCACGGAGCCCCTGCCCCCCCAGTACCTGGTGCGGGTGGACTCGGACCACTGGCTGGGCTCGGAGCAGACCATCCCCCTCACCTTCCACCACCTCATCCTGCCCGAGCGACACCCACCTCACACGGGTATGCGGGGTCTTCTCGAGGGAACGAAATACTCTGTTTTTGCTTGACGTAATGGGTATGGGATCTGAAATGCACGTCGCGACACACACCAGATGCTACAGATGTGCAAGTGTCACTCAAGTCTCCAAGCTTCAATTTTGGTTGCTCCATGTGCAGTTGAAGAAAGGGGTTCAAAACTTCAGCCTGTTGGCATCACTTGGCCCACTGGATTTGTTTTTCTTTGTTATCTGCGATACTAACTGTCAATTTTATTTCTCAGTATTTGACTGAGGGGTTTAATACGAGCATTAATTACGTAACCGCTCAGAATAACGGTCGTATTTATTTATGTGAGCATCGGTTCTAGTTTCATTCAGATTGTAGCTATCTTTTCACCAGCACCTGATTTGTTTCTGTAGGGGCAGTTCAACTTCGACCGTTGTCACATTCTGAGTTGCGGCTGTTGCAATGTGTTTAACCAGGACACCCTACACCTTTGTGCGACGTCCTAGGAAAGACGTTGGAATTGTCATTTCAGAGCTGCTGGACCTGCAGCCCCTGCCTGTGGGTGCCCTGAACAATGTGATGTACGAGGTGCTGTACAGCTTCAGCCACTTCAACCCGATCCAGACGCAGATCTTCCACACCCTGTACCACACAGACTACAACGTGCTGCTGGGCGCCCCAACGGGCTCCGGCAAGACCATCGCAGCCGAGATTGCCATGTTCCGCATCTTTAACGTCAACCCTTCGTCCAAGGTGACAGGCTCTCAACTTTTGATCGTCTTCTCGCTCATAGCTGCCTCGCTGGTTTCGAGGCAAAGTGCCAGCCTACGGGTCCCCAGGTGTAGAGTTTGAATCTCGGTTGAGGTGCCCGCAATATGACGGAGGCATTTTGGGGAGAAGGCACCTCTCCGTAACTGAGCTTTCAGTTGCTTGTCAAAAGATCCGTGGGTGGTCGAAATTAACCCTCAGTCCGCGGTTGGAGCGTGCCAGATACCCTTTGTTGGTTGGGCACATGTAAAACTCCCAAATTTTGCAAATTTAACCTCTTGCTCGTGGAAGGCGAAGTCTGTTAAGAATGGAGATTTATGTATACAGTCGCCGACCGCTTGTTCGATATTTTGGGCCTAAAGAAGGAACTGTGACCTGCTTGATAGAAATGGCGCATATTCACAACCAGTGTTTCTTACAGCTTGAACTCAAAAAGTTTGATTTTTCAAACAATATCGTCGCGAGCGATTGGGGGGAGCACTACTGAGAAGCCGCCATTTTAGATTCTATGTTGGCTGTACATGGATTGGTTTGGTTTGGCAGCGCTGCTTGAGCACTGCTAAGTCCTACGACTAAGGGATGCTATATGGCTTTTTCTTCTAGCTGCATGTTATTATCATTATCATTGTTACCATTCTGCTTTGTTCATTTGCCATTGCAGTCGTGGACTTGCGCCTCTCATCTCATCTTGGTGAATGGTGTTTTCGGACTGCGCTAGCTTGGACACCGTGTCCTCATCTGTTCTTCCGCCGTTGTGAAGTGTCGCTAAGAAGCGCGGAAAGTACTCGACCATAACACTAGAAAAGAAGACAGCGATTCTCAAGTTAATAGAAAGTGGCCAAACGCAAACGGAGGTGTAACCTGAAGCAAGGCACCTTTAAGGCTTTTTTAAGCCCGCTTAGACATAAATAAAGGCACGTTTTTTAATCTGCTGATTTTTCGGACTGTTCTATTCGGACGCTTTTACGGTTCCTGCGAAGTTAAAAAAAAAAAAAATTGTTCGGCGACTATAGGGATTTCTGCTCCATTGTCTGATGTATCTGTTCTCTGGAATGTTGGGTGTTATTAACTGATTTAGGAGGCTATTGAGAGTCAAAGCTCAATTTATTGGCCGATTAAAGTCATAATAAAAAATTACATAAAAACTGTAAAAAGCAACCCACACGATACGGCCAAACGTTTGAACTCGCCACCGCCGAGAACGATTTTTCTGAGAAGCACCATTCCTAAAAATGGCTCCTTTTGCACCAGATAGTTTGTGTGCCACAAATTAACGTTTTAACCCGTTGGAGACTTTGTCGGTGTTTCTTCCTGTCTGTTTTTGTCTACAGTCTACATTGTCTCGAGTTTTCTATAGTTCCTCGCAGGACGAGGAGGGCAAGGTGCATTTTTCGAATGCTTGGCCTCGAGCACATGCTCATTGCCTTCCGCTGCTCATTGGCTGCTCGTGCACTCTCGAGGATCACGAGACGCAAAAGCGTTATTGTGGTGCCAGGAATGCGTCTCTGACTGGTGTGCTTGGCGTCCTATTCTGCCCATGCATCGAAAGTGGTCCCAAAGCGGCAACGGACGACTTCACAAAAGCCGGAGTGTCATGTTGTCGGATGTCCCTGGCAGTTGGTCATAGAAGTTTCGGCAAAAAGCACAAGCAAACGCGAGTGTCGCCGTTGTCACTCACGGCGCCCTAACTCCTTACTCCCGAAGCTTTATTGGGCTCTCAAGCTGGAGAGTGACCTGCAGCGGAACAGGCGTCTGCCATGTCCGCCAGCGCTGCTGCGACACCTCCAGGATCGCGGCTAGTGACAGCATGTAACTTTTATGACGTCATCAGGCGGAAATCGAGGGACCACGTTTTTGGACGGAGTGAACAGACCAGTCGGAGACGGGCAGCTCGTGCTGGAGGCGGGATAATTGAAAGACTTCCCTGCCGTTTTATTTCTGTCAGTGCCTATAACTGTGTTCCCTTGTCACTCGATCACACTTTCCAGGTGGTGTACATAGCCCCCCTGAAGGCCCTAGTCAGGGAGAGAATCAAGGACTGGAAAGTGAGGCTGGAAGAGAAGTTGGACAAGAAGGTGGCAGAGCTGACGGGGGACGTCACTCCCGACTTCAGGGTGATCACAAACGCGCATGTGATCGTCACGACGCCGGAAAAGTGGGACGGCATCAGCCGCAGCTGGCACACCCGGGGCTACGTCAAGGACGTCTCTCTCATCATCATCGACGAGATCCATCTGTTGGGTGTGTGCGTCCTTCCGAATCAATGGTTTTGCAACCGTTAGCAGGGTAGCAAATGTTAATGACGAGCTGAATTTGTTTCCAAACGTTTTGCGAAATTGAGCAGAGATTCAGCCTACCAAATTTCAGTTCCTTGGCCTAAGAGGTATACATTTCAATTAACTACTACTCTAAAAAAAAAAAAAGAAGAAAGCTGGTTATGTTGCGAGTTTATCCCATCTTTAGACTTTTAGCACACTACTTTTGAAGACAGCAGCAATTTCTTCTGGAGATAATGTGTTTGAGTTTATAGTGTAAGTTCACTCCAGCCCATTTTGGGTGTTGCGATTTAACTAAGGGTACACTTTGATGAGGATTGATAACCACGGTCCTATGTTTGCATTTGGTAGCTGCAGCCCAAGTTTGGTACGTATATGTGCACATGTAGTACATGATTGCAAAGTTATATTTAGGGCTCCGTGTTTTCGGATAAATCCGAAAAACTCCGAAAAACACCCGCCGGTAAAATTTTTGTCAATTCGAATTTATCCGATAAACTCCAAATTGTTATGCGCCGTTGCCCCCCCCCCCCCCCCCCAATGCACAATAAAAAAAACATTTTTTTTTTTTTTTTACATTTTGAGCAGCGCCGGGAGAATGGTCCTGGGAAAATAACACCATAATTGTCTTTCAAGACTCGGACCGTTGTCAAAAGGGGGTCTTACGGCTTGTCTCGTCAAGATTGGTTCAGGGTTATATTAGGTCTGTTCTTGAGTATGTGTGTAGAGACTGGGACCCACCAACCGTTGTTGATAGAAATAAACTTGAAAGAGTTCAAAACTTAGCGGCTAGATATGTTTCCGGGAATTATAACGGGCGACTCAGCATGGCAAGTCTGAAGGAATTCTTAGGCTAGGAATCTCTTGAAAAAAGAAGGAAAAAACTACGGCTAAAATTATTTCATAACATTTACCACTGCAGAATTAGTATAGAGCGCGAAAACTACATTTTCCCCCCGGATTATATCTTTCATTGTGTCGATCACGAACGAAAGGTACGTGAATATAAGTGTAACATAAACCAGTTTTAAATCATCTTTTTTCCCCAAATCTATTAGCAAATGGAATCAATTGCCTTGGGAGGTTGTTGGCATTTTGGACAATGACGCTTTCTCTGCTGCATTGTGAGAAGTGTTTTCTTTTTTGTTTCCCGTGTACTGGGTATGCATGTGCACATTCTGTTATGCTCCTTTGTATTGCTGAAATGTATCACATTAATGAAAATTTCCTCCCCGCTGTAATGCCACCCTGGTGCTGTGGGAAAGGGAATAAATAAAAGGAAACAGGTGATCGTACCATTCCTGTCACGACAAAAGCCACTCTTTTGGTTTCCAGTTTGGGCCATGGAATTTAAAGAAAGGAGAGGGTATGTTTCTGGGGATAACAGTGAAAGCTATGGATCATAGAGATTGTGTAAAATAGGGAAGAGGGGCAGTTGAAACCTCTCTATTACATCCTTAACCCCTCCACCTCAAGCAGCCGTGGGATAGGTTGATGGTAGGACTACGGAGCTTCCTTGCGGCTACCTCCGGCAGTTTATTGATTTTAAGGTATCGACGTTTATCGAAGCCACACTTGTGTGCGACTTTTGTCGTGGGACAAATTAGTATTGCCAATAACACCAACGCCAAATTCAACTGAAGAAATCTTAATTGATACAAGCGCGTTTTATTTTTATATCTGGCATACGTTTGCATCCGGTTATTATTTACTATTTTTTTTATATGAAACACTGCAAAAGTAATCTCCGAATTTTGGATAATGGGGGATTTACTAAAATAAACTCCGATAAACACCGAATTTTCGCTAAAAAATAAACTCCGAAAAACACCCTCCGAATTTCACGAAAAATAAACTCCGAAAACACGGAGCTCTAGTTATATTGTAGCTGTTCTATGACTTGTCGCTGTAAATGACTACGAGGTCACAGGGCCACAGCATGGGATTTATTTGTCAGGGTGTGCTTCTGTCTTTATGTGAATACTTCTTCTCCTGCTTAAACCGTTTGGATAAGTAAACTTTGGTCTATTGAATGCCCTATAAATCTGGGCTAGACGTAGTTTCGCCTCATTCAGTGTATTTCTCATAGTTATAGTATGATATTAATTACAAAGTATTAAGGGAAAAAGTGGGTTCTCAAAAAATATTTCTTGTTTATTGGTCTATCTCAATGATTTTTTGCACAGGCATGCAGTTTATTGTGCTGATTTCATAAATGCAATCAGATTTCAGATATCTCTTCTTTGCCAAAAGTTATGAACAAAATAAAATATTAATTAGCTAATTTCAGGAAGGGTTTTAAAAAACCTTCTTATTAAAATTTTAATGAAAAAAATGTATCAATTGCTTCCTAAAGAAATGCCATACAAGCTAAAGCTATTTTTATTTCTTTAGCACCATATAATCATGTAAAAAAATTAAAGTGAATAGAAGACATGCAATAGCGGCTATAACAATGTCTAAAAATGAAATGCCAGTTTTATATACCACAAAATATCATAATAAAAATAACTTTAGCTTGCAGTCTAGTTCATTCCAAAGAAAATAGTACCAAGGTTATGAAAATCGGTTGAGTGTAAGTGAATCAAAAAGCCTTCCTGGCCGGAGAAGAGGCTGAAAAAACCAAAGCTGAGAAAATCGACTTTGAAACTTGAGTATGCATAACTAACAACATTGAAGCTTTAGATGGGTAGAATGCCTTTGGTTTGAATTTCATACTAAGGGTGAGACACGGGCAGGGGAAGCAGCCCCATATGCAACAATTGGTTAGCCCTCAAAAGGGCTTTTTTAGGGGACGTTTTCAAAGCACCAGCTTGTGAATGGGCGCGGCCATTCCGCACTGCTCACATTTGGTGGTCGCGAAGAACATGTTCAACACGTTCAAATCCTTGATCACGAACTGCGTGCCAAAATCTGTCTCTTTATCCTCGATAGTGACATTGAGGAGGTCAAACTTCCGTTGCGCGGGAGACTTCACGGCCAAATCCTGCTTCATCTCGTCAGCCCGCGCCGAACGTTGAGCAGTTTCGCTTGCCGTGTAGAAATGCGCGTCGAGTCGTGACGCACTAGGGCCGAAGCTGTCGTCTTTTTCGTTGCTCACATTAGGGGCGGGCACTTCGGAAGACGAAGCAGCTGCTGGCAGCTGAACTTGCCGCATGTCCGCCGCAAGCAACGCGGCTGGCGATGCGAGCAAAGTTTTCTTGTTCTACGCCCGACGCTTCCGCTTGCCGTACGCACGCTGCGTTGAAAGGTTCACGCTAGGCATTGCGATCACTACCGATGTCTCCTAAAGACGTCGAGCTAAACAAAGTAGGCGAACGCCGAAAAATAACGTGCTTGAAGCCAAAACGCAACCGCTAGCAGACGACAAACAACGATATCGGCTGCTTCCGCGCCGCAAGAAAGGAGAGGAGGGAGAGGAGAATGACATATATTAGGAGAAAAGGCATGCGCTGCGGCCAATACCGACAGCGCTCGCTGCGGCCCGTGCTTCTTAGCCAATCAGTAGCTCGGTTTCTTTCTTCGGGGAAACGTGTGCTTTCCCCGGGCGGACGCCATTTTTAATGGGGCCAAAAATGTAGACAAAGAGGCAAGCTTTCAAACGAGACCAAAATGGCCGCTAAGGGCGCGCACCGGCGGAGCGCGGGCGTTTCGATGTCGGTTTTCTCTTTCGGAAAATTTTGGGCGCGTTCCGCGCGACACAATTTTTTTTTTTTTTTTTTTTTTTATACTTTGAGTTTGAATTACGCTATAATATTTTCGAGATAGGTGCTTGGATATGTAAGGCACCCAAATAGAGGATTTTTGAAAAATGAACTTTTTCGCGATTTTTTGCATTTTTAGGATTCGCGTTTCCCCTTAACCTGTTCAATTCAATTAATTGATTTATGTCAATCCATGGGAGGCTTACTAACTTGGGGAACAAGAATGGTCAATTTCAATCAATTAATGGAGACACTTGCTTTTTGGACAGTTTTGGCACTTAGTAGTGTGGTAATATTGTGGTATAAGTTAAACGTTGTATATGAGGGGTACTGGTTTTAATTATCTTTTTCTAGACTTCTTAAAATCTAGAAACGAATGTCTTGCATGGCGAGGGAATACCGCGACGCTTCCCCATCTAATGCGGCATCACCATTTGATAACAATAGTGCTTGAGGCATACACATATTTTACACTCGCATACTAATTGTTTGCCAAAATATTTCTTTTCTATTAGTGTGGCTAATGCCAAATCCTGGCAAATCCAAGCTTTAGCTGAATTGACCTTTCGCTAATGCATTTGTCTGAGATTGAGTAATGGAATCCCCTCGTTTGCAGGTGAGGGAAGAGGCCCCGTGCTGGAGGTCATAGTGTCTCGCGCCAACTACATCAGCTCCTACACGAACCGCAAAGTGCGCATCATCGGCCTGTCGACAGCCCTCGCAAACGCACGAGACCTGGCAGACTGGCTTGGCATTGGCGAGGCAAGTGCTTTGCTCTCTATCTCTAGCCCAGTGGGGTGGGTGTGTTCCTGCCTTGTACCTTCCTTCAGACGTGTAATTTTGAGTGCTGTATCTACCCATGTAGCCAATGCGCCTCTTTTAAAGGGGTGCTGGACCTAGGAAAAAAAAAACATGTTTTAAATGCGAAAGCATTAACAATCCCATAGAGCAGAGCCAGTGGCATCTGTAACTGCAAGAAAACGTGAAAGAAATGCCCATTCTCTCATTGGTTGAGCAAAACAGCTCCTATATAGCCATTGGCAGCCGCTTCACGAGAGGGCGCGCTCGGCTGCCACTCTCGTGGCAAGCATTGCCAGGGGGGGGGGGGGGGGGGGGGGGGGGGCTGTGGTTGCTTTACGATTGGCTGTAACCTCGGCGGTAGCGAAACATGGCCGTCCATACTAGTACACCGCAGACGAACTAAGGGAGCGGAAGAACGACATTCATGCTTTCGCATTCACAACTCAGAAGAAGTGCTTAGGTGTCCTCGGAATTTTTTTCCGACCTGGTTAGTGTAGGCACTTCTCAAAATAAATGTTTGTAAAAGGAAAAAAAAATGTTTTGCTCATATTTATATTACAATTTGAATTCTTCGACTTGAGGGCGAAACTGAAACTGTACCCCTGCGGGATGATGATGATAGTGTTTGTACCCAACTAGTGTGTGCTCTGAGGTTCAGTGAACTCGGAATGCACACAAGTTGGGAACAAATGCTATTATCATTCCACAGGGGTGCAGTTTCGGTTTCGTCTGCAAATCGAAAAATTTGTATTGTAACATAAATATTGGGCCAAAAAAAATTTTTTTTCTACAAACATTAATTTTGATGTCTTAAAGGGGCAGTGCAATGAATTTCAGACTTTGACCAATTAACTGCGGAAATTAATCTGCGTCACCTATGGAATGAAAAACAGAAAACCGCAATTTCTTGCGAGCGCTAGTTCTTATTTAAAAAAATGAAACAAATCAAAGGTCGAAGTGCCTCTCAACTCTCCACGACGTCCATGTCGACTTTCGAGTGACGTACTCTGGAGGTTCACGTGGTTTCCCCTTGGGCCCTCTCTTCAGAGAACCCAGCCGCTTCCTCCGCGATTGTCGACTTTCAAAGGATTAACCTCGTCGAAGGTTGCGGCGAGCAATGGACACAAAGGACGGTCCGCCACGGGGCTGACGGCGAGTGTAGCAGCGGAGAGGGATAGGGTTTGTTGACTTCCGCGTACCCCCAGAGACGCCGTCATTTTAGTTCCCGTAGCCGCCACAGGCGGCTGCAGATCGGCAAATAATTTGTTTTTTGCCTTGCGATTACGCAGCAGAATAGCAGTTTTTCGGGGAAAGATGACGCGTTTTTTGGTCACTTGGGCTTGTATAAACAATATAAAAAATGCAAACTGGCAATTCTTTCAACATTAAAACCATTTCACTGCCCCTTTAACCAGGCAGAAATATTTTTTTTTCTTTTTTCTAAGTTCAGGTTTTTTAACATTTCAATTGTCATAAAAGTTTTTCCTTCTGACTCTTTGAAGTCTTCCGGACTGTTGACATTTGGCCCATGTCAAAGCTTGGCTCGCAATTCCTCACAAAGAATATCTTTGAAAAGAACGAAGATAACTTTTTCGCAATGACTTTGACTCGCAATGACCCCCGGCTTTTGGAATGTTTTCTTGAATTGAGAGAAAAGCCTTCGGACATGATAAATTTATGAACTTTGCATGAAACCGTTGTGTCAACAATTGTCACTGTTTATACAGTAATCCCTTGTTATAACGAAATCACTTTTTGAATTGTCGCTTTTATCAAAGCTCAACGTGGTCCCGACCGAAATGCCAGCATTTCTAACCGGATTATTCGAAGTGTATTGGCGGCCAACCATGCCAATTACGAGGGCCGCGGTGTCGAAAGCATGCAAGCCTACACGGAGGCGCACGGGAGACCTTTGCATTCACTCCCCCTTCCCCACAAAGGAAAACGGCAAACTGAGAAAACAGAGGAAATGGTTGACACAGTGTGCTTAAAGCTGGCAGAGCGCCACTTCCGATGCCAATGCGCCGACTCTGGCGTGGAGCGGCGGGAGCAGTGTCAAAGGTTCCAATGCTACTTGCGGCGCCCATAGCCGACGCTGCCTGACTTTTGTCGGAATCGCGTCAAGGGAGTGATGGAGCTCGGAGGAGATCATCCCTTCGGGAGCTCCTGACACGCGCACCTGCAGCGTACTACCGTACTACATGCACGTGCGTAGTATGGGAGATTATGAGTGTTTACGGAAAGTCGCTTAGATTTGCTAGGTTGAGAAAAGTGGCTGGCCCAAGTCCGAAATCATCAAAGAATTCGACATTCCTGCATCGGCTGTTTGACACTGACCACCATTTTACAGAACAGGCAAGGCACATTGGGTGGGTTTGAGAAGTTTCTCATGCAGGAGAAAGCGCGAATCGAAGATGAAAGATCGCCAACTGCTTTGCACAAGTTGGATTTTGTCTTGTCAGCATGCTTGCCGAGCCAGCAAACGATTTCCCTAGCTACAACAATCTCTACAGCAGTGTGCGAAAATGTGTTGGCAAAGCCACCGAGGATAACTGATTCTTCGCGCTTGTTGTTGCGGACATTCTAGTTGTTGCTCCTGCCACAGATACTGCGATCGTAGACCTTGAGTGCAGCTAAGGTAAACACGAAGCGACGTCAGAGAGGCACCTTGGGAAACGCTGACGACTGCAGAGGCGCGAAACATCCTACGGCTGCTTCGATACAAAGAGTGCAGCGATTGTGACAGTGTTCTTGCAATAGGGAGTTTTAGAATAACGTATGCAATTTTAGCGCACGCTAGCGCTAAATTTAGCGCTTGTATTAGCGCACGCGACGCAAGAGAGTTTTAGAACAGCGTTTCTTCGTCGCGACGCAAAAGCCCTAGCAGCTCGCGCTTGCGACGCCACCAAGATACAGTCACAATTTTTATTTCACACACGAAATGCTGCAAGCTTTAGAGAAAAAAAAAAACTTTTTCGGTTCAGAGTACTAATTTAGATTTGTTTAAACATGAGAATGCGACGCGAGCGGTTGACCTGTCGTGTTCGCTTGCGTCGCCACGGCAACAGAGGTCTCGTGTACTGACCTTCGCCAAGAAATGTTTGCACGTCACAAGCATCAAGTTGCCGGTGATCGTTGCCAAACCGAACACAATGTCGCCCCGTATTGAAAATTGCAGTCGCGAGGATGCCGCCGACGTCGCACTCACGACGCCGCCAAAGCAGCCGCCGACACTATCCTGGGAGCCGCAATTTTTTTTTAACTCTGCTCGTCTTGGCTTTAGCCACCTTCTCATCACGAATCCTCCTCGGAGAAGCGCAAAGACTCTTTGCATACGCACGCTATTTCCGAGAAATAGCGCACGCTAAAATTGCGCATGCAAAGCGCAAAACCTGGCTTGCGTTCGGAGCATGCGCAGTGGCGACGACGCTATTCTTTGCAAGCGCAAAGCTTTAGCGTGCGCTATTCTAAAACTCCCTAATGCCTGGAGCAGTTCGAGGAGAACTGATGCCCGGATGAAATTATCAGCAAACTCCTCTTAATTATTTTTTTACTTGGTAAAGCTGCTGCGGGATGTTCATACCCAAGGTTTGTTTGATTAAATATACGGTCAGAGTGCTCCACAGTGTTGTTGTCCACCTTCAAGGCTGCTGGTACTGTTTTTTTGGCTTTATTGCTTTTATTGAATTACCGCTTATATTGAATTTTTTTCTGGTCCTTTTGACTTTGTTATAACGAGGGATTACTGCATATGGCTTGCATCGACGTTAGATCAGTGGCCATCATGGTGGCTTTTCTGCCGAGGGCAAACTTTCTGCAGTATACATTTTGTGCCACTGAAGCTTAATTCTTGGCAAGAACAAGTAAGAATCACTATCAGCACGGTGCGATGACGTCACGCTCAAGCCATGTTTGTTTCACGAGAAAAGCGACATGTTACAGCCGACCAAAACACAGGTCACACAATATCACGTCACATGACTTGACATCAAGTTTGGGTGTCGTGTGATGCCATGGTCTTGTGTGATCTATAGACATGGTTTGATTTTACGTATAAATAGGGATGCTCAGCCGTAGCGTTCGCCACATGACTTTTCGTTCTGTGGAACCAGCTGCTAAGCTAGCTTGTGTGCCCAGGTGGGGCTGTACAACTTCAAGCCGGCGGTGCGCCCGGTTCCCCTGGAGGTGCACGTGGCGGGTTTCCCGGGCAAGCACTACTGCCCCAGGATGGCCCTGATGAACAAACCCACCTACAGAGGCAAGGCAGAGGGAGACGGGCATTCACTTTGCCGAGTGTTTCTTGAATTTTGAGCGGTTTTAGTGTTTTCTACTTGCTGACCCACAAGCAGCCGACATGGCAACATTTACAATACGCGTGGCCCGGCGGGACCAGGCCGATTTTTGTGACACATAGTTACGGCCGTACATGAGTAGCATGCAACTAAACTTCATCTCGAGAGTTCTAAGCAGCATTGACAGAGATCCAAGTGCGAGCGGATGGCTTTGGAAACTGCAAGTGGTCAAATAGGTAGCATTTTGGAGATCTTTTATTCTCATATATATCTTTCAATGGCTTTGGGAAGAGAGTGCAAGATAAGAGTATAGTGGAAGAGACGGGCTTCTCTGAAGTTTCTGGCTTAGGCCCCAATAAAAGTAGCGGAACACGTGTGATATCCGAATAATTTTCGCTTTCACCTCCCGCACGATAACTAGTATTCAAGCTGCCACTTTGGTTTGGGAGCCCGTGAGATCTTTGGAAGGTTTTGGAACTTGTGGTTGCTAAAAGTTAAATTCTCCGCTCACAGCTGTCCAGCAGCACTCCCCAGAAAAGCCCGTGCTCATCTTCGTGTCCTCACGGCGGCAGACACGGCTCACAGCCCTGGACCTGATTGCATTCCTTGCGGCGGAAGACAACCCCAGGCAGTGGCTACACATGCCTGACGACAAGGTATGCTTCCTGCTGAGCAAACTCCTGTCTTTTGCCGCGTGCGTGAGCTGGCAACACACGCAAATGCCACGCGGAGGAACGGGTTTCGTTCTGGTTCCTCCTTTTATTAAACTGTGCTCTTCTGGAAAGTTCTAGCCCATTCTCGGTTGGCATTGTGTGTTCTGGTTTAAAACGTTCTTGAACGTACTGCAGGTAAAAAGGCAGTATGACGTGCTGCTTCAGGGTCAGTCGTCCTTCCCTCGCCGATGCGGGATGTATGATACTTTATAGGCACAGGTTCGCCCTTCCAAATATTTCTTTTCAGTTTTACATTTGTGACAATATAGTATAAAATCAATCCACACTAAACGTATCTAAATTGAAATGGTTCTAGTAGTCAGCCTTAAAAGCTTTTCTAAACCTTTGACGTGACAATGTCCCACCTGAAGCGGCGTATGTATGAAAACATTGTGAAAACTGACCTCGTTGTAACAGCCTACTGCTCTGTGACTAGAAACCAGAAAGCAATTGTTCTGATGTCATTTTGTAGCCGCTGTCCTTGACTCAATGCCTCACTCATTTGAAGCACGTTCATTCACTCTCCTGCCGCACTGATGCGCGGTGAAATGGCATTTTTGATGAGTCGTTTGAGTCTGCGATCAGTGCAGTTTGACTCGCTGTTGCTAGCAAACATGTCATTCGATTGATTTGTTTCTAGTATTATTTCAAAGTTGAATAGCACTCTACAATAGGTGCTAACACATAACTTGTTACAAAACTGTATTACTGATTCTGCATGAAAGTCGAAACTTGAGCCTAAAATTGACCGTCGAGGCCTTTTTCTCCATTCCTATTGTATACATATCGCTGGAATGTTGAGCATAGATAGACCTCATCAAGCTAAACATGATGGTGAAAGAATCATAGAGATATCTCCATCTATTCAAAAAGATACAAGAGTAAAACACTTTGTGTGATCAGAGAGACATATTTGTTCACTAACAAGTAGTGAACCCAGTGAGTGAGCCCTCTGCTGACCCCTATGGCAGATGGACTCGGTCATCCAAGGCGTGAACGACCAGAACCTGAAACTGGCCCTGGCATTTGGCATTGGCCTGCACCACGCTGGTCTTCAGGAGAAGGACAGGAGGATCGTGGAGGAGCTCTTTGTCAACCAGAAGATACAAGTGAGGGACCAATGGGCGTGTGCTTCAAAGTATTTAGACTGGGCCAGTCAGTAAATTTTCCTGTGCTCTCGTTGGAGCCCAACTTCTCGAACGGCAACTAATGTGTCAAGCTTGCTGGATTGGGCATTTTGTTGTTGATTCACTGGCCTTGGTGCGGTTGGCTCCAAAGTAGACCATTTTATCGCAGAATGTGTATTATCAGCCGATTTTCATGAAGTTCTGTAACGTTTGGCTGTAGCTCAGGCCATAAAAGGCGGTTGTAATGACAGTGAAAAACAATATGCCCGTAGGGAACCATATAAATTACCGGTGGTCGCTTCAGCTTTGCCTTTAAGAGTAGAGCGTGATACTAAATATAAACCCCGCTCGTTCCCAAGCCAAGCAACCGTGTCTGCGTGGCCCAGTCGGTACCGTGTCTGGCTCGCAACCCTCATCCGCCTAAAACTCATCAAGTTTCTTCTTTAAAGCAAATGAATTGCTTTATAAAGTGAAATAATTCTAGACGTGCGGCGACCTTTAATTCACATTACATGTCATGTTTTAATTACTTTCATTCCACGCGTGGCGTCATGTTTCACTTGACCGTCGACCGATCAGGATTTTTCCATCCCGCGCCACTGATGCCGACACAGACGCCGATGCCGACTTTTCTACGACACAAGCTCCTTTAGAAGACATGCGCCAGAGAAATTTTTTTTAAATTCTTTATGATATTGAAATGAAATTGTGGTGCTTAATCTTTTCTTTATAAATCTTGTGTTCAATTTGAAATGGCTTGTTTCTTTATGCTCTCGATGCAATCTATAGGCAGAAAAAACCATGTTCTTATGCATACGTGAGGAATGGCAGCACACTTCAAAAAGCCTAGTAAAATAAACTAATTCACTCCTTTTAAGCCACTGAGTAAAGTGAACAACTTAAATGTGTGTGACACTTTTTTTCATTTTAAAATAATTAAAAATAGCAAAAATACCATTTTATTGGGCTAACAAATGTTTCTTAAATTTTTTCATAAATATGAAAAAATATATGTTCTAACAAAACCTAGATAGTTGCACTCTACATATTCTAAAGTATATGCATGCCAAATTTGGTTGAGATAAGACAATATTAAAGGGACCATGAAATGACCTTTTTACTTTTTCCAGATAACTTTTACATTAAACTGTCAATGTTCACTGAATGCCGAACAGGCATCCGTTTTCGTCTCGGTTTATTAACTTCTACACAAAAAATTATTGAAATATCGAATTTTCATTCTCTCCAACTGATTGCAAAAGAAGCCGTGACGTAGACCCTTTCCGGAACCGAAAGTTCTCTCGGCAGTAGGAGAATGGGAGTGTTAGCGGCAACGAGTTGGGGTGCGCCGGTAGGTTTTACTGCGCTGATGTCACCGACGTATTTCCTGAATCGGTGCCTCTCATCGCCGCATCGCAGCTGAGCGAAATTCAATGAGATATGTTGCGCTACAGCGACAGCATGGGACTAGCCCCATACGCCGGTATGCCTGTTGGGATGTGCAGCGAGTCTTCCGGTGAAGACTCCAGAAGTCAACCACCCCGTCATTGTTGGCAGAAGGGCCGGCCCGTGTCAGTCGTTTGCAAAGCGACGTAGATGGCGTTTTTCGCGGCCTCGGAGATGCAGGAGCGAGCCGACGTTAAAAAAGATACGTTTGAACTACGAGTGTCAGCAAGAGCCACGTAAATACCTGTTTACACTCGGAGCAGACGCGCGCGCTTGATGGAAGTCTTGTATTCGCGCTGTTTGTAAGCGCTTCGGGACCGTTCTTTTACGATTGCAACTCGATACTGACGCGACATTCGGCAAAGAAAGGTTGGACAGGGGTTGTATGTATACCTCCCACGAACTGTTATAGCTCGACAGTGACATGCAGTCTGTCAGAATAAAAATGGCATACCAATAACAAAGTGTACATACCGTGTTACGAAGGTAATCCATGCGACGTTTATTTGAGCTCTATATCACACAAAACAAGAAGATAGAATCGACGAGAGTCCCTTTTCGACGAGTGTTCGTCAACACTGCCTCGGAAAACAAGGGGAAGAGATTGACCTCACCTCTTAATCTAGAATTGAGGTCAGTGATCAAACTATAATACGGGAAGGGTCCACAAGGGTCGCGCGGGCATATTCCATTTAGCACGCCAGCCGATTGTAGGCAGACGGTCTTGCGACGAAGCAACGCAGCGCCGAGTCGGAATGCCTGCTAGGCCTATACGCTTCGTCGGAGTCGGTGGATTCAGCGTTCTTGTTCGTCGTGGTCTGTTTTAAGTACTGTTTTCTTGCTGCTTGAAGTCGGCACGCGCGGGAAGAACACGTAGAAAAATAAACGTTCAGTCAGTCAGAGTTTTGAGAGGAAGGAAAACAAAGAAAATAAACGTTCGTCGCTGGCCAACACCCAAGTAACTGTCGGCCCTGCCCTACTGCGCAAGCGCAGTAGTTGCTTCGTTTACCACACGATAGATGGCGCCTGGCTCTCACCATTATCAAATTTGGCAATTTTCGCCACACATCTCTAATTATGCTACAAAATGTGGATCTGAATATTATTTAACAAAACTTTTAGGAAACATTCGCCGGCTATTTAATGTTTACGATCGTGGTGCTGGTGAGGTAGGCTCTTACCCAATAGGCGACCTGGATTTGGCTGACGTGCTCCATTTCTGCGGATGCATCGTAGTGAACAGGCGAAGGAAGGAAGGCGCAAAAGAGTCCAGTTTTCTTTTAAAAGTTCTATAGCAAATAATTTTTTTTGGCTCCCTATTTTTGTGTTTTTGTGTTTCTTTTCACACCTTTTACGACGTGCAGTGGATGAAACTCGATTTTAAAATCATTTCATGGTCCCTTTAAGAACAGAAATTCTTGTGCACAAACTGTGAAGATGACCCAAAATTACATACAAAGAAAAACCTGTTCGAATGTTACCATAGATGTGTAGCTATACTCTTTCGCAGTGCGAAAAATAATATTTTGTTAATAGATTTTCGTGAGAAATTGAAGCTACAGAAGACTGCAATGGAAGGAGGCGGCTAGGCCTACTTGTCGATGCAAATGTGATGGTGGGTGACGTCACAGCTTGAATCACGCAGAGAAAAATGGCTCAAATTCATGCTGTTCTGGGTTGCCTAGAGGTCTTCAAACGCTTATTTGACTAATTTTGTGATCATAACCGGCACTATATTTTTATATATCATATATAAAGATCCAAAAACAATAAAGCACCATAAAACCCGAAATCACATTTTTTGCAAAATACAGTAAACTCTCAGTTGAGCGAACTTCAAGGGACCCAAGGAAATAGTTCACTTAACTGAAAGGTCACTAAACTGAATATATTCACTAGAATATGGAGCAGCATAGGGCACAGCATACATCGAGTGATAAGTGTGAAATGCAATTTATGGAGTCATGTGCATCGATATGTACAAATTGCATAACAGTTAATGTTGCTGCCTTTCTCATATTAAAAACAAAAATCTGTAATTTTCTTTTGCACCGGCACTCTTAAAGCACATGAAGCAACAAAGCTGTCTAGAGAGTCTATGTTTTTTTGCACTTCCTCTGGCACAGCTTGTTGCTGTGACGAAGCCATACCGCAATGGCGTCGTCCACTGGCTTGAAATATCCCGTGCAGAGTTGTTTCCTGTTGGGATTGAATGCAGTTTCTCCTTCAAGCTTCGACTTTTGCTTCACTATCGTTGACAACGTGGACAGTGGAATCCCATCATCTTTCGCAACGTCCACTTGCCTTTGATCGTTGTCCGGACACTGAAGGATTTTGAGCTTTTCTGATAGAGACAACCGCTTCCGTTTCGTCATACTTATTATGAAAGTGGGTGCACAAACTGCCGTCTTTACCCAAAACTAAGATGGCCCAATGGAACCGATGACAAAGAAAATACAGACACCACATGGCTTGTTTTCGTCTACTGCACTGCCGCTTTGCCTCGGCGACGCTCTAAACGCCAGCGATGATACACCGCCGCAGAAACGGTGGCGTTTTTGGGGTGGCAGGCATTGGCTACGCCAGCACTGCAGAGCACAAAACTTCGTTGAACTGATCCGCCGATCAAGTTTGTTGAATTGAAATATTCACTATTCTGAAATTCATTAATTCATTTAACTAAAGCATTTTTGCATAGGCTGCATAGAAAAACCGCCGGGGATTTTTTTAAACTTCATTATTCTGAAATATTTTTTAAACCGACATTGACTCAAGTGAGAGTTTACCGTATTACAGTCGAACCCGGATATATTGAATTCAAAGGGGATTGTAAAATAGTTTGATATAAATTACAGAGAAGATGCAAGCGAGCTGGTGAACTTTCAACATTGTAAAACCCAAGACGTAGGGCAAAAAGAAGAATAAAAAAGGGGACAACACGGACACAGGTCTCAAACTCAGCTGAACATTTATTCCCTCAGCCTTGCTTATAAAAACAACAAACCTCCATCCCTCGGTGCATGACGTCACACTGTCAAATACTCTCTCACTCCACCCTTTCCACAACTCGCTCCACAGTTCGTAAACAAGATCAATAAGCCACCTCAGACCCCAACTGAATCACTTCCCCCAACCCTCAAACTTGACACCGACACCAGGCGGGAAGTAGCAACTGCTCCACAGATCGCTGAACCAAACCAAGCCTATAATCTTAACCTTGAGGACTTCGGTGAAACACGACAAAGCGTGTGACCTCCAAAGGCAGCATTTCCTAACCCCCTCCCCAACCCTCTCTCTCCCTCTCTCTCTCTCTCTCTCTAGAAAAAAAAAATAGAAAAAAAAAATTAAAATTAACAACAAAAACATTTTTGAGGAACCTTAAACCAGCTGCGTACAAACACATATTTCCAAAAAAAAAAAAAAAAACAGAAAATTATCTGAATAGAGCCTATTGTATTCTTTAAGATAACAGCTGCAAAAGACTAGGACAACGAAAGGGACAGGACAACAGCTGTTGTCCTTTCGCAAGTGTTCTTTTGTTTTAGTGTTTTTGTAGCTGTAACTTATTTCTATCATGTCAAAGGGGTATGTACAGCAACGAAATTCTAGCCCCTATTTTATCATCTAAATGTCAACCACGTTCTGGCCACACCACAGAGAAACCAATTTTTTGCTCACAAAGACACTGAAACATTTTTAAAACGAATAAACTAAATTTTGTTACGTCGAACTACCCATAACAACAGCGCCGCTCCGTGAAAGTACGGCAGCATGCTGTGCATGCTCGAGCCCTGTCGAACTTGGCCGAACCGCATTTCCCTTCTTTCCTGCGCCTATCCAACTCCTGCTGGGAGCGGACATCCCAAACGGCCAGGTAGTAACACGTTGATGCCGCCAAGTGGCGAAGCTCCCAACTGTACCAGCTTCCCTGTAGCTTTGCCCATGAAGGTAACTTGACGTCACGAATTCGCCGTGGCTCCAGATCTCTCGGAAGTGCATTGCGCTCTCCGATGGCTGCCCTTTGAGTGCTCTCTGGGATCGGTCGTTGAGAACAAAAAAATATAGCCATCCGGTCAAAATACAAATGTTCGATTATCATTAGCCAATTTTGTTGGTCATGTTTGATTCATTTCTGGACGTGAGATGTATATTTCAATTTTAATTTCGGTATCTCTTTAATACCGAATCACCCAGATTGACACTCTCATATTGTATTCTTTATTGCAGGGGTGATAATGCAGTTCTACACCTCCGTGGAAGTGTACAATGCGTATAGTACCCCATGTTGTATGTTATCTATTTTTATTCCAGGTTTTGATTGCCACTTCGACCCTTGCCTGGGGAGTGAACTTCCCAGCTCACCTGGTCGTCGTGAAGGGAACTGAATACTACGACGCAAAAGTGCAGCGCTACGTGGACTTCCCCATCACAGGTGACTTGAACTAACTGGGTAAGATGTTCCCCATCTCATCAGTGGGGAACATCTTACGCTTACATTTTTCTTTCTGCGAAACAAGTTATGCTTGTGATAAAGTGGTAAACTAATGCTCAATATGACGGAAGAATCACAGAAAGATAAGAGTAACTTTCGCATTAAAAATAATGGAAATTTTGCCCCGTTGTTTGTGAAACAGTTTGGCGGTCAAATTTTTTAGGCAGCAACAATGGGCGGGCATTATGGATGGGCGAGGTGTATGACAGAGCAGACCAATCCGCCGAAGACACCTAGCTCATCCATCTCTCCGCTCAAGACGCCTAGTGCGAAACACTGATATGCATTTAGCGGGTCTCCCAGTTGTCCAACTGAATATCAAACTTGGCAGACGCATCTAGAGGGGAGAATATTGCATAATACTGTCGAGACTGGTTATAACGAAGTCAACAGGAATCGAAAATCACTTCGCTATATCCACTTCTTTGTTATATCTGAACTCCATAAAAGTAACACGCAAAAAGAAAAAAAAGAAAAGATAGCACGGGGCGTCATGGGCACATGTTTATCGTGCCTGCAGGAAGCGGTCAAGGCTTTTTGTGCACGCTTTCGGCTAGATCAGGGCTGCATCTCGCCAACTGCGAGAAGCTCTGATCGAGAAAAGATCCTGCTAGCTACGTACGGACCGTGTCGACAGCCACTGCGGAAGGAGTCTACTGTGTTCACATAGTTTATACCTATCTGTGTTCAATTGCCCTTTGTTTCGCTTTACTTTTAGTCTTCCCAGCTTTTCGAAATGTACAACGATTTCGCTACTAGGCTGCAAGCACGAGCTGTTTGTTGGAAGGTGCATGTTGGCTGCGGGAACTTTCAATCAGGTGTAGCAACTGCCGAAGATAAAGCTACGAGCTCGGGTATCGCCATTAAAAGAAGTATTTGTTCAGGGTGTTGTAATAAAAATCGCGAGGAAAGCAAAAACTGTTACTGATTCTTTTTTTTTTGGAAACGTGTTGAGTTTCGTTAATTTCTGAGTGAACTGAGCGACGGGAACGGCAGTGTACTTGCGCTCGTTATATAAAAATGCCAGCACGTTGGCGGTGCGGTATCATTTTAGTTCTTGTTATCACATCAGGTCGGGCGTCAAAGTTCAGTCGAATCTCGTTAATTCGAACCTGAGGGGGACCGAAAATTTGTTTGAATTAAACGGAGTTCGAATTAAAGAAAGGTCATTAAAGGGACCATAAAGGCCATTTAGTTTTTTTTTTAAAAAAGAAGGTGTTTTCGGAAGCATTGGGGTCCTGGCATGCCACACAATTTTTTCTAGAACGTTGTGACTCTTATTTCTGTACCTGCAAATAAATTTGCGAAACCGAAACAAACATTCAGATTTCTTCCCTTTTTCGCCTCTGGAAAAAGAAGTGACGTCAGGGAGCACTGTCGGCATCGGTAGGATTTAGTGCACACTCAGTGTGGTTTCCGTGGTTTGCTCTAGTGTACGGCGGTCTGTGAAGAAAACCTGGAAGAAATGGACCCAGACTCCAGCTGACGTGAAGGTGCTGCTCAAAGTCTTTTGGTCGGAAATGCAACTTACAAATCCTGACACCGCTGTCCACAGCTCTACGCAAGACGACGGCGCGCAAGCAAATGCTGCGCATTGCTGCATCGGTCGGCAGTTTATGCAAACTAACGTCGCCCGATCGACCGCACGTCTTTAGCCGACCTTTCGCGCAACCTACTACTGCAAATAAACGCGGCATGATTGGTGAGACACCGGTTCGCAAAGCGAACACAAGACGACGCACGAAACCATACCAAAAGTCCGCCGCCCCCGGCGCTCGTACCTCTTTTTCTTTTTTTCTTTTTGTCCATGGTTGCTCAATGCTTGTTACGCGCCCGAGGTAGCAGTGCGGGATGCGTTCAACCAGTGACAAACGGAGGGATCGCTTCAGATTATGCTTTTATACATGGTATGAAAACCTATTAATTCCCAACTACGACTTCAAAAGATTATCCAACGTTCAAATAAAAATTTTTCATAACATCTCACCACCGAAATCGAAACCAAGAGCGCATCTATCGTTTGAACCAATCGCCAGACGAAGAGCTCGTTGTCATCACGCTTCGACGGCGCACTTTAGTTCACCTTTCTGCCGCCGTCTCGGTGGGGTCTCAGGCATCGTTCCCGGCGCTATTATTACCGCGCCTGTTTGCTCGATTGGTGCGGCACCCAAACTTCTGTTCGGGCTAGAACTTGGTCAACAGTATCTGAGACGTGCCTGACATCCATTTCAATCGTCGAATAAAACTTCGAAACTGCCTTCATGGTCCCTCTAAATGGAGTACTTACGTGTAGCGCTGCATTGGGTGGCGCATGTGCACTGAGCTAACACATGAGTGACGAGTTCTGGGACATTTATTTACACCGATCACCAACGGAAGTAATCCGTGATGCATGCCTGTGCGCGGTTCCTCAGTCGTGAATCAACAACATCGCTCGGAGCTTGGAGACTAGCTCTAACGCGGCATCAGCATTCTCTTGGCACGAGAAGTAGCGCGCGGTTGTGTCCAGCGCCGACGCTACGTCAGTTGCACTAGGTGGGGGCATTTCTTCACTGGCATCAGAATCTTCACTACTAAGGGTTGAAGGGTCTTCAGGTGTGGCCTGTTGAATGCACGTAGCCTGAATGATCTTGGCGTCAGTTATCCATGACGCCTGGAATCCAGATGACGTCAGTCGCACGCCCACCGAAAACACACCGAACCGCAGCAACATGTGGGTGCAAGGCAAGAAACATACTGTATTAGGGGCGAAGCTCCTTAGGGTCTAGCCTTGTCCGTCCGGCGTCCGTGCTCACCGTCCGGCGTCCGTGCTCACATCGATCTTGCTGGTGCTCGTGCTCGTGATCGTGAGCTCACGTGCTCGTGTAAGACAAAAAAAAAATAGTATGTTTGTGCAGTCGACAGGATTCAAACCTATGCGGGGAGACCCCAATGGATTTCTAGTCCATCGCCTTAACCACTCGGCCACGACTACGGGACGAGTAGGGGGCTCTGAGATGTGGTAGTAACTCAAGAGCTGGGGATGTCATGGATGAAACGTTGCATGTAGCCGCTCAACGTCTATGCAGGAGAGGGCGCTGCGATGAAATGCGTATATAATCGTGTTAAACTTTGCATGCATTGGCTCAACGTTTATAGACGAGAGGGCGCTGCGGTCAAATGCTCAAATGCGTAGATAACCACGTTCCATACCACACATTCTCTTTCTGACATGGATGATAACGAACGAAAGGCTTGGCATGCTGCGGCTCAGCGTCTACGCAGGCAAGCACCACCAGAGCTTCGCCCCAATCAACGTCATTCACGACGTGGAGATGCGGTCATTTTTTTTAATGATTTTTTTTTATGATTTAAAAATTCAAAGCCAAATTGAGGTTCCTCTATTCTCCGTGCTTCGGTTGCCTGGTCTGCTTTGTGGCGCAAAAACGTGCACCCTAATCCCTCGCGGTTCTGTCGCTTGTCCAGACGTGCTGCAGATGATCGGACGAGCGGGGAGACCACAGTTCGACGACCAGGGTGTAGCAGTTGTGCTAGTCCACGACCTCAAGAAGAAGTTCTACAACAAGTTCCTCTATGAGCCTTTCCCCGTAGAATCGAGGTACTTTGCCATTGCTTCCTCACGGACGCAGTGTTAGGAAGCTACTTCCGGGCAGAGGCTTACCGAGAGGGATCTTTCTCACGGCAGTCTGCTGGATGTCCTGGCAGATCATGTGAATGCTGAAGTGGTAGCTGGGACTATCAGGTCCACCCAGGACTGCCTGGACTACATGACCTGGACATACTTCTACAGGAGGCTGCTTCAGAACCCCAGGTATTTTTACGCGACGTTCCTCTTGCCTGCATCCTAGAGTTCTGTTGTTTCCTGTGAACCATCAAGGACATCTTTGCTAAAAGGGTGTACACCGATGAGTTAAGTGGTCTTTTATTTTGAAGTTTTGAATGCTTTATAACATAAGCCCCTACTCCCAGCCTTCCGTCATTCATGCATGACCTCGTGGCAGGGCATGTTGGCACAGCTGATCAACAATGTAGTTGAAGCTATACTCCGTTTTACTTATGATGGACCGTAGCGGATGCTATGAGCCATTCCAGCCAATCTAGTACTGTAAGCGCATTGCATGACTACGCGCCCGGCCTATTGCAACGTCCTCCCGAAGGTCATGTTACACTCGCGTGGTATGGGATTGGCTCCGGCGACTTGAAGAATCCTCCACTGTCCACCGTAAGGTGAAATGGAGTACAGTTGCCGACCAATTTTTCGGACTTGGAGGGGACCCTGAAATTGTATGAATAATCAGGCGGTTCGAAAAATTTTAAGTTCTTGTGCAACTTCCACTTTATGTTGTTCACTTTTCAGTTGTTTAATCTGTTTGATCATGGTGCTGCACCGTGATCAAACAGATCACACCTTCGTTGGCACAAACAGCGAAATTGAAATTGGCACCGTTTGGCACTATTTGTAGACAACGTTTAGTCCACCAAGCTCGCTTCAGTACTAAGCCTATCGGCAAAGAACCTTCGCACTCAAAGACCACAAGAACGACAGACGTCCGCTCTTCTAGCGGTCGCACTTGAAAAACACGAACCACGAGAAGAACTGGAAGAACTATAAGGATGGGCAGACGGCAGTCATGTTGGCTATAGCAAAACCGGAAAACTCGACTATAGCCTCAACCCAGCTTGTTTATTGCATAGGACGTGGTATCAAGACTACAGGGCAAAATAAAATAAAACCAAAATGGCGATGACTAAGCTCGTGGCGCTATCGCGGCGGCTGTATAGTGGCTGTAAACTGAAGAAATCACACAAATTATGTCAGAAATATTGAGCAATAAGCTTTATGGTGTCCAAAATTTCAGTCAATGTCAGTGATGTGATTGCTGCGCCAATTGCGCCAAACTGCGCCAAGGGGCTAACCCTGCTACATACTGCTACATTTCACCGAAATATGGCTAATCTGCGCCAAGCCTGCGCCAAAGGACCAATTTTGGTCGCCTTTCAAAAAGGAAACTAAGAACCGTAATTTAGCATGCATTAGCTAGGTGGCACAAGACGCCGCCCGACACAAAGTACCCTGCATCAATCGTCTATTCGGTCTTGCACGATTTTTCCAGTCGTCTTGCGTTTCGCGCTCTCGTCGTCTCGGGAATCTCGTCTCGCGCCTTTTTCTTTTTTTTTTTTCAGCGATAGACGTGGGCGTGTGCGGACGCTCAGACGTTAGTGTGCCGGGTTCCAGCCATGCCGTCATGCTGTGAAACAAAACCACGTTTTTGCGTGGCGAGAGTTACTTTGTGAGCTGAAGCGCTCGCGCGACCACAGTCGCCGTGGTCGCGCGATGTCGTGTGTTGCCGTCCCCACGTCGCTGCAGATATGGCGCTTTCTAAACTGAAACGCATCGACATTCCTGCTCTTGTTTAAACCATACGCTGCTATAAAAAAAACCTCTTTAACTCAATTAATGCTTGGCGAAGTTTTGATTACCTAGGTTTCTCTCGGTGGGCTTTCTTTCGAGAGGGACCCTGGTACGTGAAAAATCTGCCGCGAAAGAAAGTTGATGACGGGAAGCGAGCTAAAGCAACGAAGGCAATGTCTGCACGCTGAACCCGCACAGCGCGCTTGTTTGTCTCGAGTTCAATCGTTGCACATGCGCTCCAAGAACTTTTTGACCTTGATTCGTAATGTCTTGCATCGATACTCTCAGGTTCTTTTTTCCTGTGTGTTTAGCCTGTACCTCGCCTGCCGGCCTGGGAAGCACGCGCCGCTGGACAGTTACATTTTGCATACTATTTTGGGAACCAGTTGGCGATGGAGCGGAGTGGCATGGTTGCGGTCGAACAGTCGTTGTCTCCGCTCGCGCGGCGAATCACGTGTAACTGCAAGCCTGCCGAAGTTGCCCTCACGTGCATGTGAACATGATTGCACGAGAGGCACCAGCCGGGACGCTTGCAATTCATTGTTTTAGGCCTGGTTCGCACTTACAGCTAATCCGCTGCCGCCGAAGCGGAATCGGCCGCGGCAATGCACAGTGGACGCTACGCCCGGCGACCGAATTCTTGCAGATTCGCCCGCCGATTCGCAAGTGTGAACCAGGCCTCAGGTTTGCTTACTTTTTATAAAAATCTGCCACGTCGGGAACCAGTAAAACGATCGCAAGTGTTTTTTTTTTTTCGGAATTTTTCGGCAACGCTTACAGCTTTGTATACTTGTGGGATGTCTCAGCACCACAAACACAAGCAGCGAGTTTTGCCCAACACTTCACATCACAACACAACACAAAGTGGCCTTCGTTTGTCCAGCACTTAAAACAAATATTTATTTTTCTAAGAATATATGCTCCAAAAGTCACTTTTTCTTCTCTGAAATACACTGTTTTGGCTGCTCCAAAAGCCACTTTTGCTGCTCCAAAACACTGTGTCGGCTGCTCCAAAGTCCACATTTGCTGCTCCAAAACACTGTTTTGGCTGCTCCAAAAGGCGCTCCAAAATGGCTTAGGCCAATCACATCACTGCAATGTTCACATTAACTCTATGGTGTGAGTGACAGTTCGGTATGCTCCGAGTGCTCATAGCGGATGCTATGAGCACTCGGAGCCAATCCAAGGCCGTGTGGGTGTCACGTTACCTTGGATAGGAGGCACAGCGACACGCGGAAAGCGTATGACGGACTGCCTCCACAGTGTGGGATTCGCTAGGATAGCTTGTAGCGTCCGCTGCATCAGGAAGTAAGGTGAAGCGGAGTATAGATATCTTCTAGATGGCAAATCTTCTAGGAAAAAAAAAAAAAAAAAATCAATGACAGGTTAAGAAAAGTTTATGAGGAAGAGAGGAGAAAGCAAATGCAAATTTGAAGTGGAGAGGAGGTATCTCCTCTGTTTCGTTTTGGGTCATTTTGGCGAACAGAACACAAACAACCTTTCGTGCCGGAGTCAGGCTGAAGACTGAGCTCTCGGTTATTAAAGGTAAAACGAAATAAAAGAAGAGACGCCTCGTGTACGGGGCGCTTAGGTTATGCGAAGCAAGGAACAACTTCGTGCGAACGACAGTTCTCGTTCGCTCTCAGGGACTTAGGAGCTCGCAAGCGTCGGCGACTCCATCTGTTCCATCTCCCAAGCTTTCGTCTGCTTCCTTCTCTCCAGCTCACAGATACTTCTTTACCTGTCGACCGGTTTGCCCAGAACTGAGTGACTCCAGCACTTCTAGACCCTCTCGCAGAAAAAAAATAAAGATATAAAAAAATATTTAGAAAATTGTAATGGATAATTTTGTAACTTATTACAGCAAGAAAGTAATTAAATTACAAGGATTGTTACTCGTTAAAGGAAGTAACTGAAGTGTTACAATATTACAGTAAAATGTAATCAATTATAATACATTACGTACAAGTCTGGTGTTAGCTAGCTGTTTTTTTATGGGTTCTTGTAGCCAGACTGGCATTAAACCGAAAGTCAAGTGTATACAATTGTGCTTTGTGTCTGTGAATGTGACCCAGATATGACTGTGAAAGTTGTATTCATTTACCTAACTTGCCGGGACTGGTTGCATGTCGTATGTGCAGGAATGTGTGTTTTTGGTCATGGCTCAATGACACATGGGCATACAAAAAGAAGCAAGCATAGAGAAATGGGGATATTTTCCTGTTTAATATGCTGTAAAACCTATATTCGGGACCTAAGTTTTCTTCCGATCTGGTGTGGCAAGCATAAATGTACCAGCTGAATTTCCCAGTGTTCAGCCAACTTTTTGCTTTATGCTTGCAGCAGTAATTTGCAGGTCGGCAAACTTGGTCCATCATGAAGTTTCCAGAAATGCTGGGGGTTTTACAGCACTAGGTGTTCATATGCCTACCTATAACCGGACATGTATGTAACATATTACCAGAAATACCGAGCAAGCGCCCTCCCAAAATTTGGAGATAGTAATTCGCCTAGATATAGAAGGGGCCCTTACTCGGATCGGAGCCGAAATTGAAGATGGCGGCCACAAAATGGCGGCCAGTAAAAGTGAAAAAAAGAAAGCAGTTTAGCCCGCATTATTGAAAACGTTTATTTACGGACACTGCAGTCAGTATTCAATTCGGAAAACGGAAATTTTGGTATTCACCTCGGTCGCTGTCAAAGCCACAAAACGATTCCTCAGAATCAGATCTAAAAATGAGGTCCAGGCCCTCGGTCTACAGCTCATCGGGGTTCCCGGGGACAATGGCGCCGATGCCAGACAGCTGTTCATGAAGATCGCCCTCCTCGCCGCACATCCAGAGTTCCTTTCACACTCTGAGAACCCGTACAAGGTGTCGGCAACTTCACTAAAGATATGGGCACCGTTGCTCAATTTGCGTCGTACCTTTGACTCCCTGAAGTTGTGTTGCAGCAAAACTTCATACTTCGTGTCCCTCTCGCGTACCCTCTTACAGTCCAACTTGAAATGGCGAGAGGGCAGGTAGATGTTTTTGCCATTCTTCAGAGGTCAATCCACAACTTCGAGTTTCTTTTGCACCGTATACTGATGCTTGGCGAACAGAGACAACTGCTCCCAAAGCAGGCACCAAGGAAATAAGGAAATGGCGGCGATGGCTGGTGGTGCGTTCTAGCAACCTCTTGGATTGGATTGGATTCAATATTGGCTTTGTACACTGCGACAACCGAAAAGCCCGAAACAAAGCTAAAAAAAAAAATGCCTTCGGGACAGGTGGCAGCGGGAGGGGGGCACTTGCTCAGTCGTGTATAGACCGTTTTATCGTGGGTAGCGCCATTTTGAGAGCGAGAAATAAAAGGGAAAAGAGCTACCGGCGCTTTCCCCCTTTCTGATTGTGTAGAAAGAGTAAAAGTCCCGGATGGAGAGGCTTGGCCGGTGTTGGATGTCTGCTGTGCCCCAACTTCTTTCGCGCTTTCTTTTCTTTTTTAGATTCACAAACTTAATTAGAGCCACGGGCTTTGATGGCAACAGTCCCCCGGTCATCGGGACACCATTGCTCGGTCATAGGGTGCACGAATAACGACAGAAAGCGTCGAATACCGCCCAAGGACCTCGTAGCTTGCATGGAATTAGGCAAGGCACGCGCGGCTGCAATGTTTTGAAGCTCCACCGCTTTCTGCGTGACTGGAAATGGTGAACCATTCATAAATTTTTGCTTGCAATAGGCCCATTTCAACGCAGCCGTTTATAGTAATGAACAAGCGATACACGAAACGGGAACCTCAATTAACTTTTGTAAACACCCGGAGCTGCTACAGATCGTTTTGCTGCGCCGCTTTCATCTTGCGTGTCCGTGTTCTCATATTTCATTGTGGATGAACGACGAAGACGTTCTAGATGTGCTTATATCGAACCGCAGAAAGCGTCAAAGCAGCCACGAATTATTTTACTATTTCATGCAATATTTTGAGTACTAACCTCCAATTTCTATCACCGACACGTTCGCTGCCGCTGTTCCCCCCGTTGCCGCACTGGCGGATGCCATGACTCGAACAAAGAAACGTACACACTGTGCTCGAAGACGCGGATCGCAACACACGAGTCGTACCCTGGAGCGACTCTCCAGCGCTTCAAAGTGCCCAATCAACGGAAATAACCCAAAAAACCCACTAGCGGCACTCCAAGGAGCGCTTTTGCCGGCTCTCTGGTATCGCACAGGGGATCGCTATTCAGGAAAACCGTTAGAACTACCTTTTGAACAATTTCTAGCCTCACCCCGCGGCGGAAATAAGCCTTCAACTAAGTGTTGGAATTGATGAAATCGAGTCAGTCACAACTGCAAATTATAAATATTAAGATAAATTCAGTTACGAAATTTTACAAGCTGAAACAGCAATTATCACGAGAAAACTGGTACGCACCTTGCGAGCGTACCCCATGTTCATCGGCGGTACAGCGTTCGGTGCGCGCTCCATTCACAAGCTGTTCCGAGCACAATCGAGAAGATGGTGTTGAGGCAATGTCTTTCCGGTTTACGAACGCAACCCACTGCCGCCAAGACCGGGGTCATGTGGAAAGCGATGGAGCTTAAAGACATTGCAGCCGCTCTTGCCTTGCCGGATTCATTGCAAGCTACATAGGTCCTCGGACAGTATTCGACGCTTTCTGTCGTTATTCGTGCACCCTATGACCGAGCAATGGTGTCCCGATTACCGGGGAACTGTTGCCATCGAAGCTCGTTACTCTAATTAAGTTTGCGAGTTAAAAACAGAAAAGAAATTGCGCGAACGAAGTTGGGACACAGCAGACTCCCAACACCGGCCAAGCCTCTCATCCGGGACTTTCACTCTTTCTACACAATCAGAAGGGGGGAAAGCACCGGTAGCCCTTTCCCCCTTTCTCTCTCGCCCTCTTTCAGTAAAACGGTCTATAGAAATGGGAAATTCCTAAAAGATGTGGGAAGGGGGGCACTTGCTCGAGTGAGGGCGCATGTTTGGTATTTTACGGTACTATATAGTGAAACCCGTTTCGAACAAACCCATGTACAGCGAATTATTTTCTATATCGAACTAACGGAAAATCTAAATAAAAATGTGTGTAAAAATAACTTATTATATCAAACAACATATTGGCAATATCGAACTCCCCCCTCCCAACCCCCGAGAAGGCTTCCAAAAACGCGCAAACAATCGTTTTCTAGGCAGTCCCTTCCCACCCAAGAAGTAGGAAAGGGGAGGTAAGCTAAAAAAACAACTCTGCACACATGTACAAAAAATGCAATAAACGAATATCTTGGATGGTAAGTCGCACGAGTTTATTTCTTTACTTTTGGCGATATGACCCGTGTATGACGAACGCTTCGTGAAAGTTCGTTGTAAAGGGTTTGCGCTGTATCGAACTGATAGTGGTGTTTCCTGCTGTTCGTTATAAATGGGTTTGACTGTATTGGCTATATCAAACTTTTTTCCCCCCGGGAAGGCTTCCAAAAATGCACAAACAATCGTCTTCTAGCCTGTCCCTCCCCCCGCCCCCTCCCTTCCCAAAAAAAGGTAGGAAAGCAAGAAAATTTCAAAAGCTCAAGTTGCAAACAAAATTGGGAGATAAGCTAAAAAACAAACACTTTCCAGCACATTGTTACAAGGCAGAAACAAAGAGATGAGAAAAAAAGAGAAGCTCTCGCCTTAAAACGAACGCATCGTGGAAGTTTGTTGTAAATGATTTTTGCTATATCGAATTTCTTGCTATATCGAACTGATCGTAGCGTTTCCTGCTGTTCGTTATAAATGGGTTTGACTGTAGTAAGGAGTTACTTCTACCTAGTCACTTTTTTTGGCTAAGGAATAACATATTTGGTTACTTTTCTAGAAAAGGAACAAGTACCATACAGTTAAGTATGTAGAAATTATGCTTAGTAATTAAAATGTTTTCTTCTGTTAGAACATTCCAGAATTGCGTCGGCATTGTTTTTTTAGCTTTCTTTGTGGGTGTCGGCGTTTTGAAGGGGGCATTAGCGTGGGCAAAGCGGCCGCGAGGATAAGAGGGTTGGAGCGGTTCCCCGCGGTCGTTAGGAAACGTCTCGGGTTTCGGGAGTCTGCTGGGACAGATCCCTGGGACAGCCCGTTCTTGCAGCTGCTTGTGGATATGTTAACCGAGTGTGCCTGTGTATAGAGGTTTTTGCTGCTTAGTGTAAAATTCTCGCTTTTTGCCCGATGCAATAATTTAGCCGTTGGCGCCAGCCAGACTGAAAAAAAATGCAGAGAATGACTCTACAAGGAATTTAGGTGTGGCGGTTGGAGCACCAGGCTGACAGCTCGCCGACCATTGGAGAACTGTGTACCACGTGTGAGTGGTGATGTTTGAAGAGATTGGTCGGTTCCTGAGGGGAAGGGAGGCCCCTACAGGCCCACAAAAGGAGTGCGGAGAGGATAGTATCGAGATTGGAACTTTGGGATTCGATGGAGAGAAATTGGGGGCGGGGTCGAGCCTCAAGGCGAGGCAGGATGGTCTCCCAAGTGGGACTTGTAACTACAGTGTAAATAAATGCACATAGTTCTCTAGAAGCAGTGAGTCGACCCATCACTCAGCGACGTTCGTGCCACCACGCTCCAGACCATCGGAGCGGAACCTGCCTCTCACACCACTGGGAGGACCAACAACTTAACTCCATACTTAATTACTTTTAGGGCCAAGTAACGAACAACGGTATTTCGTTACTTTTGAGGAGTAATGTGTTCAACAGCGTTTAAAAAGCCTCGTTTTAACGCTAATCTCAGTATGCATCTATTGCGACAAAAGCAGGTGGGCAACCCGAAAAGCAACTAAACAGATGACAGTATAGCACCATTTATCGCTGAACATGTTAGACGAACTGTACAGCTGGGAATGTCCTTCACCCAGCAAACACAACAAGGTTTGTTGGTTGAACCTTCTAGAATCGTGTAGAAGCAGAATCTAAACCTGGAGGTTGCCAATGCAGGAAGGCACAGAATCCATTGTCAACTTGGAACTTTAGATGCAGAGAGAACGAAGGAGAGAGTGGAATCCCAGATTCACCAGCTCTTCCTGAAGCAGAACACTGCTGTTCCTTCAAGCACGTTGACTCTTCAGCATTGCTGGAGATGTATTCTTAAGCGGAGAAACATAACTGAGGAAATCTTTGAGAGGCAGCAACTGCTTAAATGCAACTGCTACTGAAAAGAAAACAATAAGCCATAAAACAAAAGCAGTTCTGTATTTGGTCGTCGGAGTAACGAGAAAAGTAACTCGCTACTTTTGAGGATATATAACGAGTAACGTATTTAGTTACTTCTTGAGCGAGTAACGAGTAACATTATTTACTGTATATAGGCATGTATTGGCCGCATTCGTGTAATAGCTGCACCCCTAAATTTAAGCAAAAAAATCCGAAGCAAATATATTTAAAAATTACCCGTGTACAGGCCACACCTACGATTTTGGAATGCCTGAAAGTGTCATCTAATTCGTAACGCAAAAACTCACTTTTTTTTTTTTTAATAATATTGGCAGGTAGGCTTACCTGGCTGTGGCAGCCAACAACATTGAGGCACTCTATCCTGTCTGTTTGCGTCTCTCGCTTTATCTCGTACCAGACACAGTGCATATCTTTGTGTTTGCGAGTACCCCCGGTTTCTCGCTGTCATCCACTTCAGGCTTCTGGATGGGCAAGTACGCAAATTACATGGCTGGCTTTAAACTCAAAGTTGATGCCTTTGCTCAAGACAACAGCAAAAGAGCGGCCGGGCGAAAGTTTGGTGTTGACTACAAATCTGTACGCCAGTGGTGCTCCCAAGAAGATGAACGAAGGAAGACTAAGACAACAAAGCGCACTTTCCGAGGGCCTGTTTCCCGAAGTTGAAGATTTGCTCCTTTAATTTGTAACGCGGTTTCGACGGAGATGCTGCGCATGAAAGCGCTCGACATTGCACGGAGCAAGGAGATACCGGCAACTTTGTTCAAAGCCAAAACTATGGTCGATTGAAAGGGACTTTGCACGCCTGTCTAAGCAATACCAATTAATGTTTTCTTGTTCTAACAAGACGTGTGAGTACTTTCATTTAATACAAAAAAATAGTAAAACGTAAAAAAAGAAAAAAAGATTTCTAAAAAATGTTTTGTTTTTCTCCATGTAATGGTTGCGCCCCTAGTTCTCACCCGAAATCATTAGAAAATACCTGCGGCCATTACACGCATATATGAGGTAGTTTTTTTTTTTTTTGGTAACGTACATGTCTGCCTGTAACCCTATGTTTCAGCTACTATGGTCTGGAAAACACGGAACCAAAGCAGATGAATGCCTACCTGTCCAACCTTGTTACCAAGGCTCTCCGAACACTGCAAGACTCCTCTTGCCTGGAGGTTGACACAGTAAGTTGGGCATGAGCCATTATTCTTTTCAGTTACATGTAAACATAGTATATACGGTCGAACCTGCTTATAACAAACCCATGTATAGTGAAATATCGGATATAACAAACAAATGTTTGCTGCATCCTTCTGCTGCTATATTTTTATTGTTATTTTATCCCATATGAATAAAGTGGAGGCAGTGCTGCGGACATAACAAAAGAAAATGTCCAAGCATCGGGATTATGTTTTGCAAAAATTACTAGAAAATAGCATTCCAGAATCCCAGGAGTATAAAACATGTTTGCTTTTCGAGTTCGGTTGCAACATCGCCAGTCATGGAACAAGTAGAAAGCAGGGGAAGGGGGCTTGAAAAGAAGCGGTGAATGCGTACGGGAAGAGATTCGATTTCTCTTTCCTCGCACATAAAAGTAGAAACCAGACATTTGAAACAAAAAAAGATTGAGGTACACCTAAGCACTTATAAGTTGTGAATGTGAAAGCATGTACATTATTATTATAATGCAATTAAATCCAAACGTGCTAGCAAGCTGGACAAGAATGACGAAAATAATCCCTGGAGAAGGGGGACAAGAAGGGGAACACACGTGTTGGCGCGCTGACTAGCGCTGACGAACACGCAGTGCCAAAAGGTGGCCAATCGTTGAAACCGACGCGCAGCATCAGTTTCAACAACCGGCCATTCCATGGCGCTGCGTGTCCGGTGGATCGGATCCTGGTCGACACGCGCTAGCCAATGGGATCAAAGCGATGTAAAAGGTGCCGTGGCTAACCGGCGAATGGGAGCTGGCTTGACTTGGAGAAGGATTTAAGAGCCTTTTGGCGTGGTTTCAAAGCTGATGACGTTGGTTCGCTCCATGAGGCAGTTAATGCTTTCGCATTAAAAAGAAGGATGAACAAAACACCGTCTGAAACATTATTTTGTTTCAAGACGCCGAGCTCGAGCAGACGGCGCAAGGTGGGGGACGCACAGAAGTTGTTGTTGTTTAGCTTTATTGTTGAAGGAAGGCGCTCATTGCCAAGACGGTGCACGCTTTAATCACGTGCCTCTCAAAGTCAGCAAGAGTGACTCTCGTTGTATCTCTTGCAAGCATATTTCGGATTTTGACATTCTGCATGCTTTTCGATTAGATGCTTGATGCTTTGCAAAGCTAGCGAGAGTCACTGGAGCATGTTTCAAATATCAAGACTCTGCACACTTTTCGGTCGCGTTACAGCACCATCCGAAAGGGGGAAAGAAAACAAGAGGGAATCAGGTCTCTGTCTTTCTAAAAAATTAAGGTACACGATAACGCATTTGCAGTGATCGGCCCATGTCCAACACTTGCCTAGATTGCCAGACATGCTTATGACCGCTGGCGGACGCAGAAAGAACTTGTGCGAAGTTGCTTCCCGTTTCATCTATTACCGCCTGGAGCATTAAATGTTGAGCTTCCTTTAATCATATATCATTTTTTAATTTTTTTATTGTTTGCAGTTTGTTGAAAGTGCATACTGTACCTATGTACCATATTCACAACGTGCTCTCCAATCATGCCAAGGTAGTGCGCACACTTCATGCACATCTGAGGCTCCTTGTTTGGCTTACGCTCTCCCACAGCGCGCGAGCTTTCTGAAGGAAAGCGCGCTTTTAGGCATGTTGCAAAGTGCGCTCGTAACTTCTATTGTGATGAAGTGAAATGCAGCTTTTCGGAGTTTTGACAAGCAGTAGAACTGCAATGAGTCAACTCAAAAGTGAGCAAAAATTTCGTGAAACCCATGGAGCGCGGCTTAATTTTAGTGCTTTCTTGATTGACTTTCTAAACATGAGGTGCCAGGCAGCAAGATGTCGTAAACTTGTGACGATAGTGTGAACCTGCAGGAAAAAGCAAAAAGACAGCTGCATGTAGCAATCTTCTACAGCGGAGCTGTTAAGGGCTAGTTTCCCCAGTATTGTGTCCGTCAGCAAACAAATGATGACACTAAACTCTGTACAGCTACCGCCATCTATGAGCGATTGTGGTAACCAGACAACTGGCTTGCCGGTTGTCTTGTTGCCGCTCTCGCTCATAGATGGCGGCAACCTCTCCAGGCCTTTTTACTCTAGCTTGCCGACTTGCGGCCGGCCATTACTTCATTCCCACCATAGTACAGCTTCGCTGGTCTTCCTTCTTCACCAGAGTGGGAAGACTGAAAGTTTTTATCCCACTTACTTAGCCCCGACAATATGTAGAAATACTTGCACAAAAATTGCAAATATAAAGGAATTTAATCCCACAAGTGACGTCAAATTAGCTTTACTTAGTATAAGGTATGCTGAAACTTCGTTATATAAGAGATCATTATCCCGACAAAGAAAAAGCAGAAGCGTGAAGCCCCGGCAAAGAGATGCGCAAGAGAAGGATGATAGAAGCCTAGCCGTGAACGAATAATGGCGGACAGTTGTAATGCGAATATCTGTACATAAACGTCGTTGCTGGTCTTGTTCATCCTACAACCAGTCAGCAGTTCTTACTACACGGTTGTTTGTACTTGTCCTGCCTCTCGGCTCCCCTGGCGACGTTCCCTTGTGGCTTCCCAGGACGACCGCACCCTGATCTCGACGGCCCTGGGCAAGATAGCCTCCTTCTACTACATGAGCCACGAGAGCATCCGGCTACTGTACGAGACCCTTCAGGTGGACTCCTCGGTGGAGAAGATCCTGAGGGCGCTCACCCAGGTGAAGGAGTACGCCGAGCTGCCCGTCAGGCACAACGAGGACCTCATCAACGGGTGAGCACTCTTTTTTTTTTTTCCAAATGCTAAGCGTTGATAGGGTTAGCTCTAGCACTTTCATGTATGAGTCTGGGATACATCCTCTATAGAGAATGCAGCATGGAGTAAGCAGTTGCTGATTGCACGGGCAACTGCTCTTTTGAGCGGGGATTTTCTTAGTGTGCGCTTGGTAGGAGCAAAGCGGACTACCCGTACTATACTCCATTCTCCCCTAAGCTGAGACTGTGGTGGTGGAAGCTACAACCTCATTGGGCCAGTCATACGCCCCTCTTTTGCCACGTTATCATGCGCCCGCCCATACTTATACGCCGAGTTGGGTCAGGTGATAAGAGGGAGACAGCTGATTGATCCGGGAAGCAAGCAGCTCCCAGCGCAGTCTCAACTTAAGGGTGAATGGAGTATATGTAGGCTCTTGCTTGCGGGCTTTGTGGACCATCAAAGCGGTGCAGGATCTACGACGAAAGCCAGTTGCCATTGCACAGTGACCGACCGGTGGTTCAGGATATTTTGTTTGGTGCTGTGGAAAACATTTTCCAACCACCTCGCCCGCTTACCTTCTCTACTTACACTCGTTTACAATGATCACGAAGTACACGGAGTGGTCCGTGAATTTCGTGATGTGTCAGACACCCTGTAGAAGTACTGCCTCCATTTCAGTGCGCAAGCTTGGCGCATTGAAATGGAAATTGCTCTCCCCCTCTGTTATGCCTCTGGCCTTGAGGGAAAATTAAATAAAATAAAGGGCCTTGCACCATCAAGCCCTTTATCAACAACATTTCAGTGCCCGTTGTTGACACCGTTCCATGGGTGCATTTTTTTTTTTTGTGTAGGGACCTGGCCAAGAGCTGTCCTGTGGCAGTGGACAGCAGCACCTTTAACAGCCCCTACACCAAGGCCCACCTGCTGTTCCAAGCCCACTTCTCAAGGCTCCAGTTGCCTTGTTCAGACTACAAGACTGACACCAAGTCGGTGCTAGATCAGGCCATCAGGCTGCTGCAGGTACAGTCTGCATTCCACAGTATTTCAGCAGGTCTCTGCATTGACTGGCCCCTCATATGTTGAGTGTACCCAAACCTCTATCTTTAGACCCATTCACAAAAATAAATTCTTATCCAAGTGAAAATTAGTACCGCTATGGTCATTGACAGCTTAAAGGGACCATGAAATGATTTTAAAATCGAGTTTTATCCACCACACGTCGTAAAAGGTGTGAAAAGAAACACAAAAACACAAAAATAGGGAGCCAAAAAAAATTATTTGCTATAGAACTTTTAAAAGAAAACTGGACTCTTTTGCGCCTTCCTTCCTTCGCCTGTTCACTACGATGCATCCGCGGAAATGGAGCACGTCAGCCAAATCCAGGTCGCCTATTGGGTAAGAGCCTACCTCACCAGCACCGCGATCGTAAACAATAAATAGCCGGCGAATGTTTCCTAAAAGTTTTGTTAAATAATATTCAGATCCACATTTTGTAGCATAATTATTAATTAGAGATGTGTGGCGAAAATTGCCAAATTTGATAATGCTGAGAGCCAAGCGCCATCTATCGTGTGGTAAACGAAGCAACTACTGCGCGTGCGCAGTAGGGCAGGGCCGACAGTTACTTGGGTGACGGCGACCGACGAACATTTATTTTTGTTTTCCTTCCTCTCAAAACTTTGACTGACTGAACGTTTATTTTTCTACGTGTTCTTCCGCGCGCGCCGACTTCAAGCAGCAAGAAAACAGTACTTAAAACAGACCACGACGAACAAGAACGCTGGATCCTCCGACTCCGACGAAGCGAGCTGCTCAGAATATAGGCCTAGCAGGCATTCCGACTCGGCGCTGCGTTGCTTCGTCGCAAGACCGTCTGCCTACGACCGGCTGGCGTGCTAAATGGAATATGCCCGCGCGATCCTTGTGGACCCTTCCCGTATTATAGTTTGATCACTGACCTCAATTCTAGATTAAGAGGTGAGGTCAATCTCTTCCCCTTGTTTTCCGAGGCAGTGTTGACGAACACTCGTCGAAAAGGGACTCTCGTCGATTCTATCTTGTTTCGTGTGATATAGAGCTGAAATAAACGCCGTATGGATTACCTTCGTAACACGGTATGTACACTTTGTTATTGGTATGCCATTTTTATTCTGACAGACTGCACGTCACTGTCGAGCTATAACAGTTCGTGGGAGGTATACGTACAACCCCGGTCCAACCTTTCTTTGCCGAGTGTCGCGTCAGTATCGAGTTGCAATCGTAAAAGAACGGTCCCGAAGCGCTTACAAACAGCGCGAATACAGCACTTCCATCAAGCGCGCGCGTCCGCTCCGAGTGTAAACAGGTATTTACGTGGCTCTTGCTGACACTCGTAGTTCAAACATATCTTTTTTAACGTCGGCTCGCTCCTGCATCTCCGAGGCCGCGAAAAACGCCATCTACGTCGCTTTGCAAACGACTGACACGGGCCGGCCCTTCTGCCAACAATGACAGGGTGGTTGACTTCTGGAGTCTTCACCGGAAGACTCGCTGCACTTCCCAACAGGCATACCGGCGTATGGGACTAGTCCCATGCTGTCGCTGTAGCGCAACATATCTCATTGAATTTCGCTCAGCTGCGATGCGGCGATGAGAGGCGCCGATTCAGGAAATACGTCGGTGACATCAGCGCAGTAAAACCTACCGGCGCACCCCAACTCGTTGCCGCTAACACTCCCATTCTCCTACTGCCGAGAGAACTTCCGGTTCCGGAAACGGCCTACGTCACGGCTTGTTTTGCGGTCAGTTGGAGAGAATGAAAAAGTCAATATTTCAATAATTTTTTGTGTAGAAGTTAATAAACCGAGACGACATTCAGAAAAAGTAAAAAGGTCATTTCATGGTCCCTTTAAAGGGTTACTACAACAAAATTCTAGCACCTTTTTTGGTGTCTAAATGTCAACTATGTTGTGGCAACACCGCAAAGACGCCAAGTTTTTGTTTAAAACGAATGTAACGATTACCAAATTGCACCTGGTGCGTGTTCCCAAAAAGTAGCGCCGCTCTACGAAGGTGAAACACAAAGCTTTGAAGGGACCATGAAATGACCTTTTTACTTTTTCCAGATAACTTTTACATTAAACCGTCAATGTTCACTGAATGCCGAACAGGCATCCGTTTTCGTCTCGGTTTATTAACTTCTACACAAAAAATTATTGAAATATCGGCTTTTTCATTCTCTCCAACTGACCGCAAAACAAGCCGTGACGTAGGCCGTTTCCGGAACCAGAAGTTCTCTCGGCAGTAGGGGAATGGGAGTGTTAGCGGCAACGAGTTGGGGTGCGCCGGTAGGTTTTACTGCGCTGATGTCACCGACGTATTTCCTGAATCGGCGCCTCTCATCGCCGCATCGCAGCTGAGCGAAATTCAATGAGATATGTTGCGCTACAGCGACAGCATGGGACTAGTCCCATACGCCGGTATGCCTGTTGGGAAGTGCAGCGAGTCTTCCGGTGAAGACTCCAGAAGTCAACCACCCTGTCATTGTTGGCAAAAGGGCCGGCCCGTGTCAGTCGTTTGCAAAGCGACGTAGATGGCGTTTTTCGCGGCCTCGGAGATGCAGGAGCGAGCCGACGTTAAAAAAGATACGTTTGAACTACGAGTGTCAGCAAGAGCCACGTAAATACCTGTTTACACTCGGAGCGGACGCGCGCGCTTGATGGAAGTGCTGTATTCGCGCTGTTTGTAAGCGCTTCGGGACCGTTCTTTTACGATTGCAACTCGATACTGACGCGACACTCGGCAAAGAAAGGTTGGATCGGGGTTGTACGTATACCTCCCACGAACTGTTATAGCTCGACAGTGACGTGCAGTCTGTCAGAATAAAAATGGCATACCAATAAAGTGTACATACCGTGTTACGAAGGTAATCCATACGGCGTTTATTTCAGCTCTATATCACACGAAACAAGAAGATAGAATCGACGAGAGTCCCTTTTCGACGAGTGTTCAACAACAATGCCTCGGAAAACAAGGGGAAGAGATTGACCACACCTCTTAATCTAGAATTGAGGTCAGTGATCAAACTATAATACGGGAAGGGTCCACAAGGGTCGCGCGGGCATATTCCATTTAGCACGCCAGCCGGTCGTAGGCAGACGGTCTTGCGACGAAGCAACGCAGCGCCGAGTCGGAATGCCTGCTAGGCCTATATTCTGAGTAGCTCGCTTCGTCGGAGTCGGTGGACCCAGCGTTCTTGTTCGTCGTGGTCTGTTTTAAGTACTGTTTTCTTGCTGCTTGAAGTCGGCACGCGCGGGAAGGACACATAGAAAAATAAACGTTCAGTCAGTCAGAGTTTTGAGAGGAAGGAAAACAAAGAAAATAAATGTTCGTCGGTCGCCGTCACCCAAGTAACTGTCGGCCCTGCCCTACTGCAGACGCGCAGTAGTTGCTTCGTTTACCACACGATAGATGGCGCTTGGCTCTCAGCATTATCAAATTTGGCAATTTTCGCCACACATCTCTAATTATGCTACAAAATGTGGATCTGAATATTATTTAACGAAACTTTTAGGAAACATTCGCCGGCTATTTATTGTTTACGATCGCGGTGCTGGTGAGGTAGGCTCTTACCCAATAGGCGACCTGGATTTGGCTGACGTGCTCCATTTCCGCGGATGCATCGTAGTGAACAGGCGAAGGAAGGAATGTGCAAAAGAGTCCAGTTTTCTTTTAAAAGTTCTATAGCAAATAATTTTTTTCTGCTCCCTATTTTTGTGTTTTTGTGTTTCTTTTCACACCTTTTACGACGTGCGGCGGATGAAACTCGATTTTAAAATCATTTCATGGTCCCTTTAAGGAAAGACGCGGGTCTTAAAATGGTAAAAAAACGCGAAATTTCACGTTTTTCAAAATTCACCTATTTGGATTAATTGTAGTCTAAGGTACCTGCTTGCAAAGTTTCAGTGTCGAATTCAATGTCTAAGCATGGAAAAAATGATGTTTACGATGTCCCCGCAGAGCCCTAACACAGCGAGTTCAATGAAAACAAGTGGAACTTCGCGCCCCGCGCGTTTCGCGATCGCTCTTCGGATTGCGGCCATCTTGGTCTTGTTGGAAAGCCGCTTATTTTCCCCACGTCCCCATTCCATTCGTTATCGCGACAACATCGGGGAACGTCCGCATTCCGCGGGTTTCGAAGGCCCCAATTGCGACCGCTCATTGGCCGGCTAGCAAGGTGCCTATACGTCAGAGCACGCGCGGCGCCTAGCGCCCCTGCTATTGGCCTAAACGCGCCCCTCCGCTCTTTTTCTCCTTTCCTCCTTTCCGTTCCCGGGCTGGCGAGAGGTGCGTCGTCTGCTCCTGGGCCCGTCTCCGCTCGTCTCCTTAGGCCTGTCTGCTTTGTTTCCTCCGTGGTCGAGCGCACGTTTTAGTTCCCGTTTGCGCGCTTGCGTTGAATATTGTTGGTTCGTTTTCCTACGAAGTCGCGCGTGTTTTGTTTCGCTTCGAGTTCTCGAAATGCCGCACGACGCTCGGTTGAAATCGAGCACGCGGCAAGCGTTCGGAAGGAAGAGGAAGCGACCGTGGAACAAGAAGCCGAGGCTGTCTGCTGCAAGTGCGCCACCGCGATTGACGCCACCGCGATCGGCACCGCCGGATGCCTTGGATCTTCCGGAAACATCAGCTGGAGACATCGCGACTCCATGCAGCAGCGGCAGTTTGTCGAGCTTTGCGAGCGCAGTTCGTGTCGACACCGCATACTACACGGCCGAGCAGGCGCAACGAGTCGCACGATCGGACGAATGCAAGCGTGCGCTATCGGAAAAGTTGGCGACCCAGCGCAAATCCAACCTTCTCGGCATCACCACAGGAGGCCAGACGCGCGACGCTGGGACACAGTTCATTGTAGTGGACATGAAAGCTCTCAAAGCATCGAGAAGGACAATCTGTGTTTGCGTAAGGCCAGCGCTGCCCACCAGAGCAGCAGCAATGCAAAACAGAGGTTCTCCAGGCAACACCAAACTGGAACAGCTGGGGACTAC